TAAATATATACATTTCCTTCAATGGAAAAAGTGCAAGTCATTTAAACCTTACAAGCACACCTTTTTCTCTTCCAACTCTGCCTTCAAGGAACCCAACTCTTCCTGGCACTTTTCCAGAGGCAGAATTTTCTGTAACATCTGCTCCACTTGGCAACGAAGAGCAGAGATCTCTCTGAAACGGGATGTGCAATTAAAAAAGAAGTTGCCAAAAACACAGGTGCTTTCAAATGTAATATTCTGATTCTTCAGTCAAGTGTCTTGAGTACTTTGCTTTTTTCCTATGGAAAATTGCTGTGAGAGATACCCAAAAGCTTTTAGAGTCTCAGTATTCTCATTTTTCTATCCAACATTTAAAGAATTTTTAAGATCTGGTTAAAAAACACTACACTGAGCCTGAAGTTAAATGCAAGCAGATGGCACATGCCACATAGGTGTGCTGCCTACACTAAAGTGCTGGTAGTAAGTGCCTCTGCCTACATATTGCTGTAAAATTAGAGCAGAGTCCAACTGCAGTATTCTTCAACAGGCAGGATTATATGCTGCCTCTTCCTCTATAATCAGACAGAGTAAGCAAGAGCGCGCAGCCACAACTCTAAAGTAAAATGCTTCATACAAATATGGCCGCCCCAAATAGGCTTACATTTAACTACCACCAAAATATGAGCTCCACATCTCCACTTGGTCACTTAAGACTCTTATGTAACATAGGCCCAGGAAAGAATCCCACACAGGTACTGTAGAAGGACAACAGATTTCTCTGCTTCGCTAACTATGGCCTAGGAAGCACAGTAAAAGGACTATACTAAGTGCTCAGCTGAGACCCAGGGCTGCTGCTATTACAGCATCAGACTCCCAAAACTAACCACAAGATTGAAAACATCATGGCTAGGCTTTGCGAACGAAGATTTGGGAAGGGCTCTACCCACGTTTGTTGCAAACACGTTGGTGGCTAAAAAGGTCAATACGAGATAGGCACGTCCAGTTGCAAAAGGCACAGCAGAAAGACTCCTTAGGTGGTATATTCTGCAAGACACGATTCTTTCTGCGTTGCCTTTTCTCCTCAAGGGTGATCCTGCGTGCGTTCTCAAAAGCACCAGCAGCGTTATAGATGGTGTGTCTCCAGACCTCCTGATTGGAGGCCAGAGTAGACCAGTTATGGTGATCAATATGGCCAAGGCTGAGATGTTGTTTCAGGGAGTCCTTGTATCTTTTCTTTGGGGCTCCTCTCTTGCGGCAGCCAGTGGCAAATTGAAAACATAGCATCTTTATTAAACAACCTATATCAACTTACCGTTCAGCAAATTGAAGCTGTAATCTCTTGTTAAGGTAGAAATTAAAAACAGTTCATCAAATGTCCTTAAATGTATTTCAACTCAATTGCCACTTGCAAAGAAACATCCAATAAAAACTTCCTCACACAAAAAACTCCACAAGACTTGCACAACTAAGTGTTTAATACATATATTTCAGTGCACTTGAAGTGAATAAGCAGAGCTTCTTCTGTTACGTGAGTAATTCTCACACAATACAGATTTCAAATAGACCATCTTGAACCGTATATTAGACACAGACAGAATTTAAGTGGACAGTTTTAATTCCAAAGGCCTATTTTCTTTATAAAACCTACCCAGTTTGTTCTTCACTGGAGATATCACTACTTAAACCTTAAGTAAAAAGTCTCAAGTACTCTTATAAGAAGTGTTATAAGTATAGTAATTCTGTAAGGACACTAATAGAAAAGTAAAGGATATCAGTGCATTTCTGTTGATATTCTGTCAGCAAACGACTGCAAGTAAAGAAAAAAAGACATTACTAATTTTCTCCCCCAATTTTGACAATTATGTCTCAGGATACCTCTCCTTTTGCTTTACAGATAAATACAGAAAGTATTGGTTTGCATTTTCTGATAGTAGTCAATATAACCCTTTTGTTTCATTAAGCCATTCAAACCTCAAATCAGACTGCTTTGAAATATAAAAAACTCACTGAGTTACATTACTTTGTAGCCATTAACTAATTGCAGTTTTTTAAAAAAATACTGTTTAGGTAAAAATTTATATACATATGTATATATATGTATATAAAGATTAATATACATGCATAAATTAAAAGATACATATATAACATGCTACCAAAAGGATGTTTTCCTAAAACTTAAAAAGATGTTTTCCTAAAAAAGAACACATAAATCTCAGAAAAATATTTCAAAAGACCCTAAAATGCCTTAATCTTTACATTATTCTCCCAGCAGCCATAAGAGGGTAACACCCTGATCCAAGAGGGACAGCAGGAAGGAAAGTAACTCTTTCCTTAAATGCTATGGTTTTTAAGAACTGTGAGAAGAAAGGACAAGAAAGAGAAATACCATGGCCATTACCCCAGTACAGAGAGGGTTGCATTACTTTGTCTTGCAACATTTAAGAGTAATCAAGAAAGGCAAAAAAAGAAAGGCTGAGCTCAAGTAGTTAGAGGCAATTCCCACAAGAATTGTGTGCATTGGCAGAAGAAAGAGGGATACAAAGTCTGGAGGTCAGAAAAGGAATCATACATAGTAAAGGAGTTTTGAAAAAACGGTCCCGGTGTGTGCTCTCTTAAATACTGTTTGGAAACCAGAATGCAGGACTGGAATTTAGATTCACTCAAGCCAAATTGACATGTATCTGGGAGAGAGTACATGAGAAACAAAACATTACAATTAGGAGGCATAGCATGGATATTAGGCCACACTATGGAGGTATACATAACAGATCTTGATATTTTATTCCATACAACCATATGTTGATGGTTTTTGAGAAGAACTGCAAGCAATAAGAGAAAACAAATTATAAGAAGTATTTTAGAACCTTATTGTTCTGAAAAATGTTCAGCTTCACTTTCCATATTCTGATATTTAATACAAAAGCATTTCACACTCTAATGATCAGACTTAATTCTGTTTAAAAAGTTCATACATACCTGTACTCGACTTTATTTCTCATATTCTTCACAAGAATGAAATAAATGAACACAATCAAATGAAATAATAATATAAATAAATTTATAGATAAACAAATGAAATAAATCTCTTCACAGACTTGCTTCTGCCTGTACTTAGCCCCGTTTACTGCCATTACATACTATTGCTTTAGAGCTTATATTAAAGAAGTCTTACAGTCTAGATTTAGAACCCGCTTGTGAAGAAGTTATTTTCATTTTGGAGTATTTAGTGTGGTGCATCCGCCTGCATTGTTTTAAGCACTTAAGAGCAATAAAACCCAGCCCACCAAAAAAAAACATACATGCAATTGTACTTACTCTCCATCAATCATTTTTTGCTTCAGTGCAATTAATGCGGCTACATATTCATTTATATTCTGTAAGGAAGAGTCTCAAGTTGGTAAAGAACTTATACCCCAAAAGCTAGTACTATCTACTGTAAGTACCCCTAACTTGATTGCTAATGTGGTACAGAATACAATAATCTGTCTTCTTTATTTTAGTCTTTATTACTAAGTCATCAAAAGTATATTCATTTAAATACAAGTAGAGAATGCAAGCTGCACAAGAAAGTATGCATACTTAAATGAGGCCTTACTACAAAAGCTGTTTAAACGTTGCTTTTGCAGTAGATTCTATACTAAATCCCCGTAAGATTTTCTGCTCAAAATTCAACTAAGCTTTGGCAGAATATTAGCAATAAAAAACATCAGCTCACTTGAGTCTACAGATTTTCCAAATTCTCAATCCATACTCATTCTAAATGTGTCTTATGGACTCTCAAAAGGGCGTTCCCTTTATTTACAAGAGAAACGAATATTGCCCAAAGCATAATACTATAAAAATACACGCTCGCTTAAGAGACCTCAGGGAAGAAAGTGAATCATAACAGTCTTTTCACTGCACCGAAGCAAAGCCAAAAGGATACGCCTAAAAATTCCCAGGTACGCCGCAGACACCTGAGCTACTTTTTCACATTTCGCCCGGCTAAAGCTCGACACTGCTGCTACTTTTACAAGTGTGCCCGTTCGCCACACACGCTATCCGGGTTCCCGCCGCGCCGGGAGCGGTGACTGTGGGACCCGGGTCTCTTCACCCGCCAGCGGCCCGGCGCAGCCCTACTACCCCGCTCCAGCGCCACAGGGAGGGCAGCCCGTGTCTACCTGCTGGAGAACACCGCAGTTGGCGCAGGCTCCGGCGGCGGCCGCAGTCCCGGCCGGCGGCGGCGTCTCCCCCGGCATCATCGTGCCCACAGCGGCGACTCTGCGCAGCCTGCTGCGTCACACGCCGCGCCATGGCCTCAGCAAGGACCCAGCTCGCCTTCACCTCCTCGAGGGTAATGCCAATCACTGCCTGAGTAGTGGCAGCGGAAAAGACAGTAGAAGGTGCTCTGTGCAGAAACTGACGTTGAAAGCAGCCGGCGAAGAGCGACTCGGCCAACTGCAAGACACTCGCATCTGCAACACCTTTCGACCAGCACGTTGTTTTATCTCCTTTTAGGTGCGGGCACTTCTGCTGGGCGCTCCTGCGGTCCCGGCGCAGGCGCGGGATAGGGCAGCTTCCCTCGCCTGGAGGAGCAGCGGGGCGGGGCCCGTGGGCACCGCGGAGGAGGGGGCAGCCCGGACTGGGACGGGCCGAGCGGAGCTCTACTGAAGCCAGGATTGCTGAACACTGGCCCCTGTGATCCTCTACAAGCCTGAGGCGAACTGCTCTCGCCACCCTCTCTCTGCTTCCCTTCTGGCGAACTAGAGCTACCGTCTAGATATGGGCATACTTAGCTGTTGCTATTCTCTGACGCGCACACCCCCAGTTCTTAAAACGGGAGCACACCAGTTCAGCTCACTCAGCATCTTGTGGGAGCATGATACTGATGGCAAAAGATCAAACTTTTCATTTCACTCAAGCATTTGTAAAGAGGCTTTCAAGGGTAGTATTTAGCACACTTATCATGGCTGCCTGCATCTACCACTTATGCAACATCTTTCTATAGTGAGCGAGCTACGGTAAGAGTTTACAGAATCATAGAATGTTTGGGTTGAAAGGGACCTTAAAGATCATCTAGTTCCAACCCGCTTGCCATGGGCAAGAACCTGCTGCTAGAACAGAATGCTGATGTGTTTCAGGCCATGCGTTCGATCACTTAGAAGTTAAAGTAGTAACTGGTGTGTTGTTCCACCTTGTTTTACTGTTGAGGTATGATTTCATCACATTATTTCCATAGTGATCATTTGGTATTTTGTACACAGGACAGATAGTTGCACACAGTGTGAGTTCTATTCAGCACATGCTGTTGGATTTTATTCACTGAATGCTCTTCGCAACATTGCTGATGCTTACATTTTTAGTCTACCTGAAACTTTCTCTGACTCAGTTTATCCAATTGCTTGTTCATTGTTTTCTTCCTTGTAGTTTGTACATATTCCTCAGAGGAATCAATATTGATCTCTAGATCTGCGCACCATGTTAAATCTTCCATCATCTGGACCTTGATGAAGACATTGAAACTTTTAACTCCTTGATCAGTGCTCTGATGAAACACAGTATTTCAGGCTTTCTCAATCTTTCTACTTTGAGAGCTTTACAACAGAATAATAAAATAGTCATTAGAGCAGCAGTAGAGTTTAAGTGTCAGTGTCACTGGAATGAATTCACTCTCTTGGGTAAAGTTTCCATGTGAAGTGCCCTTCAAAGAGAATGGAGCTGAGCACTACTCATTTTAGATTTGAGAATTTGGGGCTGTGATCAGGTCAGGTAACAAGGCACTTTATTAGGTGAGTTATTTAAGGGCAGGGTTCTGCAGAAATATATGACACTATATCTGAAAGAAATTAATAGCTAAGATGTTTTTAGAAGAATTCAGTGTTTCTTTTGACTCTTCATGCTTAAGTGAAAATGTTATCAAAATTTTGTTTTAGCATTGACAATGTTGAAATTTTCTAGTTGTTTTGACATCACAGAATCATTTAGGTTGGAAAAGACCTCCAAGATCATCAAGTCAAATTTTTGACCAACCTCCACCTTGTCAACTAGACTGTAGCACTAAGTTCCACATCCAGTTGTTTCTTGAACACCTCCAGGAATGGTGACTCCACTACCTTCGTGGGCAGCCATTTCCAGTGCTTTCCATTAAGAAATTCTTCATAGTCCAACCTGAATCTCCCCTGGTGCAGCTTGAGGCTGTGTCCTCTTGTCCTGTCACTAGTTGACTGGGAGAAAAGACCAATCCCCACCTTGCTATAACCTCCTTTGTAGTTGTAGAAAATGATAAGGTCCCCCTGAGCCTCCTTTTCTCCAGGCTTAACACCCCCAGCTCCCTCAGCCACTCCTCATAGTGCTCTTAACTCTTCACCAGCTTTGTTGCTCTTCTCTGGACACACTCCAGTACCTCAATGTCTTTGAATTGTGGGGCCCAGAACTGGACACAGAACTCAAGGTGCTGCCTCACCAATGCTGAGTAGAGGGAGGTAATCACTGCCCTGGTCATTCTGGCCACACTATTTCTGATACGAGCCGGGATGCCATTGGCCTTCTTGGCCACCTGGGCACACTGCTGGTGTATGTTCAGATGGCTGTTGACCAGCACTCCCGCATCCTTTTCTCCTGGGCAGCTTTCCAGCACTCTTCCCCCATGCTGTAGAGCTGCATGGAGTTGTGATCCTGCATGCAGGATCTGGCACTTTGCCTTATTGAACCTCATAAAATTGGTCTCAGCCCATCAATCCAGCCTGTTATACTCCCACCCAATTTAGTATTGTCCACGAACTTACTGAGAGTACACTCGATTGCCTCATCCAGATCATTAGTGAAGATATTAAACAGGACTGGGCCCAACACTGACCCTTGGGGAACACCACTAGTGAGTGGCCACCAACTGGATGCAGCATCATTCACCACCACTCTCAGGGCCTGGCCATCCAGCCAGTTCTTCAACCAAGCAAAGAACTGTCTAAGCTGTGGGCTGCCAGCTTTTCCAGGAGAATGCTGTGGGAGACAGTTTCAAAGGTTTTACTGACATCCAGGTAGACTACATCTGCAGCCATCCCCTCATCCACTAGGAGGGTCACCTGGTCGTGAAAGGAGATAAGGTTGGTCAAGCAGGACCTGCTTTTCCTAAACCCGTGTTGGCTGGGCCTGATCCCCTGGTTATCCTGTACATGCTGTGTGATTGCACTCAAGATAATCTGTTCCATAACCTTCCCAGGCACCAAGGTCAGGCTGACAGGCCTGACCTCCTTCCCTGGATCCTCCTTCTGACCTTACTTGAGGATGGGCATCACATTGGCCTACCTCCAGTCATTTGGGACCTCCCCAGTTAGCCAGGACTGATTATAAATGACAGAGTGGTTTGGTGAGCTCTTCTGCCAGCTCCCTCAGTACCCTCTCATGAATCCCACCTGAACTCATAGACTTTTGAGTGTCTAAATAGCTCAGCAGGTCACTAATGACTTCCTCCTGGATTATACAGGGATTCTAATCTGCTCCCTGTCCCTGTCTACCAGCTCAGGGGGCCAGTTGCCCTAAGGATAACTGGTCTTACTGTTAAAGACTGAGGCAAAGAAGGCATTAAGCCTTTTTCTCATTCTTGCTTACAATGTTCCCCACCATGTCCAATTAAGAAATTTTCCTTGGCCCTCCTTTTGTTGTTGATGTATTTATAAAAACCACTTCTTATTATCTTTCTCAGCAGTGGCCAGATTGAGTTCTAGCTGAGCCTTCACTTTTCTAATTTTCTCTCTACATGACCCAACAACATCCTTGTACTCTTTCTGAGCTTCCCGTCCCTTCTTCCAAGGGTCATAAACTCTTTTTTTCCTTGAGTTCCTGCAAAAACTCCTTGTTCAGACAGGCCAGTTTTTTTCCCCAATGGCTCATCTTTTGGCACATAGGGATGGGCTTCTGCGCCTTTAAGATTTCCTTCTTAAAGTATGTCCAGCTTTCCTGGACCCCTTTGTTATTAATGACTGTTTCCACCTGCTGGAAGTCCAAAGTAGATGTTCTGTTGACCCCCTTCCTTAATTTCACCAAGAACTGGAAACTTATCATTTTGTCATCGCTATGCTCAAGATGACCTCCAGCCCCCCCATCTCCCAGCAGCAGGTTTCTTCTCTCTCTGTTTGTAAACAGCAGGTCTAATGCGGCATCAGCCCTGACAGGCTCACTTACCAGCTATATCAGGAAGTTATCTTCTACACAGTCCAGGAACCTCCTAGACTCCCTTCTCTCTGCTCTGTTGAGTTTCTGGCAGACATCTGGCAAGGCGAAGTATCTCACAAGAACAACGGCTAGGGATCATGAAACATCAGTCAGCCTCACTCAGAATACTTCATCTGCCTCTTCATCCTAGTTAGGTTGTCTGTAAAAGACTTCCACCAGGATGCCTACTACCTTGTTAGCCTTCCCCCTGATTCTTACCCATAGGCACTCAACCTTATCATCACTATCGTTGAGCTCTGTACAGTTGAAACACTCCCTAATGCACACTTCTTCTAAAACAGCTCGTAAGTTTTAATGGTTCAGACTCTGAATACAGGCAGAATTAGGCAAGTAAACTTATGAAAATTTTGTATTGCCATTTAATTTTTTTATGTTACATTCCCATTCCTTGACAACAAGAAAATATTTTAAAGTTCTGTTTTAACTCACACTACAAAAACTAGTTATTAAAAAGCTAGTTATTTTCCTTTAGAAAAATAATATATCTTACAATTTAAAATAGGCAATATTAAATAATAATGTAAATTATATGCTTTTTTAAAAATTGCACTTAACTTGATTAGGCCAAGTAGAAGAGTGATTGTAGGGTATGGAATTCCAAGTTCTACTTCATTATATATCCAGTAATGAGCACATCAGAGTTCAGAAGATGCATGGGGATGGGAAGGCACTAAGAAGGGCAGACTGGATCTAAAAGAGAAAGGTTATAAATCTGGAATTTAAAAAGCCCTGTGAGTTCAACAGTAGACTTATACAGGGCTAAGATGTCTGTGCCATGAAGTCTGAGTCACAGAGACTTTGATCTCTTTTGTTGATGATAAAACAGAAAACTGGCAACTTGGTTAGCTGTGAAACTCCTCATTGCTGAATGGGGCCATTTTAAAAGAATTAAATTATGACTGCAGGGTTATTGTGTTTATTTAGCAGAACTGAAATAGTCAGCAGCACATGAACATGATTTCTTTACTGTTGCTTATAGAGATAACGTAGACTGTCCTTCCTGGTTTTCATGAATGAAGAACAGAAAGAATCAGGTGCTAACGTTCCCAAAAAAACACTCAGGTGGTCCTTAATAGCACAAAAGTGTCATCCTTTCATCACCAGTATCTGAAGGCAATTTTGATGATAGGTGCAATTAGAGAGACTGCAGAGGAAATGCCTAACCGTCTTCACAGCATGTCAAGGTGACAGCATCATGGTCTCTGGCACTCTCAGTTTTATACTTGAAAAGTTTATTAACCATAGTAAGTGTAAAAGAAATCTTTAGACTGGATATTAGTTCACCGAAAAAGAGTTATCAAGCATTGGAACAGGCTGCCCAATGAAATGCTTGAGTCACCATCCCTGGAAGTATTTAAAAGTCATGTAGCCACTTAGGAATATGGTTTAGTGGTGGACTTGGAAGCGGTAGGTTAGCAGTTTAATATGATGATCCTAGAGGTCTTTTTCAACCTAAATTATTCTACAATTTAATACTTTAATATTACTCCATGGAAATGTGCTGCTTCTACCTATCATACGGAGAGCTACTTCCTATGCAAAAACTTCTATGCAGTCTTTCAGTGGATTCTCTTGTTTCAGATGCTCTTGCTGATTTCAGATTCTTGCGGTGTTCTCCTACTGACAATCTAACATGAAAGGTTAGAAGTACTTCACACCTGTAGAATGGAAACACAGACTAATAGGATCCCACTCTTTTCAGTAGAAAGAAAACACATCAGGATGGAAGTATAAGCTTCACTTTTTCTTGCTTCCTGTCCCCAGCACCCTGGCATGCAATAATGGCAGGGAAGCAACTCATTTAACACAGACTTGAAACAGCTATTTTATTTAGACATTAGCAGGAAAGCATATTGTAATTTTGTTACTATAAATAACATTACAGCATTATAGAAAAAAATGGCTTGCAAGGGGCCTCTAGACATCTGTAGTCCAACCTGCTTGAAGTGGATTTAACTACAAGCTAGATCGGGTTGCACAAGGTCCTGTCCATGTGATTTTTTAAAACCTCCAAGGGTGTAGATCTTACCATCTCTCTGGCCACCCTGCTTAACTGTTATAAGAGTGAAGAATCATTTTATCCTCTCCAGTCAGAATTTCTGTTGTTTCAGTTTGAGTCTGTTGCTTCTTGTTTAATTGTGCATCTCAGAGAAGAGCTTGGCTCATTTTTCTCTATAAACCCCCTTAGACAGTTGAAGATAGGAATGAGATTTAGTCTTCTCTTCCTTTGGCTGGATAAACCCAGTTAGATTAGCCTCTCCCTGTATATATTATGGGTTCCCTTAGTGGCCCGTTCCTCCAGCTTGTCAATGTCAATGTGAATGACAGGCTTTTCATGTGCTCCCTGCAATTTTGTGTCATATGCCAACTTGCTTAGGATCCTTCTGTCCCCTTTTCCAGGTCATTGATGATGATGTTAAACAGTGTCAGCCTCAATGTTGACCCTTAAGAAATTCTGTTTAACTAGGCTTCCAGTTAGATGATTACTTGCAGTTAGTCACAGAGGAGTTGTTTACCTTTGGCTGTCTGGTATAACTGAACCTCTTCCTATTTTACTTCTCTCTCTTCCTCTCTCTCTCTCACTCTCTATACAGATATGTACGTACACACACATACATTCTGCAGAATTATGAGTTTCTGTTACATAAATTGACAGTAAAGGAATTTGACACAGGTATGCTATTTTTTGCTCTTCTCTATTTTCACCTTTTTCAGGTTTTTCCTCTAGTGTAAGACATATCCAGACACACCAGTTGAACTTATCTGCTGGGTTATCACTGCTGCATAGTATTCAGAGTCCTGAGAATAAATATATAGGATTTTTTTCAGGTGAGTGTACTGCTGAATGGAAAAAGCTTCTGTTTCCTGTAGTCTAATGGACATTGTGTAGGAATATGGGAGAGTCCTAGTTCAGGGTGAAGATGATATATCATATTCTTATCTCCCTTCTCAAGCTTTCTCCTTCTTTACTGTATTTTCTGAGTGCATATCTCTTCAATACTGTAATACCTCTTTTTTAGATCTGATTTGTCAGATATTGGAAAGCAGCTCTGTTACCACAGGCTACTCATCAATTCAGAGACATGCTTTCTTCTGATTAGGAAAGTAACTCAGAGAGGGGCTTTGCTTCTTCATTCTGTTACCATGACATCAAAGACTTTTTCTGTATAATTTCTGAAGTATCATTCTTAGTGCCTCTTCTCAGTATTGGGATAACATCCAGGTGTTAAATTATCTGGCATTGGTGGTCCTATATAGTTTTACTTCATGCAGTGAATTCTTTTACTTCGTTTCCTCAAAGAATGATAAGTGGTAGAGAAAGGAGGGTATACTGGTTGCAATGATCTATTTAAAATCCCTCACGATTAAACATTAAGATCTTTCCTTTTTAAAGAAAGCTTAATCTTATCATAGTAAATTGTGTGACACAACATTGGTAAGAATCCTCTTGTATTCTTTTTCTGGAAATTACATAAAGTAGGAAAAGTTGACTAGAAATCACAGAGATGTGACTTCTCAGTGCTAGATCCACTACATGCCAGCTGTACATGTGACAGATGCAATGGAGCAAGTGCCTTATGGTTAGAAGTGTAGTTAACTGAAAAATATATGTATGGTAAGGCAAATATGTTGGGTTTTGTGTGGACATTGGAGATGCTTTGTGTTCATATTGGGCATCTCAGCCGCACTGATCAAGATTTTCCAGGCAGAACAATGGATGCTTGGAAACTTTGCAGCAAGATAGAGTTTATAGCTAAATTCTTCCCCCAGAATATGTTGCCTGCAGTAAGCGCATCAGAAGTTAGTTGCCAGGAGTCCGTTAGCATAAAAGCCTATGGTCCTACTTGCTTCCCTAAGGATGCCATACTAAAATAATACCTACTCTATACCTGCAGACTGGTGATCTGTGCTTAGTTCCTGGTAACACAATGTGCTGTCTTTAGGTGATGCACATTGCTACCTCATTTGCTGTTTTCCAAACTGTTGAGGAATATATCTGGTCTAGGTAGCTCATCTTGCAAGCTGCAGATTGAAATGCAGATTGGCGCTGGGGACAAGAGGCTGTGAACTGCTGACCTTTTGAATAATGGCTGTGCCATGAATAAATTACTTCAATGAACTAGACATCTGAGACTCTGCTATGGGAAACCTGGGGTCAAACCGATAAGGAAACCTTGTCTGACTGTGTGAGTGGGGTGTGCAGGGAGTAAAGCCGGGCATCTGTTGGTTCACTGCAGCCACCCGCTGTGAAGGGGCTTCAGTCCCAGCAGTTAAAGTGTCTGGTGTTGAGAGTGTGACTGCCAGAGTCTCACAAATGTTCACTGTGAAGTTTCCTTAAACACAAACCAGACAGCTTTCAGCACCTCCTTAGGCCTATGGATTACCTGCTGCTTTCTTCCTCCTAGGACAGCAGAGCTGCTGCTTGCTGAAGGGTTCAAACCAAGGTGCAAGTTCTTTGGAGCCCTGTGGGACTGGTCCACTATCTATCTCAGCAATGCGTAGAAGGGAACAGTTGCTGTAGGCCACCTCTCTTTGTCCGGGTAAAAGGGCTGTGAGGGGACTTCAGAACTTGTCTTCCATAAGTAGGAAGAACACTGTTAGGACCTGGGACACTGTCATAATTTGAGCCACCCCCCCGGGGGCCAGGGGGCTTGGGACAGTTTATAACTGGACCGAGTACCCGTGGCCAAGGCTAGGGGGCTCTTTTTTTCTTCCTCCGCTGCCCAGGGAGGCAGTGGTGTGGACATAAGGCTCGGTACTGGAGCTGAGCCAGGAGACGGGACAAAGGGTTCAGAGGCGCCCTACGTGGGTTTGGACAAGGGCAGCCAAAAACTGAAAGCTGCAGCAGCTAAGGAAGAGAGGAAGCCAAACCGGCAGGCTTTTTCTGGGTAAGGACTTTTAGTGAAAGCTATTTGGGGTAAAAAGACTGAGTGAGACCCAGAAGCCTGCAACCTGGAGAGTGAGAATGGAACATCTTACTCTCTGGGAGGAAACCTTCACGAACCAGGGAAAAAGGACTCAAAAGCTGACTCCCTGGACCTTTTGTGATGAAAACCTGATGATGCAAGTGTTTCCCTTGCAGCTCAGGAGGAGACCTCAGCAGGAGCTGAGGGCTGATGGGGGTGCAAGAGACCCCTTTCCCAGATACCCCAATGAGAGAGAGACTTATCACTACCGCCTTGAAGACTTCTTCTTAAGTGATGTGGGAGGATCCAAGGGGTGCTAGGGATTGTGTTAATATTGTGTATATAATTGCTTTTTAGCTTCTGTAGTGTATAGTAATAAATTGTATATAATCCCCTTCCCCCATACTGAGTTGTGCCTGTCTGGAAGTTTCTCTTCGGTGTTGAGGTAAATTGGGGGAGGGGGGCTTGGAAATTCGAAAATGGATTTTTAGAGGGCTCAAACCACGACAGACACCAGGAGAAAAGGCAAGATCAGCTTGTGCTATGCACCTCAGAAGTCAGAAGTGGGTACAGAATTTCAACATCTGAAAAGTTATCTCTGAGGCTCCCTGCTGGGCCACTGTCTTTTGACTGACACTGACCATTCTGTTAACCAGTACCATGTTATTAGTACCCCACTACTATGGTTTTTAGCTTCAAACTTGTTTGGATTAGCAGGGCACCCATACTTGGTAGTTTAAGTGCAATGTAACTTTTTTTTTTTTGATATTTTACTCTTTCAGTGCTGCCTCACCAGGACTCTAAATGATCTTTTATTTTATATCACCTTTCAAAGGTCAGTGCTCAGTCTATTTCCTCTGTCTGTGCTGTTCCAGATTTTACAGACCTCTATCATATCCATAAAACATACACACTCTTTTCCAAAAGGTTTATCTGATGTCGGGGTTTAGAAATGTAACAAGAACTGCTAGTATTTACAATATTAGGAATAAATAGGTGTTCTTGCAAAATTTGTGGTGTGGTTGCATTTGATGCTGAGTAGTGACAATTTACTGGTTGTTCAGTTGTTTAGTTATAGAAAAGTGCAATTTGCTCAGAAACAAAGGAACCATATAATGGGGGCATATAATGGGGGCATTGTAGGCATGTTGGGAAGGCTGTAACCCCAGAGTACCTCAGCCAATGGGGAAACAGGGAGGGACCTGCATTTCAGGCAAGGGGATAAAAGAGGCTGTGACCTCTATCAAGTTGAGAGACTTCACTGGGGATTGTCTAGTGAACTCTCCCTTTTATTCGAATAAAAATTTTAGTTAGCTCCTCTGTCTTTTGGACATTTTTGAGGCTCATAATAACAGAAACATAGATATATATATATGTCGCTGTTGAGACGGCCAAAGCAACACAGAAACAGTCTTTTTCCAAAAATAGGACAGGAGAGGGATAGGATCTTTATTGCAACAGATCTCTGACATTTGTACTCCCCAGTGTAACATACATGTTGCATTATAATTGGTGTTTCTTCATAAACATACCTTAGGATTGGCTGTCCTACAGCAAACTCAGAATGATTCAGCATTTGCAGACTCACAGTGACTTGCTCTAGCAAACTCATGGTGACTTTGCAGGAAGTTCAGGATATCAGCTTTTACAGACCTGTCTTCCTTCCGACAGACCTGCTGTCAACCCTGACATATTTTTCAGAACAACAACATAGAAACTACAGATAGCTGAGCCAAGTGATTTAAAGAAACAATGAAGGGGGGAACTGAGGCAGTCAGCCAGGCAACACCCAGTTACTTTTTAACCAGGTGCACTGACTTGAAGAAGTTCACAAGGTGGTCACTTAGAACTTTGGGGGGCTTCAAAGAAGACCACCGAAGACCACTGAGGAAGACCCTCAGAGACCTTAAAAGGATATGCATGTATGTTAATAAGTGTTGGGAAATTCCGTGAATATGTAACAGGAATGCAGGGAATGAAAAATGAATAATCATGTAACATTGACATATAAGCTGTAGTGAAGATACCTCAGGGTGAATTTTGGCAAAATGATGACCAGTGCACCCAGTGCTGATTAAAGAATGCCTTATTTCTAAAACTTAGAGGTTTCTTTTAAGTGCTTCCTTTAGGCAACATATCTAAGTCATTCTTGCTTATGATCCCTTTTTCTTTGCCTTTTTCTGAACCTTTCCCTTTTCCTTTGTCCTCTGAGATAGAGGACCTGGATTTGTGTATAGTATCGATCGATTCTTACACTGTTTTGGTGTTATCTCTGTTTATTCTTTACTCCTTTCTTAGCAATGCTTAATAATTTGATTTGCTTTTTTTTCACACTATTGAGCATAAAAAAGACATTCTCATACAACTACCTGTTATAACTGTTGTAACAGCTTAGGGCTCTTTATTTCAAATGTGAAGATAGGATGGTTTATTCCCATATGCCCTGCTTCCATCTTCTTGCCCATATACCCAGTACCAAAGACTCTTCTGCTTGCAGTTCTTCTCAGCCTGCCATTGCCTATATTTCCCTAAATAACACTGTACTGTCAGCAGACTCTGACGCTGCCATTTTCAGATCTTTGAGAAATATGTTGCACAGATTAGGTTCCAAAACATTTCCTTGTGGGACTCTATTGATGACCTCCTTTTACTGTGAAAATGGGCTATTGATTCCTACTGTAGATTCCTGCTACAAATTCCTATCTTTCAATCAATTATTTAGTCCTGCAATTATTTATTTCTTGGCAGTCTAACTTTTGAGAGCTGATGACTGGCCTCTCCAAATACCTTCCAGAAATCCCTGGTCAGGATTCCAGGATCTATCTCCCTTAGCCACAAGGGATTCATAAACGTTTCAGTGGAATTGTGAGGCAGTTCTTTACAAAAGCCATTATGACTCATCTTTATGCATATGCTTACTAATTCTGATCTATCTTACAGTTTCCATTAAATTGCCCGCTATGGACATCAGGTCTGTACTTTTCTAGATTTCTTATAGCATTCTTTTAAAATCAGCTTTTTAAAGTCAGCTATAGCTGACACATCCCTGTCTTCTCCTACCAAAGCAGTTTTATATTAGAAGTTTTTCAGGTGTGGCAGTTTGAGCCACATTAGAAATCCAAAATCCAATTTCCAGGCTTTCCCCCACCCCTTCCCACAATTTATCCCAACACCGGAGAGAAACTTTCAGGCCAGAAGCTTCTATAGGGGAAAGGGAAAGTATATACATTTATTTACACAAATAAATATTATACAAACTAAAGGCGACTATATATATATATATTATTACATTTCTATCAGTCCTTTAAGCCCCTCCCTTTAACTTTAGTCCAGGAAGAGCCTTTCAAGGCTGGGAAATAACCAGTCTCTCTCTCGTGGGAGTGTTTCTACCAACCTCAAGCTGTTTGCTGCAGTTTTTCTCCTCACAAAGTCCAAGAAGATAGCTTTGAGTCCTTTCTCCTCAGTCTGCTGTGTGACCTCTCTTTCTCAGTCTCATACCTCGATTCGTAGGCTGCTGTAGTGTAGCTTATCAACTTACGCGTCCTGGAATGTTGACTCCTCCTCCAGGTTTTCATCTGTCTTGCATTTAAATCATGGCAGAGACATTCTCTGGGCCTCTCTCTTCAGTCCATCTCCAGTTTTGCCTGGGATTCCTTTCCCTGGCTCTGAGCTATATTTAGCCCGTCCACTTTGGCTCTGCTCCAATGCTGAGCCTCTCCTCCACTTTACAGTGGAGAGAAAGAAAAGCCCCCCCCTCCACAGTTTAATTGCAGAAAGGAGGGGGAAGAGGGCTTGGCTGCAAAGCCTGCCTCTCTCCTCTTACCTCAGGTGCTGTGAGTCGCGTCCCTCACAAACATTCACTCTAAATGCTGCCTCTAACTCTGGCCTAGGCAGAGTTGGGGGCCACAAGGCTCTCCTTCCTCCCCCGGAGGGGGGAAAGAAGGAGCCCAGCCACCCCCTGGCCTTCTCCACCTACACACAGCGGACACCAACAGCAAAACACTGCCAGCAGCTTCCGGTGCTGTGTATATATGATTTTTAGCAGAAGTGAACAAGACAAGTGGTGACTGGCTCTCCAGGGAACACTGCCCTGGCACCCAATCACCTCTGAGCCCCCGACTCTCAGGGAGGCCAATCTCAAACTATGACACAGGACATTTGTAGTTCACCTCTGAATTCTTTTAAAATTCCTGGGTATATACCATCTGGTCCTTGTGATTTATTACTATTAATTTTGCCTGTATGTTCCATAACCTATATATTACATACTGAATCTTTCAAGACATAACCCCTGGTGAGTGCCCTTCTAAAAAAGAAGAGCTGGCTCAGGAATCCATATCTGCTGCAGTGAGCACAGATGTAAAGAATGAGTTTAGATTTTTGGTTATTTTCTCTGTATGGTCCTTTAAATTTCTTTTAATTTTCCTGGCGCTGCAGTCTGTCTGGAGATGTCCAGAGCCTGAAGTGTTTGAAAGGGGTTTATTATTAGATTTTATGCCTTATGTAAGTTGTTCTTCAAACCCTTTTAGCCTGTCTCATGGTGTGGTTTACTTTTCATCTGTCAGAAATTTGGTTTCTATTTTCAATTTATGCCCAAATTTAGCTTTTGGAAGGATGCTTCTGAAAAGCTGTCCCCAGCAACAGACTTTTTTTTTTTAAACGAAAGCACATGCTGGTGGACTTTTTTTTTTTTTCACTTGTCTATAAGGGCTTTATGTAAGGTAGGAAAGGACGAAAGAGAGAGAACATCGCTGTGTGCTGCAATTGACTGTGCCCACAGCATTCTTCCCTTGCCTTCTGGAGGTGTACACAGTAGTCTATTAGATTATTGCTTCTGGATGCAGGGATTGCAACCCTAATGGCATCTGGAATTACCTAGGAACAGCTTCTTTAAAAACCAGGAATTCCAGGAAATCCTTTGCAAAAAAGGGTATTGTATATATGCAGAAGACTCATGCTGAACATCTAGACTTGTAATTTATTGGCTGTAGACCATTTCATCTTCCTCACCAGAATCTCAGCATCATGACAACCTTGCTGTCTTCATGTCAAAGCATGTCCTCAGTAGTCACTGACCCCAGTTGCTGACTGGTTCTTAAAAATGACTATACAGTGATGCCAGCTCAGGAGTGAATATGTTTCTGTTAGAGATTTATCTTCTTTGGCATGCATGGTGACACAGACAACAATGGCTAGGGTTTCCCTTCCTTCTGCTTCTCTACCTCATCTCCCCCTCTCCCTTGAAGGCAAGGCTGTTTATAGGCATCCCTGCTGCCGAAGACATCTATGTAAGAGACCTGAGTACATCTCTCCCATGTGCCTTTCTCCCCACCCTGGGAGTTTGTCTGGATGAGCTCAGCATCAACTTTTGTAAGTAGCTCTCAGGCCTTGAAAAACCTCAATAGGTGCCTGCCCCTTGCTCTTTCCCCTGCTGCTTTAAAATACCTGCTCTTGTCCTTTCCTCCTGAACTATGTTGCAGATATGCTTGTGTCTACCCTCTCTAATCCTTTGCCTGCTGGCTTGACTTCAGCCTTGAGCTGCCTTGTCATTACAGGTTCGCATAGCAACCTGACCTGTTGCCCGGGCTGTTGGTGAACTTGCTTTGCTCTTCTTGCTCAGGTATTGTGGAATTTACTGACTCTCAGCTCCCAGCTCTACTTTACATATGGAGCATTCTGTCCCTGCTACTTCCTGACAGGCATACTGGTCAGATGGAAAAAAGCAGCTACTGAAAAAAGAAATGAGTGATAAATGGCAAAAAGATGGGGAAATAAATATTCAAGCATGACAAAGTAGAAACAAAAAACATGTTTTAAGAGAAGGTGTATGATACAGTGGGGAGATCCTTGTCCTTCCCTTGAGCTGAAAAGAAGAAATTATAAGGAAAAGATAGAAAGACTATTTTTGCCAAACTAAAGAAGAAAATAAAATCACATGCGCGTACAGAAATGTTAGGCAATTAAGTTAGGCTATCAGGAGTGGATGGAATTGTCCCAATGCAATTTAAGACAGGAAAGGAAAAAAAAAAAAAAAGCAGAACTGTTTAGATAAAAAGGGAAAACAGAGAACAAAGGAAGACCTGTATGGACCTAATAATTGGCAAATGTGCAGCAGAACATACAGGTGAAAATCCCTATAGTACTTTCCAGAAAGAAACTGGTTTCTTGGTGGTAACAAAAAAAGAGTGTGGATGCTGAAGTGGTAGTACTGTGGTATTCACGAAAAGCACTGTTAAACATTTTTAGTAGTTCTATGTGAATATTATGGACACATCTTTACAGTAGTTACAGAGAAGTCTATGGGAACCAGAGGACTATTGCAAGTTTCTTGACAGCAGCTGGAAAACCATGTGTCTCTGAAGGGATGCCACTGCTGCGTACCTTTCTTTGCAACTTTAGATGATCACCATGTTTACATATAGTAAAGCACTTCAAACACACTCAAAATGCATGGCAAAACATGTAGCATCGTCATAAGGGCGTTGCTATACTGGTTTGCAAACTTCCTCTGCAATGTCAGGAGTCTGGGGTGCATTTCAATGGCTAGTGTTTCTGCAATAAGCCCACTGGTTCTTTAAGGGCTTTAAAGTCCTGAACTTTGCCGACTAGGAGTAATAGAGCTATGCAGCAAATGGAACTTCGAAGGGAGACTTTCACCAGGAGAGTGTGGAGGTCAAAATGCAGACAGACTGCATGCAGCAGTGCTCCTGAGGTGCCATTCTTCAGAGCTGCTGATGCTATAAAACTGTGAACTTTCTCTGCAGTGTCTGTAAAGATCAGCAGCTCTGTAAGGACTCCGAAATGTTCAGTAGATGTACTGTAACCATGGCACTGCAAACCTCTGCAGGGAGGTTTGAATCATACAATGGTTAAACACTGGTGCTGAAACCCGCAGTATGATGAATCATGCAATTCTTATGGAGTATTTGTAGCTGGAGCATAAGATTTGTCTGCAGCACCAGCTGGAGTATGGGAATTCTTGTGTGGGCTTTTTGGGATGACACGTGTGTGTCTATGTCACCTCCTTTAAGCAGTTGCATGCAACATGCAATAGACAGCCTGATGACACATCCCTGCTTTCTATCTTGTGGCTACAGAAAGCACCTCTTTGCACTGAGACAGAGACACTAGCTGTCCTGAACCCACCCTCCTGCTCTTGGCCCGCTTAGCCGGAGTCTAAACGCAGCAGGCAAGCCGATTGCCAAACAAATGATAAATTTATTGCCAGCGCTAGCATTTCTTTGTCGCTGTTAGTTTTCCTTTCTTCCTCCTTTGCAATATCACAGAAGGCTTCCGATTTCCAGCTCTTTCCGTCGGCCGGACACGCAGCATCCCCCGCTCGGCACCGGCTGGTCTCAGGGCCTCGCGGCGGGTGCTGCCGTCCTCGCCCCGCCCCGCCCCGTCCCTCCCGCCTCGTGTGCGCCTCTGCTCTTCCGCTCGCGCTTGGGGCTCCGTGCGGCTGCGCGCGCAGAGGCGGGCCTTGGTGGTGGCGCGGGCGCGAGCCGTGCGCGTTCGCGGCCGCGGGGACGCCGGACCGCGGAGCGAGGTTGGCGCTGGTATGGCGGAGGCGCGGCCCGGCGCAGGTGAATGCGACTGCCGGGCTGGGGCGGGGGGGCTCAGGCCTGCAGGCGGGGTGGGCCCAGTGAAGGGGAGGAGCAGCCATCACTCCGCAGCGATACTGCCGGGCAGAAGCCTGCGCCATGGCGGTCGTGACCGAGTGCTGGGTCGTGGAGGGGTGCGGGTTGCGGCACCACCTGTTGCCGCTGCCCCGCCCCCGCCCGCCGCAAGTTGGCGGCGCCTGTGGCGCTCAAAATGGCTGGGTTCGCCTGTGCCGCAGGACGCGCTAGGGAGAATTTTGCCTGAGGAGGAACGTACGAGCTTCTAGTATGTGACAAAGGAATGGTAATGTCAGAGAAAATCTGAAGAGGCGCTTAGTTTCGGGAGAATCTACTGCTCTCTGTCCACACCCGTACCCGTGAAAGCCGGGTTTCAGGCTGCCTGCACGGGGCAATGACAGTGACAATGTCTTAGCCCTACAAGCTGCTGTAAAACCTCGGCTTTTCGAGGAATCTGTGAGTAGAGGTCTTGGACGTGCAGGAGGTTATTGCTTAGAGTAGGTGCTACCTGTCTAGAGCGATCTCGGCAGGGGCTCACGAGTGGAGAGCGTCATAAGGACCCGAGCCGACCTGGACGGGGATTTAGCGCCACAAATGCAAGAAAACACTTTTATTTGTTTTGCCCTGCGTACTTGTATGATGCAAGTTCAGATTAATTTTAATTTTATTGGTTGTGGCTGCTGAGGAAAAGGAGGGAAACCTTTCAAGATCTATATTCCAGCCTTGCATTTAATGATTTATCATGCATTATGGGCACATAATCCTTATGTAATTGTGTCTTGAGCATGTATCCAGAAATAACACTGTTGCTTAGAGTAATTAACAATATTTAGTTTTTTCATCACATTCTTAATTTCTTCTAGTCTAGGTAGACTTCTCAGGTAATAAATGTCACATTGAGGTCCACTGATGAGCTAACTCATTTCATTGTTTATAGAGTTGTTGGATTTCTGTCAGGGAGAATCCTGGAATTTTTGTGTCCTGGGTGAAGAAGAAAATATCAATCTCTACTTTTGCAGCACCCTGATGTTAATTCAGTTTAAGATTATCATTAGTTTATGTCCTAAACAGTATCCCCTGTTCTTGGCAGCCTGGCTATCATGACGGAAAAGTTACTTGAGGTCATTTTTTGGTGGTATGAAAATGGGCCCTCAACTGCCTTGTGGCAGGTGAAATGGCCTAGGACATGGTTCAGAGAGCAGAGATTGATAGTTTCAGTAAAGTGGGTACAGTCAAATGTCTGCTTGTCTGATTATCTTTCTATCAGGCTGCAGGTCAGCTCTGATTGTGAAATCTTTTGTATGGTTTATATATATTGGAATAAAAAGTCTTAAATAGGTATACTGAGCTAAAAATTGCTTTACTGAAAAGCAGTAGATTAGTCTGGATGATGCACCACTTCTACGCTTGCCTTATAATACTTAAGATAATTGCAACAGATACTGTTGTATGGCATAAGTTCTGAAGTTGATTTATTGTTGTGGCAGTACTGTGTTATCAACAGCAATCTCATAGGTAAGTTTTGAATTGCACTTGTGTGGCGTTAGGGTGTAAACTGGCTTTTGCCCTGCAACTTCATGGACAGAGTGAGCGTATGATTTTAGGAGCTTAAAACTGAAAGATGTTTCTGCTTTTGGGGTAGATCAGGGAGTTGTAGAATGACAGTTTTCAAACACTGCAGATGTGCAGCCCATCCAGTGTATTTTGCCAATAGTGAACAGGGAAAACGACAAAGAGGAAGAATATAAGGAACAAGGCAACTGTAGAATAAGTATTCACATTGATATGCCTTTCTAGTTTCTGTCCCTCTGCACCTAGAAGGGACAAATGCATTGTATTTAAGAGCTGTTAATGGATTTTTTTTATCAGTTGGTGTAATTGTTGTTGAATGTAGTTTTTGGGTTTTGCCCTCACAATGGCAGCTGAGTGTTTTACATGGTACAATGCGTCATTAAACTGAAGATATCACAGAGTTTCTCTAAAACCTGTAAGGGTGAACAGGAAAGTGAATGCACCATTCCTCTTTTTTTTTTTTTTCTTTCTGGTACAGTTTAATACCGGTATTGTAAGATTTGCAGGGAGTGTCTTCCCTGTAACTTATGCTTCATGTTCAGCGGACTGGACCGTTTCTTGTCTGGGTATTCATAGTGCTGACACAAATACATTGTTATGTACACACTATATTGTCATCTGTCTTTAGGTGACAAAATTGGTTATTTGAATTACTTAAAACTGAAGACATCAGTCCTCAAATTAAATTGAGAGATAGTATATAAACTGAACATATAATCCTAGAATATTGAGTTGGAAGGGACTCGAAAGGGTCATTGAGACCAGTGCCTGACATCACACAGAGTGACCTAAAAGTTAAACTAGATATCTAAGAGCATTAGAAAAGATACAAGGACTCCCTGAAACAACATCTCAGCCTTGGCCATATTGATCACCACAACTGGTCTACTCTGGCCTCAAATCGGGAGGCCTGGAGACACGCCATCTATAACGCAGCTGTCTCCTTCGAGAACACACGTAGGATCACTCTCGAGGAAAAAAGGCAGCGCAGAAAGAACCGTGTATTGCAGAATACACCTCCTAAGGAGTCTTTCTGCTGTGCCTTTTGCAATCGGATATGTCTGTCACGTATTGGCCTCATAAGCCACCAACGTGCCTGTAGCAAATGTGGATAGAGCCTTCCCAAATCTTCGTTCGCGAAGCCTAGCCATGAATTCAAGCACTTATTAAACACTAAAAAGCTTGGGCTCAGGACCACTTCCCTGAAAAGCTTTTTCTGGTACTTGACTGCCCTTTAATTGAAGAATTTTTTCCTGTTACTATCCAGTCTGACCTTTCCTTGATGAAGCTTTAAGGTGTTCCATCATGTCCTATCACTGGCCACTAGGGAGAAGAGATCAGCATCTCCCTCTCCGCTCTCCCTCATGAGAAAACTGTTGGCAGCAATGAGGTCACCCCTCAGTCTCCTCCAAACTCAACAAGGCTAGTATTTTCAGCTGCCTCTCATGTCTTTTAGTCCTTTCATTGTGTTTGTTGCCCTCCTTTGGACACATTCTAATATTTTTATACCCTTCTTGTGTTGTGGAGCCCAAAACCACACACAGTACTCGAGACACCCGTAAATTCAGCCAAAAATAGTATCTCGATAAAAAGGGGTCAATTAAAAAAATGAGTGCTTGTCCAGTCAGAAAAACTGGTACTAATCAGTATTGTTTGTTTCGTTCCACTTCTGTATTGATCATGCTACTGTTGTCAGCACGTACCCCCTAATGGTGGTATGGTAAAATTACAAGAGACGATTTTAAACAGTAACAGTACTGTAACAGTACTTGAGAGACCTAGGTAGCATTAGCTTTTTGGTGAGTATCTTGGCCTAAGTCATAGCCTAAGCACTTATTTGAATTCTCATGAACCAGGGATAAACTGCACCCTGCCCTACCATGAGGGGTAACCTACTCAACGTGTAAAATCGGTACTACCCCCATGAGATTTTAGAAATTTCTTCTCTTTTTTACGTTCCTGTGTAAGACTTATCCAATATGCCACAGACTGTTAACCTGTCCCTGATATTCACTTAATAATTTCTGTTGCAGGCAGACACTGCTGGCACAATGTTACAGGAAATTGAGCAACATAGGATTTCCTATGTGCACCTCTTTCTTTTATTTAGAGACATAGAAATTACAGAAGACTTCTGAAGTAGAAGCATGGTTCATGTTGATGGCCTCAGAAAAATAATTCTGCAAAGCTGCCCTGGATAGTCCCTTTACTGTTTAATATGTCTGTATGTAGAACAGTATAATCAGAGTTCATGCAAACATTTACTATTGCTACTTTTAATTTATATTCCAAGTTTTGTATAATATTAAAATTTCAGATGTAGACAATTGTATTTAAAGAACGCCTTTTTCTTCAGGTTCATGTATGTATGTAAACATGCTAGGAAAAACTTCAGATATTAAACATTGATTATCACACTTGCATGTCTTGTACTGCTTCAAACGTTTTTCTTTATCTTTTATTTTTATATTCTTAACTCTGGGTCATCACAGTCCTTCTGTAAAGATAACAAGAGGAGTCTTCTACAAAGCACTGTATGATTCAGTTCTAGTTTCTGGAAACTTGTTTGCAGTTGTTGTGTGAAATGTGGGATTGATTGAACTTCTGTACCTTTGCATGTGTAGTAATTTTGCTGAAAAGAAGTATTTACTATTTCATAGTTTTACATATTTGCTTTTATTTTTTAATTTTTAGGTACATTGAATTTCAATCCTGATGCTGCTGATTCCATTCCTGGAGAAAGACAACCTACAGATATAAATTGGGTAAATAAAGATAGGAAAGAGTCTAACAGTAATCAGAATAGAAGTAATTTATCATTTCCTAGTCTGTCTTCTGAAAGAGGTACAGACCATGAAACCTCTTCCACAAAGCACCATGGCTTTTGTAATCCAGAAAGTCAATATGGGAATTCTGAAGACTTCCACCAGTATTTTAGTACCAGTAAAAGTTTGAAGAATCGCAACTTCCTAAGCCAGAGATTGCACAGATCAAGAAATGATAGCACATGTACTAGAAATAAGATAAGGCAAAATACTGCTGATGCTGCTGCAGGTCCAGAAATTTCAGGTGTTGCAATAGTACCTAGTAGAAGAGCACCTCCTAGAGGATATAATGATTTTCTCTCCTCAGAGAGTGACAGGGAGGTACCTAATGCAGATAGCAGAGGAGCAAAGCCAAAGAAAACGCATCTGATGCATGCATCTGGAAGAGGTTTCAGGGAGAAGGGAAAGCAAGTACATGACCGTGAAAAGAGAGTGAGCTCTAAACAGAAAGTAGAGCTGCTTGAAAATGTTCCATCTTTGGATTTGATACAGTCTGACTCTTCAGAATCTTCTGTTGGAAAGGCATTCTGTGATGCACCTGTTGGTAGTGGGGATGAGCAAAAAGGCTACAATTATCTAAACAAAAGATATCCCCGGAAGCCTGTGTGGAATAAACCCTCAGTAGAAAAGGAGTGTCAGAAAAGACATGATTCTCACCGTAGTAAGAATACAAAAGTAGGTAAGAAGTCTTCTCTTGCATATACTCCAAAAGATAAAAATGAAAGGAAGAAAGAACTCCCTGTCCACAAGAATGATGAAAACTTGACCAAGGAAGTCAGGCATCAATTGTCTGAGTCTCTCAGACTCAGTGGAAGAAAGTTCCTGCTAAAGGGGGATCAGGCACCTGCACTTCATTTTAGCTGGACCCAATACTGGAAAAAGCAAAGTGATGTACCAAAAAACAAAGAAACTCATACCGGTAAGCTTTCCAGACTGTTCTGTACTCCTGCATTAAAGATACAATCATGAATAATTTAAACTCTTCTCTTCAACTACTGCCTTGAGTAGCTGAAGAGGCTTATTATTTCACATTAGATTGGTATTGGTTTCAGAAGGTAGAATTAAATGTAGATGCATGATTTCTGAGTGACGACATGTTCTATAAGTTTACTAGAGAAGGACAGATTTTGTTTAAAGTTTTTTTCTGTTTCACTGTCGAACTGCAAATGATGACCTGGTCGGGGACCATGTTAAAACGTGTGTGTTGTGTGAGTAAACTTCTAAGCATTCTGAACAATGGGACTGGAGGACGACAGTGCTAAACTGATTTTTGCAGAATGAGTTTTCTAATGTTATATGTAGAAATAGGAAAATGCCAGACAGAGAAACTGTTTTCTGCTTCTAACTGAATTTTGTGGTTTTTTCCTACAATGGTAGTATTGAAAGGTGATTAGAAATAGAGGCGATCTCTGGACACTATTTTTGGAAGTTTGAGAACAGAAACGTAGTGTTTGTTAACAGTGTAAAGCAGACTCACTGGTTTTGAATGTTGGAGCGAATTTTCTGCCGACTCATACCACTAGTGACTGAAAACATTAAATGGAAATCAGCTGAATCTCTTCAGTGCTATTAGAAACACTAAATAATGTTTCTGTTTCAAGAGAAACCTAGGTAGCTTTTTCTTTCAGTTTTACATAAGTGTGCACTTAAATTGTGAGGCTTAGGTGTTCAGAGGCAATAAGGAGAAACACCAAGAATGATATTAGTTTGTTTTTTTTACAAAGCATCTCAACCTTATCCTCTGCAGCCCAGAATGATAGAGATGGATAGAGTAGTTCTTGTTATTGTAACTGTGGTATCAAATCTATTGAAAATTTTGCTTCTCAGCATCTCTTGTATTTCAGACATGAAAAAATAGTAGCATAATTGGGAAGCATAGCTCTAGTCAGAAATTTTGTTCCATTAGGAGAAGCTCAAGGATCAGGATCTTCCTTAATCCTTTGTAACCTAAATGCATTAACTTTTGTGCTCCTGGTTTCTCTAAAAAAACTCAATCTTTCTCCTAGCATTATTATTAAGTGAAAAACATCATGTGCAAAAAGCAGGAAGAGAAGTAGTAATCTTTTACAGGCAACTTAAGGAACTTCCCCCTCCAAAATGGCAGTCTTTGTTTACATGCTTTATTTGCGAGCTATTTTGGAAACAGTGTCTGCCACTATTTTCAGAGGACTGAGTTTGTGTTTTTTTAACTATTTATGGTCCATCATGGCTGGGCTTCGCGAACGAAGATTTGGGAAGGCTCTATCCACATTTGCTACAGGCACGCTGGTGGCTTATGAGGCCAATACATGACAGACATATCCGATTGCAAAAGGCACAGCAGAGACTCCTTAGGTGGTGTATTCTGCAAGACATGGTTCTTTCTGCGTTGCCTTTTTTCCTCGAGAGTGATCCTGCATGTGTTTTCGAAGGAGACAGCTGTGTTATAGATGGTGTGTCTCCAGGCTTCCCGATTTGAGGCCAGAGTAGACCAGTTATGGTGATCAGTATGGCCAAGGCTGAGATGTTGTTTCAGGGAGTCCTTGTATCTTTTCTTCAGGGCTCCTCTCATGCGGCAGCCAGTGGCAATTTCACCATAGAGCAGGATCTTAGGGAGGTGGTGGTCCTGCATCCTGGAGACATGCCCTGCCCATCGCAGCTGCGTTCTCAGTAACATGGCCTCAATACTTGTGACAGCTGCTTGCTCTAGAACAGATGTATTGGTCACAAAATCTGACCAGTGGATGTTTAGGATCGTACGGAAGCAGCGTTGATGGAAGAACTGTTTATGGTATAGCTATAGTTTCTGAGTATCATATAGCTTTACACTTCTGGAGAAAAGAAGTGCATTTCAGGTGAGGATGCTTCTTTTACAGCAGATAGTAATTATGGGAGAACAGAAGGAGAAATGACTGTTAATTTTAAATCTTGTGGTGCTTGACGCAGGAGGGCTAGAAAAGAAACTTGAAAATCCTATTAAGGAGAGCAAACAGTGTTAACACTTGCAAGTTTCCAGACAGCCATGGGCTTGCTTGCAGTCATGTGTGGTACAAGCACATTTTGAATTAATAGTAATTTTCTTCTGTTATTTTCATTTTCTTTTCCTTCATTATGAATTCAAAATTTCCTTGTATTGTCACACTCTAAAAATGTTACATTTTTATTTTACACTTGTATTTAAGATATTTTAAAATTCAGTGGACATTTTTAAGGTGGACTTGGTAGCCTTATCTTGATGGGAGAATTAAGATGGCAGAAATGAAGCTGCGTTGTGCTTTTGTTATGGTTGCACATCTAACTTTTCAGGTGGTTTTGACTTTCACGTGGAGTTCTTTCTTTATTTTCAAAGTACTTTTTTGCATTCTTTCATATGGCTCAAAAGACCCTGTACTTCTACTGTTGTTTCCCAGTAATTCCACTCCTAAAACAGTCAGTTTACAAAGAGCTTTTTCCCATAATTCAGGCACTCCACTGTTGATATGTGTTGTATGGTCCCCCAGGAATACTCAAGGATAGGAATTAAGTTTAATTTTGGCTGAAATTTCTGTAGCTAAGAACTTTCATCTTATTGGTTTAAACTTTATGTGAAGATAAAGTTCCCATATAAAGTGATGAGTTAAATCTCAAGCTTCTGCCACTCTTAAGACTATTAACTAATTTGTAAGATCAGAATGAGTGCCATTCATCAACAGGAATTTTTGTTGCCACTTTTATGGGAGTCTCATTCCCTTTCTGCTCTGAAACTAAAGAAATATATACAAAGTATCAAACTGAAATCTTCCAGGAGTAAACCAATATCTTATTTATAGCCACACAGGTAAAAGAAGTTTTGTTATGATTTAAAAGAAATATTGGAATTTAATTTGAATTTTGTTTTTCAGCTAGCTGATGTTTTATGCACAAATAATATATTTCATTTGCAGGGTCATTGATTGAACAGCTGACCACAGAAAAGTATGAATGCATGGTGTGCTGTGAGGTGGTCCGAATAGTAGCCCCAGTGTGGAGCTGTCAGAATTGTTATCATGTATTCCACCTGAATTGCATTAAGAAGTGGGCACGATCACCAGCTTCACAAGCGGAAGGTTGGTATTTTCTCAAATTTATATTATATTTACCTATTATATATAATATATATTCTCAAATATATATTATACGTATAAATAATTTTTCTCTCAAATATATCTAGTAGCCACGTTCATGTGTTTCTTGTGTTGGAAAACTACTTAAAAATACTGGTTTAGGGTAACCAATATTGTACCCGCCTCTGAGGCAGGGCAGTTAGGTTCATTGTTAAAGGGATCTGTTGGGGTGGATTAAAGAGAAATGATGCTAAATAACTGATAAAACAATGAATTTTATTAGAGCTACTGCTTTGAAACATAACTGGAAAAAAAGGTAACAGATTTGAAAAGGGGTATATAGCCATTCCTAAGAGAGGAAAATTGGAAAGAGAAAAATAGAGAGAGATAGGAAAAGAGATAGATATCACCATCCGTGGCTCCAGTGACATGTGGGTGATCAAGGTTGCAATACATAGTCCTGGTCCATCAGAGGAGGGGGCCTACATACACATCAAAAATTGGGGGGTTTATAATCCTGATTCTTCCAATAAGTGCCCCAATACCTCCTCCAGGAGAGGTTCTGGGCGTGCACAGAAGATCTGTGGGCATCTTTCTGGAAGATTCTGGAAGTCTGGTGGCATCAAGGGGGGGTTGAGTGTGCATGTGTCTGCATGTGCCTGGCAAAGTGTCTGAGCAAAGGTTCTGAGTAAACTTTTCAGAGTTTTGCAGCTGTACAGTGGTGGCGTTGTACAGTGCGGGAGAGAAACTAGCATAAAAATTTTCAGGTCCGCAGCAGGCCATCAGGTTGGCACCAATGCAAAGGTGGGTCCAGTTGAAGAGGAAAGTGAACTATTCTAGATCATTGTGTGTTGCAGGTAGCAGTGGGAGCTTCAAAGTTTATTAGAGAAGCTCCTATTGAGTCACGAGGTGCAGAAAGGACCTCCTTGCTTTCTAAAGTCCTTCTCAGAGAGGCACCTCCAAGGAGCTGGATCCAATCTTAACATCAGGCTTTGTCAGTCGTTTTAAGTACAACTTTGTCCTGCAGGGTTAAAGATGGCAAACTGGATATATTTATATAAAATGTATTATTTATTATGACAAATGGCTAGACAAAGTATCTTAATCAGAGTTATTTACTACAGTGCATAAAAGCTAGAATGTTTAGTATAATATAGTATAGTGCACTATATCAAAGCAATTATATTAAAGCTAGCAAAAAAACCCAGAAACAATTATTAAGTCAAGATTTGATGTAACTCACCCATACCAATTGTCCTGGGCAAAAATCTCTTTCACTCAACCTCCAGGACTATACTTGAGAGGTATCCCCACTTCAAGGAAGAAAACTCCACACACATTCCAAGAAGAGTACATTAGAAGAAATCTACTATATGAACATGGAACTGGACTTTATATTATAAAATGATTGACTGCCAGTCATGTCTCCAGGTCAGCTTAGCAGCTTATCTGCCAAATCCTTGCCTCACTATCAAGATGTTAGTTTGGGGTTGATGTGACAACTGGTTTTAGCATAATTCAACACCAAAACCAGCACATGAGCCCCCTCACAGCCCACCACTGATAGCCTTGCAAGGTGTTAAGAGTTACTTGATCACATTCCAGGGCAGAGCATCCTGCTGCAGTGTCAATGAAGTAAAAGATGTCCACACACATCCTTGGATGACAAGAAGTGCAAGGAACTATTTTTAGTTCTAGATGTCTAGATTCTAGAAACTTCTTGAAGAACAAGGAGTAACAGTCTTCTTGCACTCTACAGTATCTTTCTTCTTAGGGACTCTCTTTTACTGAAGATGTCTTTCCTCTGAGACTTCTTTGCCTTCTATTGTCTTGACAGTCATCTGAAAAACGGCATCTGGTTTGGCCAAGGCAAGTGAAAGAGTCTCCTGATTATCTGTGGGGAGTCACAGGGCATTACTTTCTTCTCGGTCTGCTACCATTAGACTTGTGATTTGTGTTAAGGAAACCTCACAGTCTGAGCATTTACAAGGCTCTCTGGCAGTCACACTCTCAACACCAGACACTTTAACTGCTGGGACCGAAGCCCCTTCACAGCAGGCGGCTGCAGTGAACCAACAGATGCCCGGCTTTACTCCCTGCACACCAAGCTCACACAGTCAGACTAGGTTTCTTTACCAGTTTGACCCCAGGTTTCCCATAGCAGAGTCTCAGATGTCTAGTCACGTAAACAATTTATTCACAGTTCAGTAATATAGAAACAGCTAAAGCTGGTGCCTCTGTGGAGGGACCCCGAACAAAAGACTCCTGGACTTTTATCCCTCAGAGTCCAAGGGTGCACAAAGCTCACTCTTACTCCCGAATCCTCCACTCCTGCTATCTCTCCCAGTGCCCATCCACCTGGCTCTCTGGCTCAGGCCACTGGTCTCTGTGCCCTTTGTTATCTAAAAGGTTGGCCGTTCACAGCTCCTGCTGTGTCTCAGTGTCTCTTCACCTGGCTGGTGTCACCCATCTTTGTGCCCTTTGTTGGCAGTTTGTAACCTCTTGTCTTGGACTCTCATGCAGATCTCAATCTGCATCTGAACCTCAACCAGTTGACATCCAACATTTAGTATTTCTGCAGTGTAGGTTGTCAGCAGCACTCAGCATCACTTTGCCATCATGTGGAAAGATTCTTTCCTATGAGGAAACAAGCATCTCACATTTTGAATTATGTCTTGAAGGAATGTGACCTTTAGATATCACACAGCTAAGGTCAATCTGACAAAAATATCTGCACTGCACACAAGAACTTTATAAAGGGGAAATGGTTGTCACTTGCCCCCTTCCTTTTTCAACTTTTTTAAAAAACTGATGCTTCAATGGTGCACTTATATTGATGGAACAAAAGTTTAAGTCATTTTGTCCCTTCTTTGCAGTAAAGGTAATTTAACTGATACTTTTATTTTGTCTGGAAGGATCGGATGTATTTGAGTTATTACAACTGTGTCTTTCTATTCTGCCCATGGCCTCCACTTCCAGGTGGGCTAGTGATCTGTACCAATCCAATGCTGGCCTCTAACATGGCTTCTGAATTAATAATTAATAAATAAGTAATAAGTAAGTAATAAATTATAAGTAAGGAATCTTTTTATCCCAGAAGGAGGGAGAGGATAGCAAATACTAAAACAATCTCTAGTAAAATGGAATGAGGTGTGTGATTTTGCTTAGACAATTGCCCTTTGCTGTCTTTGGTTGGAATTCTGCCTACTTTGCTTCTGTTTATGAGAATAGTCAAGAAAATGGAATATTCTTTCTGTAGGGTCATCCTCCTTCTCACTTTGTTCAGTAATCAGGATTTGTAAGGAGTGTTTATAGGACCACTCCTTACAAATGTGGCTGTCAAATGTCATTCTATACTACTGTAATTGCATCTGAATCCTGAAGAAAACTTTTATTCATTCTAATTTTGGAGGAAAACAACCTTGTATGTTCCTTGTGGGTGGACCCACATGAATGTTATTAACATCTTAAAAGAGCAAAGGATAATCAGTGATGAAGAAGAACAAAATATATCTTGAAAGGCTGTTTTGCTTGGTGAAAGGTTCCTATTTTATGGGGACCTTCACTATACTCTAGAGAAACTGTTGCTTTTAGAGGACTAAGCATCCTGTTCCTGGGCAGTTGCTGATAGGAGAGGCTGCCTGCTGGTCTCCCAAAGCTTTCAGGGTAGACTTACCTTCACAGCTTTTGGAAAACATAACATGGAATAACAATGAAAGAAATTGTTAATGGAGTTGTTAAGTGTACTGTACAAAATAATCCCTTAGGGTTTAGTATACTAGCTTTAGGAGGAGCCACGTAAGGTGATAACAGTTTTGTCAGCAGATACATATTTCAGTCAGTTGGTTTTTACCTGTAGCTTTTAACACTATTCTCTGAGTTGCTTCTTCTGAGATGCTTCTTTTTGTAGCAGTCAAAAGAAAAAAAAAAATCTTAGGAAATGCAAATTGCTTTTGAGCATGAATATTAGAATATATGCCTGTCGCGACGGAAAGCTCTAGACACCTCAATGTGAGAATCCAGGAACTTCGTTTATTGAAGACTGACAACAGCTTAATATACACTCCATAATAGGTTCATGAATATTACAGAAATTAGGCTCATTATTGGTGCCCAGTTAGGTGATGATATCATCTCAACTGCCTTCCATTGTTTACACAGGTGGCTCGTTAAGTGTCTCTGTTTTGCAAATGCCTAGCTCCTGTTTTTGAGCCCAATTTAGAATACCCAAGGACGATGCTGCTTTCTCAGGCCCTGCTATCTTAACTTTCTCATGGGCCTAGTCAGACCGCGTCTTGTACTTTAGCAGCTCATCCATAGCCTTAGCCATGTTCATATGTCCTCGCATTTCTAACCAATCCTCTATATATGCCTTGTACCACTGTCCTACAGCTGCTCAGCCCTTAATTGTGCAGATCACTGCAGCAATCTTAATGGCACAATGATATGAGTCAGGATAATGAGTGGTAAGAATAGGCATGAAATATATGCCTTAGATTTCTAGATTGCCTTAGATTTCATGCTTTAGATTTCTAGAACCTATAATTTGGATCATTTTCAGTTTGTGAAAATCATTATTGCTGTGGATTATGATGGTTAACGTAAGAAGTCTTCAACCCAATTTAAGGGAACCTAGGTGTGTGTGTACATTGTTGTAGTGCAATTGTCTTATCAGACAGTTTCCTGTTTGCAGTCCCTTCTGCTTTTGTAACATGAAAATATCATGAATCTTGGTCAGATTTCTTAATTGTGAAGAACAGTTCTAAAATCACAGCTTTATTAATTTACCAGCTTTGAATTGATTAGGTAAGAGAGACAAAAAGTACTAATCAGTTTATTTAATTTTTTTAATATCTATATATAGATATAAAAGCATATATCTCTCCTCTCCGTCCCCCGTTGTGTTCAGTAGTGCTCTCACATTCATATTCTTCATAGCCAGATGTGTACTGAATTTGGGAAACATCTTCATTAATGTCACTTTCCTTACACTGAAGTTTTTCCTTTACTGCTAACCAGCACCCTTCTGGAACGCAGAAGCAAGAAAATTACTATTTAAAATACCAGCTTGAAGAATAATGTCCTAGTCAATGTCTGGGTATTAGCAACTTTAAATGAACAAAGTAGATTATTCTGGTTTATGTAACACTGATTTATTGTGGACATGAAGCAACACTAAACTGGTCTTCTACAGGACACTTAAACTCATGGGAGGATAAAGAAAAGGAAAATATAGGTGGTGCTTTAGACTAGAGAATTACATTTTTCTCACCCATCTCTTTTAACACTTTGTTTCTCACATCTTTAGTTGTGGTGGCGACTATCTTATCTTCTAGCAGTATATCTTGTAGCAGGGCATATGATACGAGAAGAAGTGGAATTTTAAAATTTGGGTTTGCTTCAATAAAGAATTGAAGCCTGGTCAAATGTAGTAGCACTTCTGTATAGATGTTGATACTGTATAAAATGCATTTTTATTAACCTGCTTTTTCACCACTTCTGAGTAAATGGAAAAAAATAGTTTGTTTGCACCTGTGGTAAGAAACAAGGCAAAAGCACTTATTCTAGGTTTGCAGATTAGCTCTTTCAAGGTTTTTTTATCTTTTATTTTTTTATCTACAGATGGCAATAGTGGTTGGAGATGTCCAGCTTGTCAGAATGCTTCTATGCAAGTTCCTAAGACTTACACTTGTTTCTGTGGTGAGTTTCTTGCTTGCTTGTAAAGAAAAACAGTTTTGTCATTTTGGTTTTTTTTTTTAATATGAATTTCAGTGTTGGTGCTTGTTTGCTTACATGCCTGAAATTTAACTTAAAAAAAAAAAAATTGACACTGGCAGGTGGGTGCACAGCGAATCACACATATGATGTCTGAAAAATAAAGAAATACTAAGTCAGAAGCGATAAATATTTTCATATCATTATGTAAAAATAGTGATTTTTAAGGAATGATGATAGATTTGGACTACTATCTTGAAAGTTTCCTTCGGTAGAAGGAATGAAATAATCTGCATGTGTTGTGTCTCTTTTTTTTGGCAAGATGCACCAAACATACAACTACCTAAACCTTTATAAACTGATTTAGCAGTTTTGTCATTTCTGTTGTTCAGGGACACATACAGGTTAAATAGAAAAAAATATTCAGATTTTTCAGATCTTTGTGTGTATATATGTGCCCTGGGATAGTTTACTTTGGCTGAACGCCAGGTGTCCACCAAGGCTGCGCAGATCTCCCCCCGCCCCAGCCAGAGGGAAAAGGGGAGATGAAAAAAACATAAAAACCCGGGATTTACCAAGAAAGGCAGTTTTATATTTACAGAGAGAGGGGAAAAAAAAAAGAACTATAAGCACTATACACACAGGAAAAATTAACAATAAAGACTACTTCCCCACAAAAGACGTTTTCCTCCTCCAAATAAGCAGCCCATCCACCACCATGCAGCTACCAGGAAGAGAAGAGAGAGCCCTTTACTTCCTTCCCATCTTTTATATCTGAGCTGATGTAACATAGTATGGAATATCTTATTGGTAAAATACACATCAAATGACCTATCCTATTTCCATTTCCTTCTCAGGGAGAGTAACAAACCCATTACAGTCTCCACCCCTTATTCCATACTATTTTATGTCACACTCATATCTTATATTTGCCTATATCCCATGCTTATATAGGTCTTGTCTTCAACAGTTGTTTCATCGTTGAGCACCAACATCGTCTTAGTTTGGATCTTCCTCATCTAGTGCCTTTTTCTGCAATGTACAACTCAAAATATGAATTAGTTTTTCCCCAAGGTTAGATCTCCTTGAGACACACACTGGGTTTCCCCATCTTCTCTCATTATCCACCAAGTATATCCAGGTCCTTGAGCAAAGACAATCCCATGAATGAGTTTGCCTTAGCTCGAAGGAGGGTTAACCTGAACTGTTTTACCTAACATACCTCTCAAGTGACTTACTGGGACTTTGTCTCCATCCACGGTGTGAAGGGGCTCCAGTTGGGCAGAGCTGGCTCGATTGACGGAGCCTCTAGTGTTGACTCACCAAGTAGCTTTTGTTAGGTGCTGATCCCAATTTTTGAAAGCCCCCCCCCCAATGCTTTCAAAGTAGTTTTCAACAATCTGTTACATCAGTCAACCTTTCCAGCGGCTGGCGCATGATATGGGGTATGATATACCCATTCGATGCCATGTTCCCTTGCCCAGGTAGTAACTAAACTGTTTTTGAAATGAGTCCCATTGTCTGACTCAATTCACTCTGTTGGTGCTGTGTCACCACAGTACTTGCTTTTCAAGACCCAAAATGGTATTTCAGGCAGTTGCGTGAGGCACTGGATAAGTCTGTAATCATCCAATGGTTGCTTCCACCATAGTTAGTACGTAGCACTTACCTTGATGGGTCTGTGGCAGTGCGATATAGTCAACCTGCCAAGCCTCCCCGTGTCTGTACTTACCCCAACGTCCGCCATACCATAGGGACTTCACTCTTTTTGCTTGTTTGACAGGCAGCGCCTGTCTCACAATCATGGATAACCTGGGAAATAGTGTCCATGGTTATATCCACCCCTCAGTCTCGCGCCCATCTATAGGTGGCATCTCTGCCCTTATGGCCTGAAGCATCATGGGCTCATCGAGCTAGGAACAACTCTCCCTTATGCTGCCAGTCTAGATCTACTTGCGACCACCTTGACTTGTGCAGCTTGGTCTGCTTGTTTGTTGTTGTGATGTTCCTCATTAGCTTGAATTTTGGGTACATGGGCATCTACATGGCAGACTTTCACAGTCAGCTTCTCAATTCGAGCGGCAGTGTCTTGCCATAAATCAGCAGCACAGATAGGTTTTCCTCTACACTTCCAATTGATCTTCTTCCACTGATCCAGCCACTCCCACAGAGCATTGGCTATCATCCACGAGTTGGTGTAGAGGTAAAGCCTTGGTCATTTGTCTCGTTCGGCAGTGTCCAGGGCGAGTTGAACGGCTTTGAGTTCCATGAATTGACTAGATTCACCTTCTCCTTCAGTAGCTTCTGCCACTTGTCGGGTAGGACTCCAGACAGCTGCTTTCCACTTCCAGTTTTTCCCTACAATACGGCAAGAACTGTCAGTGAAGAGGGCATAATGTTTTTCTTCTTTGGGTAACTGATTATATGGTGGAGCTTCCTCAGCCCAATCCACTTGTTCTTCTTCTTCCTCATCGGCCAAACTGAAGTTTCCACCTTCAGGCCAATTTGTTATGATCTCTAGGGTTCCAGGGTGATTCGAGTTTCTGATTCGACCGTGCTGTGTAATCAAAGCAATCCATTTACTCCATGTAGCATCAATGGTGTGATGCATAGAGGGCACCTTTCTGTTAAACATCCAGCTCAGCACTGGTAGTCGGGGTGCCAGGAGAAGCTGTGCTTCTGTGCCAGTCACCTCTGAGGCTACTTGTATTCCTTCATAAGCTGCTAGGATTTCCTTCTCCATGGGGGTGTAGTTGGCTTCAGATCCTCTGTAGCTTTGGCTCCAGAAACCGAGTGATCGGCCTCGGGTCTCACCAGGCACTTTTTGCCAGAGGCTCCAGGAGGGACCATTATCCTTGGCTGCAGAATAAAGTACATTTTTCACATTTGGTTCTGTCCTGACTGGTCCAAGTGCCACAGCATGTGCAATTTCCTGCTTAATCTGTTTAAAGGCTTGCTGTTGTTCAGGACCCTGTTGGAAATCATTTTTGTTACGGGTCACTAAGGAAAGAGGGCTCACAATTTGGCTGTACTCAGGAATATGCATCCTCCAAAAACCTATGGCTCCTAGGAAAGCTTGTGTTTCTTTCTTGTTAGCTGGTGGAGCCATTGCTATGATCTTGTTGATGACATCCGTTGGAATCTGAAAACATCCATCTTGCCATTTCACCTCTAAAAATTGAATCTCTTTGGCAGGTCCCTTGACCTTACTCTTTTTGATGACAAAACCAGCTCTGAGGAGAATTTGGATGATTCTCTTTCTTTTTTCAAAAACTTCCTCTGCTGTGTTCCCCCATACAATAATATCATCAATATATTGTATGTGTTCTGGAGCCTTTCCCTTCTCTAGTGTAGGCTGAATCAGTCCATGGCAAATGGTAGGACTGTGTTTCCACCCCTGGGGTAGTCAGTTCCAGGTGTACTGCACAACCTTCCATGTGAAAGTGAACTACGGCCTGCATTCTGCTGCTAAGGGGATGGAGAAGAATGCATTTGCAATATCAATGGTGGCGTACCACTTTGCTGCCTTGGACTCCAGCTCGTACTGGAGCTCCAATATGTCTGGCACAGCGGCACTCAACGGCGGGGTTACTTCATTCAAGACACGATAGTCCGCAGTCAGTCTCCATCCTCCATCAGATTTATGCACAGGCCAGATGGGGCTATTGAAGGGTGAGTGGGTCTTACTGACCACCCCTTGACTCTCCAGCTCTTGGATCATCTTATGTATGGGCATCACAGCGTGTGGTTCGTTTGGTATTGTCGTCTATGTATTGTTGTAGTGGCCATCGGCACTTGTTGATCCTTGACTTGCAGCAATCCTACAATGGAGGGATCTTCTGAGAGGCCAGGCAGGGTAGATAATTGTTTAAATTTCTCTGTAGCCATTGTGGCTACACTAAAAGCCCATCCCTACCTTTTTGGATCTTTGAAGCATCCTCTGCTGAGGTAATCAATGCCAAGGATGCAAGGGGCCTCTGGACCAATTACAATGGAGTGCTTTTCCCATTTGTCCCCCGTTAAACTCACTTCAGCCTCTGGCAATGATAATTCTTGACATCCTCCTGTCACTCCAGAAATCCAGATGGGCTGTGTGTTTTTATGCCCTGATGGCATCAAGGTGCACTGTGTGCCAGTATCTACTGAAGTTTTATATCTCTGCAGATCCGATGTGCCAGGCCATCGAACCCCCACAGTCCAGTAAACCCTATTGTCCCTTTCCTTCTCCTGGCCAAAGGCAGGGCCCCTCTATTGTTCTTGATCAGAGTATTCGCTGTCTGATCTTTGCATTGCCCAATCAGAGGTCCCCTCATCAGGATCACAGGAATTGATCTCGGTCTTCCTGCATCTCAAAGGTTGCTGATCTCTTTCCGGGGCCTCTGCATCAACTACGTGAACGACCTTCTTACTAGGTTTCTTCCCTCTCAATTTTTGTACCCTGGCTTCAATTTTATAGGTAGGTTCATGTGGTAGTTTGGTCTAGGCCTTCCTTGGTGACTAGTTTGTAACCAAGGAAGGGTCCAGATTTACCCAGTATTCCCTACGATTTTTACGTAAGTCGGGCTGTAAGAAGAAAGGAGGAGAGGCCTTCGCTCTCTTTCCTTCCAGCGGCTTGGAGGTGCAGGTTCCCTGCTGTTGAGTCTGTCATGTTGGGGAGCGAGGCCTGGTAAGGCCTTGTCGACCTTGGGAGGTGGAGGTTGCCGGCGATCGTTCCAGAGCGACTTTTGGTTGTCCCAAGGAGAGTAGTGAGATATTTCTTTGCTAACTTTTTTAGTTGCTAGATATTGGGCTACTAATCGGGATATATATATATATTTTATTTTGGTTTTGTTCCTTTTCCTTTCCCCCTTCCCTTTCCCTTGTGAAATTGTATATATATTTCAATTGTATATAACTGTAACGTAAGTGTAAATATATTTATATATATATATTGCTTTAGCTATCGCTCTCTCATTTCGGTTTTCTTGGTTTTTCTTTTTTTCTCCCTCTTCTCCCTGAGGTTTGGGGGGGACAACACGACTTCTTGTGGTAAGGTTTGGAGACTTGGCAGGGAGCCAGCTTCAAACCATATCAGTTCACCATCCCGCTTCTTCATGTCTTCCCCTTGGTCATGCAGAAAGAACCATAGCTCACCACGTGGCCTGCTCTTGGGGATTCCTTTCCTTCTGAGTAGGACAGGAGACCGAGACCGATCTCTTGGGCTGTCTCTGTGGCGGTTCTCACATTTGGGGCACTTGTAAGGCCTCTCCATCCTCTCCCCATGTGGGTGCACTGGTGGTAGAGATTGGAGCTGTCTCTGAAATCTAACTTGCTGGCCTGTGGGAGTGAGGAGGCTTCCATACCTTCTGCTATACTCCGTATCCGGGCACGCATTGTGTCCATAGTTGGTTCATCCATCCTTGGATGGTATATTGTTAACAAGGAGTTAACATACGGTGCAGCGGCACCTTAAATTACTTTTCTTCACATGGGCAGTGTGCAAGGAATAAGCTCTGGAGTTAGGAAGTTGTTATTGTCTGGGTCATTGTAAATCATTTCCAGCATGGCCAATTCCTGGAGGTACTGGCCGCCTTCCTCTGCAGTAGGGGAAGCTTGGGGAGCTCATTAGACCTTCCTTGAAGGGGTACCTTTCTCTCACACCAAAGAGGATCTGCAGCCGAAGACAGCGAATAAATCTCTCCCTTCCAATTTCCTGTTCAATTTCATGATCTCTAGCAGTGGATCCTAGTTGCTGTGCTTCATGACCTTCTGTAATAATGGCCAGTCTTCGTGAGCGAAGGTTTGGGAAAGGTCATTAACCCTTCGAGCCCGCGCAGTGGATTTTTTAGGTGAGACACAGCGTGCGCTGAACTGAGCCCACCCTTTAATCCTGAGGTTCATCTGCCGGGGCCAAGCAAGCTTGGACAGTGGCAGTGAGGTCCCCAGGACGTAGGTTTGTTTTAGAGTGACCTTCTCTTAGATGGATTGCCTTACAGGGCTGACGAACTCCATCTGCCCGGGGGGCTGGGAATCGAACCTGGGTCGCAGCGGTGAGAGTCCTGCACCCTAACCACTAGACCACCAGAGGCCCCCTCATGACCTTCTAACAGGTGACTTATAGCCCCGTTATCCCAGATCGGAGCAGCCAGGTAAAAATTCGTTCACCAAGCTGGCGGCTGTAATCTCTCCGCAAGTCGCAAAGTTCTGATGGGCTTAGGGACCAGGTAACTTTGCTTTCCTGTCTAATTTCCTCTCTGACTGATTGACCTTCTATTGATGAACTGGCTCTTTGTGAACTGGCTCTTTGCCTTGCCTCCTCTTTTTCTACTGTTATTACTTCCATTAATTCTTCTCTTGGAGGCACGGGCGGGATAGATCCTTCTCCTCCTTCCTTCCTTACTATTTGCGGAGATGGGCCTGTAGGTCCTGTAGATCTCCTTATCCGTGTCTTCCTTTTCACTACAGGGGCAATAATGACTTCAGATGTCGTAGTTTGGGTCCCTGTCTCAGTCATAGTCTTTTCAGCGTATTGAACTGCAGCTCAATAAGCACAGGCCAGGCCTCAGTACAGGGCAAGAAGTTGCTGGTTTTGATCGGGATAGGCAAGGCATCCTTCCTTTAAACAACGTGTCAGTTTGTTGGGGTTGGATACTTATTCTGGTGTGAAGTCCCAGGCAACGAGGGGGTGTTAAATGCCCTAAGAACCTGCCTAAATTCATCCACATGCCCTGACACTCAGGAACTGGCTCCTTTAAAGCACATCCCAGTAAATTCTCTCTCAAAGTTTGTTTTGTCCTAGAACAAGGCAACAAAGACAATACTACATTCCCCAATCCCCACAATGTTCTCATCGTGTTGGTTATAAGCAGCACCACGGCCAGGCAACTTAAGTAAGGATTAGTAAAAATTGCTGGCACCTTCATTACAAGACCCTTTGCATCAAAATTAAGAAGGGAAAGAAAATTGATTTTGTCCCCCTGGAGGTCATTTAGGGGATAAGTTCCACATCCCAAAAACCTGTTAGTAAAAGTAAGGTTGCAGAGACTGAAACTGGGCAAATAGCCATGTTTATGTTATTATGTTCCCAAGTTAGTAAAACAAAAAGATAAGTAAGGCAGTGTTTATATAAACAACTTTTCCTGGCAGTGTTCCTGGGTTTTGGCACCAGATGTGCTGGGATAGTTTACTTTGGCTGAACGCCAGGTGTCCACCAAGGCTGCGCAGATCTCTCCCTGCCCAACCCAGAGGGAAAAGGGGAGATGAAAAAAACGTAAAAACCCGGGATTTACCAAGAAAGGCAGTTTTATATTTACACAGAGAGAGGAAAAAAAAGAACTATAAGCACTATACACACAGGAAAAATTAACAATAAAGACTACTTCCCCCCGAAAGGCATTTTCCTCCTCTGAAGAAGCAGCCCATCCACCACCATGCAGCTACCAGGAAGAGAAGAGAGAGCCCTTTACTTCCTTCCCGTCTTTTATATCTGAGCTGACGTAACATAGTATGGAATATCTTATTGGTAAAATACACATCAAATGACCTATTTCCTTCTCAAAGGGAGTAACAAACCCATTACAATATGTTTAATAAAAAAAGTAAATGACATGAGTATAGCACTCACCAGCCCATAAATATATGACAAAGAAGGAGAAATGAATTATGTAACTTAATTGTACATGTGTGGATAAGTTTTGTTTGGGATTTACATTTCTGAAATCTATATTGATTTCACGTAGGTTTCCTTAGGTCAGAGTGACTGGAAAGTTTCACCTCTCTATAAAATAGGATGTTCTGAAGTTGAGACCGAAACTTGGTGTCGGTAAACTTGCCCTAAAGAAACTGAAATAGGAAACAATTTTATCTATAGTTCTTTTTATCTAAATGTGTCAGTGAATTGGCTAGGAACAGTGCAGTGCAGCTAAGACACAGGTTTTAAATATCTTATGAGTATAGAGATTATAATTCTGTTAGAATGAATTGACCATGAATGAATGTTTTGACCAAATGAAAATTAGACTTTTTCTGTCTGTTAAATAGGGAAGAAATTGCACCTGAGCTTAAAGACCATTTCATAGTTTTAGGAGATCTACAATAAGGACTTTAAGTTGTCCGCAGTACTATTATTTGCAGAGCACAGTGTTGTAATGCAAGTGTTTGATCTTGTCTAGATAGTGTTACATTAATGATACATAATTTGGACATGTGCAAAACTATCTTCTATTTGATGCAAAATACTGACTGTGTGCTGTGTGGTTAAGTGTGGGTTTTTTATTTTTTCCCCTCCCTTCTATGAGGAAATTCCTAGCTTATTTTTCTTCTGAAGATTCTGATTTTTGGGATTTTCCTGAATTTTCAGTTAGTTTAGTTGAAACTCAGGTGAACGAAATCTATATATAGCATTTATTTGTATTTTCCAAACTTACTACTTGTAGAATATACAAAGATGTACTAAAAGAGTTAAAATTATGTAACTATATCACCAGAAATTTTTGTTGCTGCTTTAAATTGTCACAACTCAAATTTATAACATTGGCTTGGTTGCTTCACTGGTCATTTAATTCCTTTCTTGAAGAAAGCCAAGAGAGTGTTAATCATTGCAATTAACCTTAACCTTGATAGTCATCTCGTGCACTTAGAACTATGAGATTTGATAGCAGTATGTCAGATTAATTAAAATATATTTTAGTGCTTATCTTAAATACAGAATACTCGAAGCTAACGTACTTCTTGTTTAAGACTTCCTGCTGCATTCATCAAACTTCATCAACCTTTAATGTTTAGATTAATGTAGAATCTGCTTCTTTTTAGAGAAGTGACTTTTATAATTTGCCCAGTCATTTAATTCCCTATTCCCCTCTTTAATTCTCTGTTCCCCATCACCATACCAGCTAGATCTTATTTTCTGGGAATTTCTTTCCTTTTTTTTTTTTTTCCTGCTGTGTTGAGGCAGCAAGTGAATTTCACCCTTTAATTTTCTTAGCTACCTCACAGCCTGACCAACTAAAGGAGGCTTTTAATTTTTATGTACTTTATCAGTTTAATTTAATGTAAAGTACCAGCTACTTATGCGTCCACTGACTCAGTACAGAAGGAAAGAATCTTCTGGAGCTTGATATTCCAAAGGTATATTCTTTTCAAGAAGTTGAATATATATCAGCACTGAAAGTACAGAAAAACATAAACATCTGTGTAATTTTATTTTTCAAAGAAGACTAGTGCCAGTGTTGAAAATATAGCTTTTTCTTTTTGGTATGATATTTTTAAAAAAATCAGTCTTGTATTCAAAGCAATAAATATCTTTTTGTCTTTGGCATGGTTTAGGTAAGGTGCACAATCCTGAATGGAATAGAAATGAAATCCCACATAGCTGTGGGGAACTTTGTGGAAAGAAGCGACAGTGTTTGGACTGTCCACATCTTTGTAACATGTAAGTAAATGTTTATCATATGAATATTGAAATGATTTAGAGAAAATTTCCGAAGACTTTATTTGTGTATTTTTTGACTACAGGATATGCTTAGAGATTTAGAACCTAAAGAGCTTTTTGGATCAGCTGAAGCTTGAAAGGAATGGAGGTTGTGTTTGTATGTCTAAAGTGAGTTCATATGGCAGCGTGAACAGGAGGTCCACAGTAGTTGTAGCACCATATCTATCATATTTTAGGAACTGAACTAGCTGTCTGACTTGGTTTCAAGAACTTTCATTAGAGAAATAATACTGAATAGAAGTAATTTTAAACATGTGTCCAGTCGTCCACTAGATGTTTTAGGTGCTGCTTTTCATGTAATAGTGTTTGTGTATCTTAATTTGAGATCAGTGCGAATTGGTTAAACTGAAGGACCACTCACTTGTTTCCTGTGTTTCTTTTTCCTTTCTTTGGCTTGTAAACTGTTGAGGACAAAAGGGCACTATTTGTATTTATCTATTTGTTGAGATACCAGATGGTTTAACCAGAATTCCTCATGGAGATTTTAATCAGTATATGTAACTCAGTTTGGTTTTGCTAACATATTTTAGTATAATTCAGCGAAGAGAGGCAAAGGAGAGCACCTGTGTTTTCAGTTTTGGATGTTTTCCTTTAGATTTTTTTTAGCAATGTGGTAGTTTTGTTAAGATTAACAGCATAAGATGATCTTTTTCAATCTATTAATATGCATGCTAGTAAAAAAAAAAATATATGTTGTTCCTAGTGTGTACAGCTTCAATTTCCATGTATGGAAGTTGGTCCACAGAGTCTGTTCATATTTCTGTTTTGAGAAATTTTTAATAGTCAGAAGCATTTTTTTCTGCTCTTGGTACACAGTGAAAAAATTCAGTCATTCCAAGAAATAGATGGTTATCTGACACTTTTTCCAAGGTTTGCTAAAGCTCAGAACTTTACTTGAACTTTAGTCTGAACTTTTTATTTAATGTGTTCTGCTTCAAATATATTTCAGCATTTTGTTGAGTGACAGAATACCTTTTTGCTCTTTAATACTTCTTTCCCACACGTGAAAATGTTGTATTAGAGTTCTTTTCAGTATTAGATTTCATTTGTATTTATGTCTTATGTATTTATGCACATGATTTGTATTATATTTCATTTCAGTGCTATAGCAGTTTTCTTGATTCATGTAATCATGCTAGATCCTCTTTTGCTGTGGTTTGCAGGGTAAAACTGAAACACAGATCATCTTTCAGACTACACTTGATGTAGCTGATACCCTGAACAGAACACTGATTCTCTTGGAGGCCACCTCCAGGCCTCCATCTCAGGAGAGGAATTTGTTCATGGAGACACATTTTGTCCAGTAAGAAATAAACAGACTTCTTAACTACTTTGAGAATGCCCTGACTGCAGTTTGCTGCCTGACAAACTTCCCTGTAGTGCTTGGAAGAAGCAGACGTTCTTCTTTTCTCTCCTAGTCAACAGCGGAAGCTTAGTCTCTGGCATTGTCTTCTGGGAAGTCTTTTGAAGAGTGGTAGCAATATTGTACCACTTGGGGGCACTATGAATTCCTAGTCCTTAGTAGTCATATCAAAAAGCTGTGAAAATTGAGTCCCAATTTGTAACCAGTTGTATCATATTTAAAAATGTTATCATTCAGCTCATGTTCCACATGAGTAAAACTATGCTGAGATCATCCAGTCCTGGAGGTAAGGAAACCGTAGGGGTGCAGATCAAGATGATGGGTGTTTTTGATACTGACTTGTGATAGTGACCTGGAGAGGAATGCACTTTCAACATCAATGTTACCCAGTTTTGGACATTCCCCCACATATGGGAATCTCAGGTATTTATGAGGCAACCTCCATCTGCTGAATAAAAAAGCAGGTAGAAACTTGGTTCCCTCTTGCTATATGAGAGTGGTGGAGTTAAGATATGTAGAGTGTTATTTGAATGCAGATTATAAGTCTGGATCATGATCTGTATCTGGGCAGAGTTTTTCCTCAAGAGAATGCTCAAGGATAGATGTTGCCATCAGGACCAGAAGTGTATTTCATGATTTTCCTTTAAGTTTAGATGATCTGAGAACTTTTTCTTGCAAACAGTAATTTATTTGGATTGTGGATTTGCTGTGTGCCATTTTCCCCTGCTCCCACATATTACCATAAGATGATAAGGTTTGAACCAGAACTGCCATTGTGTCACTGATACCCTAGAAGCTGTTTTTGTTTTAGCTTTTCAACACCACACCACCATGCCTACCCCTGACCCTTCTGGGTCTAATGTTTCATGTCAGCATCAAGACTTTTTACCTCACAGTCTGATGGTATGACGAATTCTTTTGGGAAGACTGTTCACATGCCTCTCAAGTCTGTGTGACTTTATTGATAGTAGGGATGAGTCCCTTTGTTATTGGCAGTGCACTGAGTCTGGTGTTGTATCTGAGTCTTGCGGTGGTGGTCTTGATGTTGCTCTTTCCTCTAGTATTTATTCCATCTATTCTGGAAAACCCTTTGCAATATGTGTCTCATTTAAAGTCCAGCACCACCCTTTGTCTTCCAGTTGAGCAAACCTCTGTATCTGCAGAACTTTAGCCTCTGAAAGAGCTCATCTGGATGAATCCTTGTTATGAACCCTTTTCATTGGTAGACTTGAATTTGAGTCTTGGGGAACCTGCATTTGAGTCATTGGATTCTTGCTTTATTTGTTATCTTTGTGGCTATTACATCAACAATTAGAGTATGTGACATTTAGATGCTTATAGCTATCCCCTTGCTCTTTAGATCAGAATTATTTATGCAGTGTCTGTAACAGAATTTGAATTGCAGTATTGTCTGAGTTTTCAGAAACCACACACTATGTATGTATCTATACTTAAGCTATCTGATGTGATGCTACCATGATCAAACAAACATCATTCCCTCTTCTCCTCATACATGGCATCAGAGGAATATTGTTCTCATTGATTTTCATGAGGATGCTTGTATTTGCTCCCTCTGCCATGTAGATGAAATGTGCAGAGTACAGGAGGTGTTGAAAGCAAGCCATTGTAACAGTTGGTAGTGGTCTAAACTTCAGCTTCCCTCCTGTCTGCCTTCTGTATGCATTGTGTTATACTGTATGCTAGGCTCTGTGAACAAATAGTCCCGTGTAGAATGAGCAGCTCTGAGAGTGATGTGTAGTCACATAATCTTTTGGTGGTGCCAGTTGTGCTTTTCTGAGTGCTGCTTAGGTGGTTACATTACTCTTAATGTAATATGAAGTAGCAAATGAAGTAGATCAAAGGGAATTAAATTACTTGAGAATCTCTTTTCTCTTTAAAACTTAGTAATCATCAGACTCCTGTGGCTGAGGAGAAAGAATTGGATTAAAAGTCACAGGAAAAAATTTTGATCCTTTAATACTTTGTAAAGCGAATAGTTTTATCAAGAAAGCATTGAAAATAAGGGAGTTTCTCTCCCTGCCCTCTTCCCAGGCTCCGCTGTGTTCCCTGATTAGGAAATGAGACCTTCAATTAAATCAGAAGGTGGCAAATTCAGAATGTATCATATACATTCTGCTAGGCAGGGCATCTCCCTGCAAGAAATTGATGCAAGTAATAAGATTCAGAAGAGAACTAATCGTGATATGGGTAATGAGAATGTCTAGAGCTCTCAGCATCACATAGATGCTTTTGGAAAGGATATTAAACCTCATATCCTGGTTAAGATAGAGATTAGGATGACAGCCAGTTTCAGGCAAGAACTGTGTTTGTGGGGTGGTCTAATTTGACATAGTTTTCAATTTTGCAGTGTTAGATCATAATTTTTGAGGTCTTTGTCTCCAAGCACTATCTAAAATGATGTAATCAGTTGTACACATCCTACATATTTTCAGTTGGAATCAAAGCCATGTTACCTTAGTTTTTGCGAACCTGTTGGTTATGGCTCTGTGGTTGTTTAGCCTCAGCTAGCAAACAAGCCCCACACAGGTGCTCGCTTACTCCCCAATGGTGGAATGGGAGAGAGAAATAGAAGGGTAAAAGTGGAAAAAGTTGTGAGTTGAGGTAAAGACAGTTTAATGGGTAAAGCAAAGCTACGCATGCAAGCAAAGAAAAATAAGGAATTCATTTACCGCTTCCCATGGACAGGCTGGTCTTCAGCCATCTCCAGGAAAGCAGAGCTCCATCACACATAACAGTGACTTGGGAAGACAAATGCCATCCCTCTGAACATCTGCCCTCCCTTCTTTTGACCCAGGCCTATATGCTGAGCATGGCACCATGTGGTGTGGAATATTCCCTTGGCCAGTTGAGGTCAGCTGTTTGTGTCTTCTAGGTTCTTGTGCACCCCCAGCCTCCTCAGGGGGGCGGTGTGAGAGGCAGAAAAGACTGTGATGCTGTGTAAGTACTGCTCAGCAATAATGAAAACATCTCTTCATTTAAAACACCATTTTCAGTACAAATCCAAAACATAGCCCCATACTAGCTACTGGGAAGAAAATTAACTCCATCCAAGCCAAAACCATCACAGGCTTTCAAATTATTTGACATCTCTTTTGCACTTGTAAGGAATTTCTGACGTTGGTGTTCAAATTTAAAAAATTAGTCTAGAGAGATACAGCAATTCTTCATCCTACTGCCTACCTGTAACCAGCTTGCGTTTATATGTTGATCCCCTTTATACCACCAGAACAAATTATTTTCTAATGAAGTGGTATGTTGGTTATTTGTTTACATTTTGGGTTTGAGGCCTTTGCATATGGATTTTTTAATGATCAGCCAAGTCCCAAGCGTATATCCTCAATTTGGCCATTCTGTTGTTTGTTTGGGTTTTTTTCTGGTTGTTTTTTTTTTTTTGTTTGTTTGGTTGGGGTTTTTTGGGGGTTTTTTTGCTGTAGGTGTCATTGTGTTAATCTCCTTTCTATGGGATAGTGTTTAATTGGATGATGGTGCTAAGTGTGGCACTAGCTAGCCCCATTTTGGTGAAAATGAATTAAGGTAACTTACACGGGTTTAATGATAAATCTTTAGTATTTACTCATGTTTATTGAAATAGTAACCATTTATATAAACAGCTGACTTGGCAGACCTGAGGAACAGGCAAGCAGCTGTTTGAAAGGGGAGTGCTTTGCAAACCTTTTTTTAGGGTTTAGCTGTGGTGTGCATGGCACTTCACAGAGTGAGTTCTTTTCACGTTTTTAGTTTAATACACTTGAAATTCATTTTGCACTGTTAGGTTCTACATCAAAGAAACACCTAGCTTAACCTTCAATAAAATGTTCCTGATAATAAGCTTCATGGCAAACTTAAACTTCTTCTAAGTTCTCCCTGCCAGCTGGAACTATGCAAGGCTTTAAGAGCGTTTGAAAAAGGTCTTACAAAGGTAGTAAATGAAATTTTCTCTGTATTAAGTTAAATTTTAATGTCCGGACTTCCTTCATAGATCTTTGGTGCTGTAATCTTTTTTAGTAAATTGTAACTCTGACTTGTAATCTCTCTTGAGTTGGGTTCATTTTTCGCACAGGTTTACTTCTAAACCAGGACACAGTTTTAATTAATTCAGTGGTTTTGGTTTCTTCTTCTTCCTATTTTCCTCTGTATCGTGTTTTGTCTGCTCCATCCAGTTTTGCTTTTTTCTCCCTTTCCTTGTAAGTACTCTCGTACTTTTTCAACTCTGCATTATGTCATAAAACTGACCTATGAAAGAGGAAGGGTTGTGGTGTCTTTGTTTTTTTGGGGGTTGTTTTGTGTGATGGGATTTTTTTTATTGTTTTGAATTAGTTTATAGTGTAATTGCTTGGCTCTACTGTTAGGGCCAGCATAAGTTAAGTGATAGATTAGGCCTTATTGTCAGCTGGGAGGAGTGGTAAAAGGAAGAAGGGAATCCCAACCACTGCCGACAAGCTGGTGAAATGACTCAACTGTATAGCATATGACTATAGTAACTGATATACTAATTAGTACTTGTGTAGTGACTGTACTTGGGGAATTTAGTAATTACCATGTAACTGGGTAATCTGTGTTTATGGGGTTTTCTGATGTTCCTGAGTTTTTTTATTTTTCTTTTGGCTTGGACGTCTGTGCAGGTCAGTCCTGGCCAATAATAATTGCTCCACATGAGAGCTGCTGTATTTGGAAAGGAGGGGAACTGGGAGCTAGCTAAGAAAGAGTGCAGACAAGAGAGTTAAGTATAATTTCACGAACCTGGACTTGTCTGTACCCAACAAAGGTCTTACATGCAGATAGGGAACATGTTGTGTTTCTTGAAGTAGAAGGTGAGATCTGATAGTCGTGTAAAGAACTGGCATTGATGACACTCAAAGGAAATAGCACTTGATGGTAAGAAAGAAAACTGAGGCAGACTTGCTATGTCTCTCATGTGTTACCTTACAGGAAGAGGAGCAACACCTCTTATTGGTGGCAGTAGAAATGCTGAGTTCAAAGATAAAACCACCAGCTCAAAAGAAGAAATTCATAGAGAAGTTTTTATCTCTAACCTATTTAAGATCAATGAAGAAAGAAATGTATTAATGGTTTGGACACGTGAAGCTTGTTTTGTGTGTTATCCATGATGAACGCAGTTGAATTGATGTGTGTCTGCAGGTGAAATGTAAAATATTAAATGTGTTAGTAGCAGAAATATGTTACTGTTAATTTGACAGCAGCAGGAATACTGGTTTTCCTTTAGCATTAGTGACATTTGAGACTGCAACTGTAATAATCTAGTATTTTTTGTGTGTTAATAATGCTTTCATACTCTGCAGGAGTGTAGGAGTCTTGTATAATTTTCAGATAATGTACTTAGGGTTGGGTCATGGTAGATTGTTTCTCTGTGAGTGTAATAAAGCTAAAGTTAACTTTGCTTTTTTAACTTCTTAAAAGTCTTTGTCATCCGGGACCTTGCCCTTCATGCCCAGCCTTTGTGACAAAATCATGTGAATGTGGACAAACAAGGTAAGAATCCTTCTACTAAACAAAAAAAGTTTAGTTATTATAAAAATAAAAGAATAGTTTATTAAAATTTTAAATTAATTTTTTTTGTAGTTATTAAAAGGATACTGAACGAAGTTTTTTCTGAGCTGTAACTTTTATTTGTGATTAAAATAATTTGAAGAATTTTATATTTTGAAAAAATGCAACTACTTTTAATTTTTCAAGAAAAAAAAATCAAAATAACAAAGACTTATCCATTTATGATACATGTAGCTGAATTGTCCAGGCAGTCTGTAAGTTGATTTGATTTTGAAATCTTGTAGTAGTATTTATTTAATTTGGTAGAAGACTCCAAGAAATTAGTAGGAAAAGGTTCACATCTTTTCTATCTGAATGGAATACTGTCTTGAATTACTTCATTCCAGAAATAATAATTTCGAAAATAATGTGTACTTTTCTCAGAAATTGTACATAGAACTCTGTAGTATAGTCCAGATTTGAAGGCTATCGTTTCCTTGCATATTTAATGCATAAGTGTCATTGCCTACAGAAAGATGGTACTACCCATACCATACTATCTCATAATCAGTTGATCTGAATCTTGAGAATCCCTTTTTTAGCTACCTAGAACTGATTCTGTGTAATAAATTGTTTGCCTGTGCTTGTTTACAGCAAACAAAAACCAATTTCAGTGTTAGCACATGATCTTAATTTTTTAGACGGTGGTGCAGAAATTTTTGTGGCATTATTTGTAGTTGAAAGGACTTTGTCTTCAGTAGAAAAATGGATTGGTTTTAGATTACTGAATTACATTTTACCTAGTAAGATCACCTCCTTTTTCTGTTGTTTTTGGTTGGTTGATTTTTTTGTGTGTTTTTTTTAATTGGGGTTTTTTGGTTGATTGGTTGGTTGGGTTTTGTTTTTCTGGCTATTTCTGGCGTTTAAAAGTTTAATAGGTGAAAATTCACATGATAAAACTTTGTTTTATTATTTTTTCCAGATGTCAGCTACTTCACCAGATTGCTGATTTTTGTAATTCTACATTTGATACTTAAAACTTGCTTCAAAATAGCATTATTTCACATGTCCTGTATTAGAATCCAGGATGTATGGCATGGCACCTCTTACTTTAGGATGTTTTGAGGTTACTGTTTTAAATTTACATTTTACAGTCATTGTATGGGCCAGCCAGAGTTGAAAAACAGGAGAATTTATTGTTTTGTCCCATTTTTTGACAATTTAGTTAAAACCCCAATTCTTTTCATAGACTACTGACCCACTGTTAAGGCCCACATTCTTATCTGCATTGTGCTCAGTGGACTTAGGATTGTTTAAGTCTTCGGAAGGATGTCTGTATTAGAAACATCTGCTTTTCTGGCACAATGCATAACCATACACTAGGTTCAGGTTTTAGTGTCACCCTTGGTTTTTTTCCCCCCGTTTTCTTCAGGAAAAAATCTGTAGCCTCACTACTGTGATAAGTGTCCTACTTTAGTGGGGTGGGAGAGGGGAAGCAGGTGAAAAAAATAGGGGTATTATTTCCTGAAAGGTTTCATGAATAAAAAAACTTTGGCATTTTACTGAAAATGCATTTTCCTTTTAATCAAATACTCTGTAGATGTTAAGGTAGCTGACAGACTATGATGTTATTTCTCTGCAGTCATTCAGTTCGCTGTGGCCAATCAACAAAAATTCATTGTTCTAATGTATGTGGAAATACTTTAAACTGTGGTAAGCACAGCTGTACTCAAGTGTGCCATGCGGGAAAATGTTCACCTTGCCAGTTAACAGTCCAACAAGGTAAGTATTGAAATTTTTTATGTATATCCATCCTATGCTATGAAAATAAGAGGGTAAAAAAAAACCCAACAATACCAAGAGGCAAGTGCGAATTTTTACGTAACAAAACCAAACTCTGTTGTTGGAATCCTGCCACGATGATTAGGCTGTTGGAGCATGTACCTTATTAGGACAGGCTGGTGATACTGGACTTTGTTAGCTTGAGACAGCTAAATAGTGGCCTTTCAGTAATCAAGAAGACAGAGAGAGGATAAATGCGTGTGGAGGATGAGAGACAATGAGTGTAAATTGAAAAGTTACAACTAGCTGTAAGGAAAAACTCTTTTCTTGGAGGTTTTCAAGACCCAACTGAATAAAACACTGAGTAACATGGTCTGATCTCATTGCTGACTCTGCTTTAAGTAAGAGCTCGGACTAACTGATACCTTCTTATCTGAATTGTCCTAAGGTCCTACTGAATCTTTTACTATAATTACAAGACTTAATTAAACAGTACGTGGAAGAAAAATAGGAAGAGGTATTTCAACAAGCTTCTAATGATTTGTGTTAAAATTTTCCAAACTTGGTCTTGAATGGAAATTGAATTGAGTAAGTATGTATGCCAGTATACAAATACATTTTCATAGAACAGTTTATATAGAAAATTGCAAGTTAGTTTTCTCAACTTTTTAAGGTAATAATTAACTTCCTATGTATACTGCTTAATAAGTAAGCTTTTTCTGCAGATAATACCTCCCCTTTAGTTTTTATCTTCTTATCAAAACAACTAATGCTGGAATTCCAACTTCGCAGGACAGAAAACCTCCATTGCTGAAATAAAAACTGACTGTAACAATTTTTCACATTTTACCTTTATTTATATGGTGGAAGTGTTTTATCACTGATATTCTCTTGTGTTGTTTTCTGTGAAATATCTCCTTCTTTCAGTGTGTTACTGTGGAAGCAACTTTAAAGAAGTATTGTGCGGGTCAAAGGAAGAATTCTCTGATGGATTTGGGAGTTTCTCATGTCAGAATATATGTGGCAAGTAAGGTCACTATAATTCAGGCTTTTGAAAAGGAAAAGGTCATCTTATTCACACTGAGTGATCGTGATCCTCTTAGATAATTCCCCTTTTAAGTTTTTGCTTGTTTTGTTATTTCTTTGATTTTGGTTTTTTTTTTACCAGGAAATTAAATTGTGGGAGGCACAACTGTAAGCAAGTATGCCACCCTCAGCCTTGCCAGCTTTGTCCACGACTTCCACAAGTAGTGTATCGCTGTCCCTGTGGTCAGACTCCTCTCAGCAAGTTACTGGAACTAGGATGTGTTGAACGTAAAATATGCACAGATCCTATCCCGTCATGTGGAAAAACATGTGGCAAACCTCTTTCTTGTGGTAGCTATGGTAATTAGAAATTTCTGTATCATAGTATTCGAAGTATCTCATAGTTTAAAACAAAACAAAAAAAAGTGGTCCTTAAATGTTTTATTTCAATAAATAATTATTTGATTAGTGCTTTTGAGTTTTAACCAAACTGAATTTAAAAACCATTGTAGAGCCTGCAATCTGGCTGTTTGTTCATAATGATGCTTTAAAATCAGGAAATAAAACCCAGCTGCACATAAGCTTAGTATCTTTGACCAGTGATGCTCCTAATAAATATGAAATTCCAGGTCACAGATTTTACTTTTTTAATCTTAATATTTCTATTTTCATTTTGCTAGAGTTCATTCATACATGTGAAAGCCTTTGTCATGAAGGAGACTGTAGACCATGTTCTCACACATCAAATATTTATTGTAGATGTGGCTTCAAAAAAAAGGTGAGTATGTAAAGCTTGACCATGGAAACAGGTAATCTTTGTTGGTTTTTAAAGCTGTGGAGAGAAAGGAGCTGAAGTAGTTGAGGAAAAGAAAGCTAAGAAGTATAAGAGGTGCTGTGCTCCTTAGTTGCAAGAACCTGCGTTGTATACTGACTGATACATGCTAATTAGATTATCATCATCATGGCTAGGCTTTGCGAATGAAAATTTGGGAATTAGATTATACTGAGAAGCTGAATATAGACTATTTACTATGGAGGCAATTTTTGAAGTATTTTGGCAAAGTTAGCACAGAGTTCTACTAGTGTAAGTGGTCTGCAAAATCCTATATTATCCTGGAGTATTTGTATAGCACAAAGAATGGTAGTTTTACCAAGAGTAAAGTAAACTGAGAGAAGTCAGCCTAATTAAAACTTTATAGGAATATCTTACAGATTTCTTGTAGATATTTTTGTAGAGAATTTGAAGTTTTTACTGATTCCCATTCTTTGTACATTTATACAATGACCCTGCAGATTCTCATCTATTGTTATATAATAATTAGTATATTTTTAAAGTATACTACTTTCTGTAATCATAGCTTTGAAATTTTTGCTACAATCACAGGAGTTCTGATGACTTTTTTGAACCATTATATATCATCTGCAATATATCATTCTGAATATATGTCTATAGGTACATAGAAATGACTGCGAGTTTGCTAGAGGTTGGAACAGCTTTCTCCTACAATTTTGCTGAAGGTAGTTATGGGGTAGAAGGCTTCAGATTGTATTTTGAGTCCTGAAATAAAGTAGTGAGGTTTTGGTTTTAGTTTATGCAGCTTCTCAGACACCAGAAAGATACTTCTTAAAACGGTAAGAGTGAACTACAGTGATAATATAAATCAGTCATGAAAAATGTGATACTCAGAAATGACAGCTCAGAATATAAAATTGTGATGACTGAAGGTTCCAATGTCAACAATGTTATTTTCATCCATCACATTTTATTTTTATGTTGAGGTCTTTAGGTATAACTTCTTAGAGCATAAGATTTGACTTTACTCTTTCTTTCTTTTTTTTTTTTTACTCATTGCATTTTTGGGATGGTTGGTCAAAACACAAATTTATGGGCTGTCAAGTATTCTCTAGGAGATCTCTGTTGGTTTCCATCATGCAAGTTTCTGGTTTCTTAAGACAGACCTGATTTTGTCGTTTCACAGCATTATCTGCTGAATTAAGTGGAGAATACGAAACTACAATTTTTATTTAATTGGTATTGAGTCTTTATGGAAAAAATATTATGTTAAAATATTTGAGGATTTTTTTCCTACTCTAGTTTCACTTTTGCATACAGATGTGTTATATGCTTGAAAACTGAGTGTGCTGAGTCTTTATTATGTGACCAAGAGTTCTCTAGATAAGTATGGTTCAGGTGTTTCATCTGTTCTAACCTAATGGCTCCCTGTTTGTTTCCTAGGAAGTCCCATGTACTCTTCTCAGAAATAAAGGTACAAGGTTATAATACATATATAATGTGAAATTGTTTTTAAAAATATATGCAGCTCATAGTAATTTGGGATTTGATTGACAAAGTTGGCAAACAGCTGATCAGTACTCCTCCTTTTATCCGTACTTCTGTGTCAAGTTGGTCATGGTGCTGGTCATGCTGCTATTTTGGGGAAGGTGTTTGAAATAAACATCTTTAATTTTCATCCATCTTTTACATAAGGAAAGACTTCTTCACATTTGGTCTCAAAGATTACAGACAAATCTGTCTATTTCATTTTGAACAGTTTTGTGTGCCAGCATATTCAATAGTTTGCCCCCTCCCATCATCCTATATATCTTTAGGTCAACTTGCACAGCTCAGATTCAAAGTAAGAGTTTTACTCTGCTCTTGCCCAAGTTTCTGGGGAAATACAAGCTTTGATTCTGCTTCACATGGTATGCTGCTGATTTTTGCAGCTGGTCTTTGCATCTGAGCTTGGCAGATAGTTCCTGTTTGATGTTTCTTGGTTCTCTGGATGTAGCATCTCAAAATTCCCCTTGGTGAAATCTTTACTTGATGGACCCCTGTCATACTGAGGTACTTGATTACAAGATATAAGGAACTAATATGCATATTTCCTAATTTGAACTTTCGTCTGTGTCTTTGCTCTTGTGGAATCCAGAAGTGATTGCTTTTGTTACTTGTGTATGGTAATAAGGATGTTCTTTGTTAGCACTACTTTCATGAGGATATCAGCATAGTTGTTTTTAGCTGACTGTTACTGCCCTACCAATTTAAGCAGTCTTGGATGTTTGTAGTACTTCATTGTATCAGAATACCCTGTTTAGGTTTTGGTGTCAAGATTAATGTGAAATAAACTAGCTTCAAGTATTCTGCTCTCCAAAATCCTTTTGAATAAAGGTTTATTTAAAGAAAGGCAAGTATCCACATGGGGAATTAATGTGGGAGAACAAGTAATTTAAAAGTCTGCTTGCTGGCTTACTCTCTGTTAAGTCTTTTCTAGACCATGCCCTGCAACAGCCTTAGCATAATATTGTGATTGCAGCTTTTGTTTTCAGCATAAGCAAAGACATGAAAGTTAAGACTTTTTGGGGGCTTTTTTTTTTTATAGCTGCTATTACATTCATGTGTGACAAGCGATGCAACAAGAAAAGATCATGTGGACGACACAAGTGTAATGAGGTCTGCTGTGTGGTAAGTTTACATGTTGTTTTATAGAATTGTTTGGTATGGTGTATGTTTGGTTTTGGTTGTGATGTTAACAGTCTTTTTTTCTTTCATATCCTTACATTTTTGTGCATCTTCATTCTCTATTTGCAGTATTGGTCATGCTCAAAAAGTTTGTATGTGTGCATTTATTTTGCAAAATTTGTTTCAGGGGTATCATTATAAATATAAAGCCATATTCCAGCTAAATGCAGTTAAATCAGTGCAAAAGGGCTTTTCGTCAATGCAGTGATTCCAGGGAGAATGTAGAGGGGAAGGATATTACTTAATAGAAGAAGTATAAGCTATGATGCAGCTATGTCTGCAACAAAAGTCTTAACAGAATCTGCTTTAAAAATTGTATATCCATACAGTGATGGAAAAGCTGTATAGATCTGGCCTAAGCTATTTTTTGCACTATAGCGTTTTGTCAGTTACTAGTTACTGACCTTAGAGAGAAAAAATAAATCAGTGGCATTTATAGTTCAATTATGCTTTTTTTTTTTTTTTGCCTTTTCCTAGGACACAGAACATAAGTGCTCTTTGGTTTGTGGTCGTAAACTCAACTGCGGGCTTCATAGATGTGAAGAACCCTGTCATCGGGGCAGTTGTCAAACATGCTGGCAAACAAGTGAGTTATGTGCAAAAGTACATTATTTCTTATTTGTTATAGAAATATATTAATTGAACTGGTCAGTCAGATAGAGAATGTGATCCGTTTCACATTGGTGAGAAAGAGAGAGACATGTGATATGTATTCTAAGGATACTGTTTACAACTGGAAGTGCCTTAACTGCAGTAGTACATGAGTCTCTCCTATATTTTACGCATGTTGATATAGTTAAAGACCTCCACCTTTTTGGAGACCAACTTTTCATGGAAATATTCTGGAAAAGATAAGATACTAGAGCCTCTAAAGCTCACTGTGCTTGAAACAGCATTGTAGTCTGTCTTAATAGCCTATGAATATGATGCATGTTGACTGTACCTCTCTTTAGAAATATAAATATTTCTGTGTCCAAACATTTCTCTTGACAAAGCAAAATAGTAATCCTAGTGTCTCAGAGGTCCTGTTAGTAACTTCTGGTCTAGTTGAGACAGAATGCAGTTTTTTTCTGAGCAGTTGCTTTTGTTCAGAGGATTCCATGGGTGTGATGTTTAAGATCATTAAACTTCTCCACATTGCTGTAATATTTTTGAGGATTTTAGTTCACTCTCAGACCAAAGATTCATATGCCTCTCATAACCTGGAGAGAGCTAAGGATGGCCTCCTGTGTAAATTGCTCCATTGTTGGATGTGATGCAATCTAGAGGTCAATCTTCCCTGCTGGTATTTTGCAGCAAGGCCCTGTGGCCCTTTTCTGAATACAGGAAAAGCAGTTACCTACTCCAGGATAATTATGGTAATTTAGCTTAAACCTCTGTGTCCCTGAAGGTTCCTATTCTGAATCTATCCAGAGGTAAATCAGCTAACCAGTATCTTTAAAGATTTCTTACCTGCTTTCCCTGAATGCCGCTAATTGAGATTTCAGAGGCACACATTGTATTTTTCTATATGATTGTGACCCTGTAGTCGTTGGTGAGTGCTTCTCAGCACTAAGAAGGCCATTCTTGACTCTGTCTCACCTCTCTAGTCACCACTTTGCTGTTGGGCTACATCAGCCATGGTATCAAATGCTGTGGCATGATCAGCTGCAAGCCGCTTGCCTACTCATTAGACTGGATTTCTTGCCCCTGCTTCCATCTCCACTACTGTTCTTGCTGGGAATGGTGAGGGCTGACATCAAGATGCAATACTAGAGTACGTATGCACTTCTGTGGTTCTGTGTGCCTCCCACATACTTTTCCTTTCCAGTGTAATTTCCTCAGTGCTGATAGGTGAGGTCCCTTTCTGTTATAGGGTCTCTTTATGCACACCTGGTCTACTTCAAGACAGCAATACATCTCTTGGGGAAAATAAATAATGTGAGCATTAGAGACAATGCTTTTTTTTTTTTTTAATTTTCAGATATTGTATTTCTGTTCTTTGGATCAGACCACTCTGCACTCTCTCCCCATTATCCTCATTAGTGCTAGTAAAGGGACTTTCATTATAGTTAAGATTTTTCACCTGTCACTTGTCATCAATAGCAAGCAGCCAGTGTAGCTGTCTAACATTCCTATCTTCCAGGGACCTTGGTCTCTGGTCTTTCATCTTCCTGGACTAGGGTAGATCTGTGGCTTTGAAGCCTGGAGTATTATAGGTTGTTTCAAGACCTCTAGTGAGGGACAACTCTTTCCCATGCTTCCTTTCCCCAGATATGGACATTCTGAATCTTTTCTACTTCTTCCTTCTAACTCATAACATTTTGTTCTCCCTGGAATTCTTATTTGCTGGAATTTATTGTAATTGAGTCTACTTAGAGAAGAAAAATTTATTTTGTTAGATTACTTGGGAGGAATCAAGGTGGATGCATGGGAAAATGAAGTTGTCTCAGTCTGATGAGACTGGAATGTTTGCTAAAGAGGATGAATTATGAGATAGACCAAACTCCTCTCTCTCAGCAATTGTAAATTCAGAATTAAGGGGCTTTAATCAAGGAAATATGGGAAAAATAGAAGAAATAACAACCCTTTATTAAAAGATATATGTATGTTGACAAAAACAGTAACAGAACACAAAAAAACCTAGACAGTAGTCCTAGGAAAACAAAAAAAAAAGTCTGAAGGAAATACTTCAGTCCTTTAGCGCAGTCCTAATCGTTGCCTGCAAGGGGCGCTGTTGGATCGCTAGAGGTGTTGGACCTGCAGTTCTCGGTCGTGGTCGGCAGGGGGCGCTGTGGGATTGCTGGGAGTGCAAGGCCTGCAGTACCCTGTCGTGGCCTGCAGGGGGCGCTGTTGGGCTCCGGTGGTCACCACGCGGGGGAGAGGGGTCCAGAGGGAGCGGTCCCGGCCCGCAGGAGAAACCGAGAAGGGAATAGGGGGCCCCTTCCCTCAATGGAAGGAAGGGGTAAGGAAAAAGCAGTTCACCCCCCAAGAGGACTCACTGTTCCCAGATGGTAGTGATCCAAGGCTCTCCCCTCTTCTCCCAGCAAGCACAGACCTCTCCGATGAAAAGAAGAAAAAACAACCCGTAGGTCTCGGCGGGAGTCACGAGACACTGGCGGTGCAGGGCCGGTGGTCAGGTCTCACCAGGACGAAAGAACCAGGAAAAAAACTGGCTCCCAGGCTTTTCTCTAGAAATGCCTGGATATAGTCCCCGTCTCTGTCCCGGCCAGAGCACTCCGCCGTCAAACCTGTCCTCCCGTCTGCCCAGCCATCCCCCCCCTCAACTCCAGCAGTCAGTGGACCATTAACCAGGCCAGCCACTTCTTTTGTAAGGCTAATCGGTCCCCTTCCCCCTTCGAACTCTGTTTCTCTTACAGGGAAAGCAGGGAAAGAGAAAATTCCTCTTTCAGATTTATAACCCATAACAGAAGCGAAGACAAAATAAAATGAACAAACGAAGCTGCTGGTCAACATACTTATCTGACAGAGATCTGTGCACTTCATGTCTATCCTGTCATAGTTAATATCTTTTAGTATAATCTTGTTCTCTGTTCAGTGTGTGAGAGGTCTGAGTGCCATCAACTAGAAACTTGGCTGCAGACCACGGGAGCACGTAGCAAGCATAATTTCTAATAAAATCATCCATGTCTAGTTTTCTTGTGCAAGCCACAAAAGCTAATAAATTCACTGATATCAAATATTAGTGCTTAATATAAAAAACCCCAAGGCTAGAGTAAAACATTTGCGTGGTATGTAAAGATTTCTCATGGATGAGACATGCAAATACATGTAGCCATTAGGATGTATTTGACTTTTTTTTTTCAGGTTTTGATGAGTTAACTTGTTACTGTGGTGAATCTGTGATTTACCCCCCTGTTCCCTGTGGCACTCAGCCACCAGAGTGTAAAAAAATATGTACCAGGCCGCATGACTGTGATCATCCAGGTAAGTCAGGCCATTTAGTTTTGCTTGTGGGGTATTTTTGTTTTGTACTTGGGTTTCTTTTAATCAAAACATAGAAAAGTGTACATACGTCTTTTTGAAACTATATTTCCAGAAGTCTTCCCTTAAAAGCCAACCAGTTAAAAACTTGCAATGAATACTACTAGTGGTACTTCTCACTGGTAAAAGCATTGTCATTTTTTTCTGATTGTTATTAGTAGTCATCATCATCATGACTGGGCTTCCTGAACAAAGATTAGGGGTATTAGTAGTCACAACACATTAAATGCTACATTCCAGAGATCAAGTGCTCTGTTGAAGTAGTAGGATAATCTAGTGAACAGTTAATTTCTGTGTTCTTTGGAATTACATTGGTTGATGGCAAAATAAATAGCACAGGTCAAACATGTATGTTTTCTGTCAAATTCTGCATGATAGTATAACCCTACTCAGAAGTTAGAAAATTATCTGCTATTTAATTTAGAAAATATGGAAGAGTATTCACCTAAACACCTGCTATCATAATTTTTAAAGAACACGTTATTCTTCAATGAAGCATCATCCTTCCCATAAATTGTATAATTTTGAAATGCAAACTCTCATTTAATAGTCTTTACTGTCTCCTTTAATGCATTCAACTGAACTACGCTAATAAAACTGTTACGGCTTTTATATCTCTGTGGCTGCAGTGTACCATTCATGTCATAGTGAGGAGAAGTGTCCACCCTGTACTTATCTCACTCAGAAATGGTGTATGGGCAAGCATGAAGTAAGTTCTGGACAATTAATTTTTTTGAATACTAAACAATTTTCTAGGACTGGAGGCTTATATTTTGGTTGCTTCTTTGGAATAGAATATGTTACTGGAGTTTGAGTTTAATGTGATTAAATTGGAGAAGTATGTCTTTTATTCCATATGCATTCAGACCAACTGCTGTATTGGACTATGGTATAAAGTAAAATTCAAGTCTTTGAACTAAAATGTTTTAATGTTAAGATTCTTGTGTGGACAGTGCCAAATAAAAGTGGGAACAATAAAACCACTTTGAGATTTCCATTGATAATTTTTACTGTTAGTTGTCATCTTTTTCCTCCCCTCGTTCAGCTGCGAAGTAATATTCCTTGTCATCTCACTGACATTTCCTGCGGACTTCGCTGCAATCAAATGTTAAAATGTGGGATGCACAAATGTAAAAGAATCTGTCATAAAGGAGAATGTCTTATAGATGAAGAGTGTAAACAGCCGTGTATTATTCCAAGGCTATATTGTAATCATCCCTGTATGGCTCCGTGTCATCCCTCTTCACCCTGCCCAACAACCTCGTGCTGTGCAAAGGTTAGATACACAAAGAAAATTAATTACAAAGTCACAGGTGAATCATATGGTTTGCCTAACAGCCAGTAACAGTTGTGACATGTTTGTATATTGATAGTATGACATTTTTTCTCTAAACTTACAATACTGATTGTTTTTTAAATTAAACTATTAATCACTTTTAGTTAGCCATTATTCCACTAGAATGGGACTTTTTAAAGGTACCTCCCTCACACCCCTCCATGGCGAGAAAAAGACAAAGCTTTCAAAAAGCTACTCTCTCGTGTGATACAACAGGTTGATCTTCAATGTGAATGTGGAAGAAGAGAGGAGAGTATGATTTGTTCAGAAGCATCTAATAAGTATCAAAGGTTGGTACTGTAATAAGTCTTTCAATTCTTTTAATTCCTTACTGGACTTAATACTTTGCAGTTTGATTAAATTTCAGGCTTGACTAAATGTATTTAATTCACAAACTTTTTTCACAGTTTTTTGTACTTTGACATACAAGTTTGTTTTTTTTTTTTTTACTTTTTTATTCCCTTGAGCTTTCATACCAGCTTTGCTGTACTAGAACACTTCTTTTTTTTTTTTACTGTTGAATTAGTCCAGCTATGGGAGTGTGTCAAAGCTTGACTCTTCCATTTGTGGAGCAATTAGATACAGACTAATTTGTCAGGTCCAGATTCAGGCTCCTGAATGTAGGTGATTGCAGTCTGTGTGTGAGTTGCTGTCTAAGTTTCCAATCATGTATGATGGAACCTAGTCGATAGAGATGATGGATGCTTAAGAGTGATATGATGTAATCCTGAAATAGCTAAATTTAGACTGGAGAGCTTTGGCATCTAAATCTTGGTTCTTAATAGGCAAACCAAGTCCTTATCTTAACTCCATTTATTGCCATAGATTTGTATCCAGATCCTATTTCTAAACTTATTTCTCTTTCATACAAGAGAGGGCAATGAATGGACAAGGAAAAGAAGAAAAGTGGGGCTTTAGAACTTTGGAAATTAATATAGCAAAACAATAATAATAATAAGCTAAAAAATCTTATTCTGAGGCTGTGATTGAAAAGGAGTAAAAAAAACCTAATCTAGAGAGTTGATATGCAATCAGAATTCTGCTCTGCATACCAGTTGATAGAAGCACAGTCAGAGATTCTTCCTCTCTTTCAGAGAAAGCTTCTTAATGAGTGTTTTATTTGGAACTGCTATCTGAGGGCCTTTTTTTATCCTAGCCCAACTTAGGATATAGAATCATAGAATCATAGATCAAGAGAAAGGGAAAGAAACATTCTGTTTAAAGCAAGTGTTTCTGTCTATTAGTTCAAATGTGCTTGTATGTGCTTACAAATTACTCTTGACTCATGATATTAACAGAAGCAGCATTTAATGCCAGCTAAGTTTGGTAACTTCCAGCAGTTCATGCTAAAAGATTAACATATTATGATCTTGTGAAGGGAAATTTGTCTTTTTTCCTGCCACCAGATCAAAACAACTAAAACTATGAACAAAAATAACCTAACAACAAAGTAAAGGTCAGCAAATTAGTGGGGTATCTAAGTTGTCTAAGAAACATTAGAGGGAGGATGAAACAGCTTTGAAGTTTGTCAGTGAATGCTACTGAAAGAATGTCCAAGGGAACAGGAAAGGGAGTGCGCTGCTATATCTGTACATATGGTACAAATGATGATGTCACATCATCTAATGTCCCATTACTTAGACTTTGTCACCACTTGATAAATAAGAAGCTGATGGTGCCTCTTAGTGCATTTTGGATTCATTTAATATGATTAGCCTACTTCCTACTTCTAGCCTAGAACCTGATAGATGATTAGTTCTCTGAATATGATGCAAAACATATAGAGACACACATATTCTTTTATCTGAATTTAATCAAAAAGATAGTTCAAAGGATAGAATATTCCGGTTTTAGGATTTTGCTTGAAAATTATACGAGATATTTCACTGAAAAATTACTGTATAATTATGGTTATACAAATTTTAGCAGAGACTGGGAAAACGTTATTGAAAAGAATGATGAAGAACCTTTATAAAGAAAATAGTAAGTCTCAGTAGGCATTTTGCTCTTTCCATATGGATTGTATCATCCATATTTTCTAAGCAAATTTCTAACTACTTTATAAGATTTTAGTTGCACACAGTTAGCAAGAAACACATAAAAGGGTAGTTAAAGCTATATGGTCAGCTGTAGTTTGTATATTAAGCAAGTGTGGAGAAAGAGTATTTGCCTTGCCTACTTTAGACTTTCTTAAGAAGCATGTCCACTTGTTAGTCTTCCTCCTAGTTCTTGAGGGAGATGAGAGTAACATCTTAATTTGGATAGATAGATTAGACTCCTAAAACTAGGTGATGTGGAACTAAGAGTCCCATTCTGTAATCTGATGAGAAAACAGCCAGTCTGTCTTACTTCTTCCATCTGGAGGTTAAATCTGCACCTTTATGCACTTTTACAGAGGTTTGTGTTGCCACAAACTAAATCTAATGTTCTTCTTTTTCAGAATAGCTGCTATATCTATAGCCACTAAGTTAACAGATCTACAGCTTGGAGATTCCGTGGAAATCAGTAGGCTTATTACGAAAAAAGAAATGAAGCAAGCCAGGTAAGGAGATACATGTAGAAACATATTTCAAGCCCTTGTTCTTCACCTGAAGCATAGATGACATGCAAAATGCATAATATGGTGATCAAAATGTCAGCTGTAATATGAAGACTTAGTCTTCCTGTATAGCCTGACCCTTACTTTAACAATACTGCTAAAAGAGTATTTTGCACTTTCTTAGCGATTCCTGTTTTTGCTTTCATGTAGAATGAGTTCTCTGTTATTGTCTGATTGGTTGTTATAATTATGTATAGAACAATACAACTGTGGTTTCAGAGTTTTCTTTCTACCCAACCATTTCCTTGGAGTTCTTCTGGATTTTTTTCCAGATTTCTAGACAGTACAACTTTTTACTGTTATCTTCTGTTTCAGTATCCAACATTCCTTTTTGGGTTATTCATAGACCATGTTTTCTCGTAGTCAACATCTTAGTATTTATAATAATTTTTTATTACCCTTTTTAGATATTTTTACATTTGTATTTCAATTTGATTGGTGGTTCAGTATTCTCATCCTGGTTGCCACTGAAAATCTGATTTTAAGTCACAAAAACACTTGTGACTTAAATTTGGTGATTTTCTGTTTCACCTGATGTTCCTCAGGATTGGAATAACTTGTCTTTTTATTTTTAGTATGATTTAGTTATGAAATTGTCAACTTTCTCCAACGTCCTTCTGTCAGAAACTTGACTTACGGAAGTCCTTGCCATTGAAGTCCTTAATCTTTGGGTTTAGTTTATTTCTGTTACCATGTCTCCTTTTTTATATTGAATTTGATTATTTCTGAGTCAGTCTGTTATGTGTGTTAAAATCTAATGTTCCTTTTTATTGTGTCAAGTCAAAATAGTGACATTTCCCAACAGTTGCTTCATGACTTCCTGTATCAAAAGTTAATACCAGCATACTTCAAAAGCTTTTCCTAGTCATTCTGTTCTGTTTGCTAGTCTATGAAATTGAGGCACATTATTACCACATCCTTTTGGATCATTTTCTACATTGAAATAATTATCAATCTGAATGTATGAGCAAGATGATACATGGGAGCACCTGCTCATCCCAGTCTTCAGCTTTGTTTTAGTTGAGACAGTGTCATACTTCAGAAGAAAGTGAGAGGAGAAAACCAGGTGAAAGAGGGAGAACTGTACCAATTCCTGCATGCAACTTTAAAGAGCATGGTCATAGTACTGTATAAGCATAGTAATAAGAAAGATACCAGTAAGAAATAGTAATTGAGGTGAGGTTTTTTTAGCATATCCTGTTTGTTTCAATTAATTGAATACTCAAAAATGTGCAATGTAAGCATTAATTTTTGTCTCTAGAATTATTGTAGAATAATCTCTGCTTTACCTGGACTGAGCTTCAACTACTTTCTGTTTGCACCACAATGCCAATCAGATACAAATGTACTCAACAACATGAAGCCAACTTCAGCGTCTCCCAAAAAAGTCACTGTTTAAAGAAAGCAACCATTTGGCAGTGTTAAAACTTGGCAGGGAGAATGGGGGTGCAGGGTGGTAGAAAAAGAGAGAGGTGACCTTTTTAGATAATGAAGCTGAAAGTCTGTATAACAGCTGTACACTTACCTGGAGGGTGAATGTTGGTGTCCCAGCCTTTGCAATGTTTAATATAAATTGCATTGTAGCCATTGCCACGCATTGCCACACATCTTTCTGGGTGGGCAAACATTGCTCTTTCCTTTGACAGTTGAAATTATCAGAGATGACTTTCCTTTGCGCAAATCTTTCCTAATATGATAGCTAAACTGTGGCAGGTGACTTTTATTCAAGGACAGTCAGAGAAAGTATTCTCCCTTCCACTTTCATCTACCAAATACTGGGGCAAGGGGAAAAGAGATGGTGGTACATAAAATATTTAGTCTTAAATTTCTAGTTGTTAGACAATAGATTAGTAATTTTTGGATCAGAACCACCTTGGGTATATGTGTGTGTGCGTGGAGGGGGGAAGGGGTGGGTTGAAACCTCACAGAGGTGAGGTGGCATCGTATCCCTCATGCCAGGCCCCTGGAGCCCACATGGGGAAGGCCCGGGATAGCTGTCATTCACAAGCTGCCCAGGAAAACTATAACACATCACACCTCCCAGAGCCCCTAACCCAGCCTCAGATTGGCAGGGACAGTGAGATCACTGCCCCTCACTGTGGCCTGGAACCCCAGAGTGGCCAGTGGGTCAGAGACCCCACCTTGGGCAGGTGGTCATAGGGACCAGAACAGATAAAACCAAAGGCATGTGGCTCTGCCATCTGGACATGTGAGAGGTGGTCTTCCACAAGGTTGCAATGGTAGCTATACAGTCTGTCTCTCCCACCTTCTCTCTTCTTGCCCCCTCTTCTTTTCTTTCTTTGCTCCTTTCTTGATGTTTTGGGTATCTTAAAGCAGGAGGGATTGGATTTTGACTTAAGTGTTGTGGATTAGTATGTGTATTGTAGTGGAATGTTTTGTCTAGCTTGTGTGGTGCCCTTTTGAACTTTTGCCAAGTTCCCTTATTTTCTCCCCTAAATTATCAATAAAAGTACCTCTTGGGAAAAAGTCTGTAACTTATTCTCTTGACACTATCTCAAGGTATTAAAGAACCCTATATATATATATATATATATATTTTTTAAAGTAAAACTCCTGGCTGAGCCCATGAGCTTGCAGCTCCAAGGACAGAGTGTTACACTAGTTTATTGTCAAACTCCAGTATTTTCAAAGTAACTTACAAATCTGCTTCACTCATTTACAGTAACAGAATATTTTATGCAAACTGTGCAAGGATTTTCATACTTCATTTTTCTTATTAGGGTTTGGGGTTTTTCTTGTGACAAATTTGATCAGACCTAGAACAGCTTCTCTAAATGGCCTACATTCCTCTTATAGCAGAGGAGAAAATAATTCTTCAAGCAAATGACTTTAAACAGTACCAAGTTGATCTTATAGTGCAAATATGTTAGCTTTCTTCTGTCCCCTTCAAGAAAGCCATCAGAAGAAGTTCTAGATCCTGTGTTTCCAACCTGAATGAAACAATTTCCCCCATAGCAATTATTATTTTTTTTTAATTTAAGGAACTATTATCAACAGAATTAATTAACTTGTGCAGTCTAAGGGGAAGAAGTTTGTAACTGCCACTGAAATTCTGGGGAACTCCTGATTCTTCTCTGGCATTTTAATCCCTCAAAATAAAATTAAAAAATACCTTTCAAAGATGAAACAAAAAACTGAAATTCATAACTCTACTGACGTTAGGGATTCAGTTGAAATAACGATTTTTATGGTTCATCATAATTGTCCGTATGCATATTTAACTTTCCTCCTTTTCCTGGCTTATAATTTTTTCTGATTCATAGGAATAAGTGACCCTGTGACATCTTCCTTTGCTGATTTCCAGTCCTTCCTAGCATCCCCTCAATGGTCATATCAACTGCATTCTTTTCTTAAATGATAGATTTTACGAATAACATCTAATTCACAGGCTTTTTTTCTCAGTTTCTATATGACTTTGGGAATTGCTGTTCCTTTTCAAGATCTGGAGAAGGGGTTGTGTGATCAAAGATCTTTAATTGTTGCTTGATGGTTTATTTTTAGCTCTACTGTCTGTTCTAATACAATAAACTATGCTCACACACTCTTCTTACTTCTTTAGACTATGATGATATGACACCAACAAAGCTACAGTTTGAAAAGTATGAGTAGAAGCTGTGATTCTGTTTTTCTTTCATGATTTAGGTTGCAATGTGATGAAGAATGCTTAGCCCTTCAGAGGAACAGGTGGGCAATTAACTTTCTTGCTTTCGTTTTTTCCTCAGTAGTAATCTAGGTTCACAAAGTTAATGTATGCAGGAAAAAATCCTTTCCTGCATGACCTAGAGAACAAATAAATGTGGAGATGATTCCTGTGTTCTAGGGATCTATATTAAATGATCTGATATCTTGCTAGAATATTCTAGTGAAAAATTTTAAGCGAGTAGTTTCAAATGTACAGACCGTATCTTTTGCAAGCTGTTTATTTATATTAGTAACCTGTACCTTTTCAATGACAACATGTGTGGAAGGTTGAGGGGATTTATATGTTTATTTTTGTTTGCTTATGTTTTTGTTACATTTTGGGGTTTTTTCCTTTTACCCTCAAATTTAGGCGTCTTGCTGAAGCTCTTGAAATAGATGATAATTCTGATCCTTTTAACATCCGTTCTTCTGGACCAAAGTACAGTGACGTTCTAAAAGAAGATGCAAGGTATGTGTTCTAACGATGGCAGGTGTCATAGTTCAACAGTGTTGAGAGCAAGATGGAAAATGCGGAATAGTTTGATTTACTCTTGTAAAAATAACCACCTTGGCAATAGATGGCAGTTGAGGCAAAGGAGGTGATGTGCACTTCTCAAGACCTCCAGAATGAGAACCTGAAAAGTAAAAAGTGCCTGACAGGTTGCTTTGTTCTGTAACAGGACCAGATTTAGAACGAGAACATCATTTTTCACCATTCTCACTATGAATCAGTACCTGTACTTTTCACATCTCTACTGCTTTCACACAGAACCAACCTCTATCTCAGTGTTCTTTACAAACTTTTCAAAACAAAGACAAAAGTGGTGGCTAAGTAATAAAATATGCTCTTGTAGCCTTATGGTATTTCTGTCCACCAGTCTCATTAATTTCTTCTGTCTTACTGCTTATATTTTAAAAATAAAGAAATGGAATTAATAAAATACTTGGTGCAGAGCAAAGCCTATGCCAGTGTGACTGCAAAGAGTGATGCTAGACTGAAACATCTTAAAACAAGGCAATACGAAATCAAGCTCATATCAAAAGCATTACACCAATACATACTGTGCAATCTGGAGTGACAGGGAGGGATCAGACACATCTTTAAGAAGATGCTTAAATGATGTGTCATTTAAGAAGTTTTTACTCTTGTGTATGTGTTTGTAGGCATGACATTAGTTTTTACTGGGTCTAAGTTTTTTAGAACATCCTAATCTTTTATTATTGCTTCAGTATCCTAATGCTACATAAATTTCATGGTTTTGTAAGGATGTTTTCTGCTTGAAAATCCTTTATTTAGTTTGCTGATGCGTTGAGATAAGTGGGAAATTTTACATAAGTAGCCATACGGAATTTAGGAGTAAGTTACCTCTTTCTTTACTTCAACTGATGAGCCTACTGCAAAATAGGAACTGAATGTTTTCATTGTGGAGCTACTGTTTCAGTAGTATTTGCACTTAAAAGTGCTATTTTATAAGGACTATTCTCTTAAGTGTGTATAGATTATGTTTTGCTTTATCTCTTTCAGAAAAACACAGCACACATTTTCAATACTGCAAGAAAGTGAAAGTTTTGCATCGTGTGTGTAGTCTTTGGAGTACAATTCTATTTTGTCTTTCTGCCAACCACTACTCATAGTGCAGTGCTTATCTTTCATGAACAGGACTGGATGACCAGGGTCATGCACTGTTCTCCAAATGGTCAAACAGATACCTTGAAAAGTAGCCTTAATGATTCCACACTCCTCTTCTTATTCTTTCAGTGATTTTACTTGCATTTCCTTTGTAACCACTTTATACTGGTAATTCACAATAAATAATACACCAAGGCTATTCTTACAGCTTTAGCACACAGCTAAAGCAAAAGTTTTCTTAGTCCTCAAGTCACTTACTTTGCACATTGCGTTACTGGATTTCATTTATCTAGTCTTTAAGATAAATGAGTTTCTCCTTGTATTAACAAAGCTCTCTTTACAAGAGCAGCAGTCTTCAATTTGTAAAGCTATGGCTTTATGAACTTACTTCTTTGACTGTTCTTGATGTTATCTCAGCAGTCTTGCAAAAGATCGGGCTTTCCATCATGGTGGCAGGATCCAGAAAGTGTTTCTGTTACAGTATGTTTTTCAGGTGGCTCAGCATTCTGAATAAGTTTTGACAGATTAATTTATTCTTGCTTGAGCATGCCACTCCAGTAATGCAAGAGTTCAGGGCTTGTGGTTTTCTGCAGAGTGTAAGCTACACACCCATATATGGGATCTCAGAATGATTGAGAAACACAACAGCTACCTACCTGTGCATTCAGAGTCACTGCCTCAAGAAGGCAGCAGCTGCCAAAATCATCAGTAGAATGCTGTGATATTATCTTCTTTAGGCAATTCACTGATCTGTGTAGCTAATACATTGTCAAGGGCTGAAAGAAATGTACATCTACAAATGAGGAAAACTTGAGAAAGCTGTGAGAAAACTCCTGATTTTGAAGTGTAATCTCTAATTACAAAACCGTAAAGCTCCCAAGAAGCAGTAGAACTCCAGGTAACAGGAAGAAGATAAGTAAGTGGAAACGTGTCAAGATAATATGTCTCCTTTGTAGGACAGTGACAGGAGAAGGGGGCACCAGGAGTAGTGATATCTGAGTCTTAAGATGTAACAAGAACTAATAGTTTTTGCAGTGGAATGTACCATAGAAACGACATATAACTGAGCCACATGATTTAAAAGATCTAACCAAGCAAAGTAAAGAAACAGTGAAGAATGGAACTGAGGCAGCTGGCCAAGTTACTCTATAACCAGGTGTATTGTCTTAAAGAAGTTTATAGGCAGTCACTTAGAACTCTGGGGGGCTCCAGACACAGACGACCACTAGAGACCCTCAGTGAAGCCCCTCAGAGACTGGATATGTATATGTGCAAATAAGTGTTGGGAAATGTCATGAATATGTAACAGGAATGCGAGGAATGAAAAATGAATAATCATGTAGTGTTGACATATAAGCTGTAGCAAAGACATCTCTGTGTGCACTTTGGAGAACTGATTCCCAGGACACCTGGCGTGCTGTGATCATGCAGCACATCATAATAAAGAATGCCTGGCTTCTAAAACTCAAAAATTGGGTCTTAGAGGTTTCTTTTAAGAGCCAGTTTTTGGCAACAATAGCACGGTAATGCTGCTGCATGCTGATTTTGCTGATGTGTTTGCCAGAATCTGACAAGCAGTCAAAAGAAAAGTCTCTACACCATATAGCTTTACATGGAGGAATCCAACTTGTAGTATGGAGATGACTGTACCAACACAACTGAGCACCGATCAGGGAGTACAGATCCACTGGCTGGACACCTCAGCACTGACCTTTCTAAGAAGCTCCAGAAACAGACAGAGAGCAAGAAAATGCTCAAGTTGGTCCATTGACATGAAGTTGGAGGATAGACTGGCACAAGTATCAATGTCCAGTTGGACAAGGATGATGTTGAGGCTGCTATTTGATGAATTAAAACTACTGGAGAAAGAGAGGAGAACATCTGGAATATCTGGCCACCTGGAGCTACACAGAAGAAAATGTTCTTATTTTGTCACTGGCTGTGCAAGACCCCACAGCAGCTATATGGACTATGAAAATCTAAGATCAAATGGTTAAGTCTAGAAGGACACAGAAGGAGATGGGTACTTAGTAGTTGCCATCTTAGCCAGTCTTTCCAAGAGTTAACCCTCCACATGCCACTCCAGGCAATGAAGGAGGAGCCAAGCACTCCCGTGTGTGATCTGGTAACAGGAGCAGTGTACAGGTTCAGGGTTAGGAGACAGCTTTCTTAAACAAGAACTGCATCCTAAAGGAAGGGACAGTGAGAGCAGCTTCTCAAGCACGACTGGTGAACTGCAAGCATGGGATGTCAGTCACTTAAAGGTAAAGTGACTGGCAAGTGTTGCAAGAATAAGAAGGGTTTTGGCAAAGGCAGCAAAGTCTGGGGAAAGCAAAAACATACAGTAAGAACTACAGTGGAAAACCAAGCAGTCAGGAGCATTCTTTTTAAGTAGTGTGGTTGAGAAGAACTGAAGTGACAGTAGGCCTGCTCCTGCTTACATGCAATGCAGGAAAGTGGGAAGAAGCCTAATGTACACCATCTATAGACATTTCACAGAAAAATAGACTTTCATATCCCACATTGCAGAATTTCAGTATATGCACTGTCAAATCCTGTGTATTGTACTTCGGTATTGACTATCTTGGAATGTCTTGAAGCTGAGAGACATTCTAAGTATTTCTGGAAGAACTCCCAGCTTGCTGATTTTGTTGGTGACTTCCAGTTGATAACTCTGTTTCTATAGACTCCTAAAGGGCTTATTTTTTTAATTTATCCCTCAGTGTGTGAACTGGTAGGCTCAGTAGGCTTTTAAATATTACAAATCAGATACTTGTTTACTCTCTCATTGGATTGTTGATTTCATTTTTTTCTTACCTCCCGTGATCACTCCACCTTGAAATTTAGGTGTTTATGGCTGGCATTCAGTATAGTATTTGCTTTCTGACCCTCTGGATCCTGAAGGTATCCGTGGTTTTGGTGGAGTTTTTTTGTTTGGTTGGTTTTTGTTTTATTTTTTTTGTTGGGTCAGGTTTTTTTGTTTGGGTAGGGGGTTTTCTAATGTGAGATTATTGCTGTAATATCCTTTTCAAAGCCTCATATCACATGGGCTGACTCTCTATTTCACAGCCTAGGTGTTTGGAGGCTCCTTTCTTTTCAGCTCTACAAGTCCAGGTCCTTGTTGCAGTTCTCCCAATGTAATACTTCTCTCTACTGAAGATCCAGGAGTTCTCATAACTACATGCTATGTCCATGTACTCTTGCAAAACCTTGAAGGTCTTCCAGTGATGGGCTGAGTCCATCATATCTGATCAAGTGATATTGGTAGCTGAGCTATTCAATGTTGTCATTTTGCATGTTTGTTTGAGACTTCTTGGTCTTTTGATGATACATTCACTTCAGCATCCAAAACTTCAGTAGGGCATCTACCAAAGATAGTTGTGCCCGCTTTGGTAGGCATGTCTTGACTGGTTAAATTCTGACATCATTCACAAAGTGGTATTGTTTTGGTATGGAATAGTGCCTGGTTTCTGAAGAATTATTATTTACTACTAACCAGCCTTGAGATAGGAAATCTTCAGGTCTTTTTTCCCCATAGGGACAGTGCCCTAACAAATAACAACCTTTATTTTAGAGTTAGCTAACCTGCTTATGTAAGAACAGAGCACAAACCTTACCCTTACATGAAAGACTTGAAGTACTGTGATGAAGCTAGGTACAAAAAAAATAGTTCTAACAAATCCTTAATATCTTACATCAAGAAATTTTGATTGCCTTATGCTGCTCTTCTTGTGTTCTTATTAGTTTGTTATGCTAAGCAAGTTGAAGACCAAAGTCAGTGAACTTTTCCTTTGTCTTGGAAAAGTCCACTCTGTTTACCCCATGCCCATTTCTGTGTCTCATCCTGTATTCTAATGAAGTGAATTGCCTTAATGACAAATAATTTAAAAACTCTGAAATGGCAATTTTAAAATCTGCATTATCAATTTGAAAATGTAAAATTGTATTGTCAGACAGTAGAGCCATATCATAGAATTTTATTCTGTGTTCTAATGGTTAAAGGAAAAATAATTATTTTCGTAATATTGATGACACACTAACATTAATGTAAATGAAGCTTCTACTTCAGTCAGTTGAGTTGTGTAATTTTGTTCTTGTTGAAAAATAATGTTAGAAAAAATGAAGAAGATTGTATCTTTGTATGCTCTCTTGCCTCATTAACTTAGAATGCTGTTCTTGCAGGAAGGATTTAAAATTTGTCAGTGACATTGAGAAGGAAATGAGAATGCTTGTGGAAGCTGTAAATAAGGTCAGTATTCAGATATTCTGTATGACTTACTCTAAGAAACAGTTTTGTTTGGGAGGGGTTTGATACTACTAAACTTTATTAATACTAATGAGTTGACACTAGTTCTGTTTGGGCTCCAATGTTTAACTGTAAAAAGAACAAAATTTTAGGAGACTTAGTAGTTCAGGAGCACTTTGGTGACAAACTTTGTTTAAAGATTCATGCAGGGCTAGGCTTTAATGCCTCAGTGGATTATCATTAATTTTTGGATCGCCATTAATAAAGTATTAATTGTCAAAGATGATGTTTAAAGGTTCAGACTTTGAGGAGGAAAGCCTAGGTGCTTTTGATCCTTGTAGTGGAACTTGCTCACAAATTTTTTGATACCTTCCTGCATTTGCCAGTGTATGAGGTTTTCCTCCTCCTTCTGTAAGGATCCTTGGATTCAACTAGAATGTTTGGCAGACTTCAGTATACCTAGAAAGATTGATACCAGAGACACAATGATAGGTTTTTCAGTGATATCACCTTCAGGTCTATCAGGTTAGCATACTCCTGGCTTGCTGCTGCATCATGAAAGACCCAGTACATGTGATTCAAATGACAGCGTAAAGTATACTAATCTCAGTTGCCTTTAGCTCAAGAAGGAGCTAACCTTCTGTAGAAAACATTAATTTCTTTCCCTCTAGGCCCTGAAGACAGTTACTTAACTTTATTCTTTCAAAAGATTATGTATGATATTTCTTAATCTTTATGCTTGTGCACCTGTCTAATGTTCTTGCCCGTTGTTTTCAACATTGGAATGAAAGTCTGAAAGCAGTCCCATCTGTTTCTAGTCAGCACAGAATGGGTAAAGTTGAAAGGTACCACAGTGGGATCATTCAGTCCAACCTCCCAGGGTCAAGCAGGGTCATCCTAGAGCACATTGCATAGAGTTGCATCCAGACAGTTCTTTAATATCTCCAGTGAGGGAGACTCCACAACCCTTCTGGGCAACCTGTTTAGATGCTCAGTCACGTGCATATTAAAGAAGTTCTTCCTCATGTTCAGGTGGAGCTTCCTCTGCATCAGTTTCTGCCTGTTGCCTCTTTTCATATTGGTTGGCACCACCAAGAAGAGCCTGCCTCCATCCTCTTGACAGTCTCCTTTGAGATGCTATAGTCAAAATAAATAACAATAAATAAAATCTCCTCTGTCATCTTTTCTCGAGGCTAAACAGGCCCAGCTCTCTCAGCCTATCCTTGTGAGATCTTTGTAGTCCTTTGCTGGACTCACTCCATAAGCCCCATGTGTCTCTTGTACTGAGGAGCCCAGAACTGGACGCAGTATTCCTGGTGAGGCCTGGGCTGAGTAGAGGGACATTATTACCTGCCACAGCCTGCTGGACACACTTTTCCTAGTGCACCTAATGCATACCACTGGCGCTGTGCCACAAGGGCATACTGCTGGCTCATTGTTGCCCCAAGTCCTTCTCCATAGAGCTGCTTTCCAGCAGGTCAGCCCTCTGCCTGTACTGGTGCATGGGGTTATTCCTCCCCACGTGCAGAGGGTGGAATACTGTACTTGCCTTTGATGAATTTCAGAAAGTTCCTCTTTGCCCATCCCTCCAGCCTGTCAAGACACTTCTGAAGGGCTGCACAGCACTCAGGGGTATCGGCCACTCCCCCCAGCTTTGTGTCATCAGTGAACTTGCTGAGGAGGCTCTCTACCCCTTCATCCAAGTCGCTGATGAATAAGTTAAAACAATACTGGAGCCAGTACTGACCCCTGGGGAACATTGCTACCTATAGTCCTTCAGCTAGATGCTATGCCACCGATCACAACCCTCTAAGATCTGTTGTTCAGCCAGTCCACTCATGCAGTCTGCACTTCCTGAGTTTACCTATGGAAGTATCACAGGAGATATCAAAAACCTTGGTGAAGTCCAGGTACACAATATCCAGTGCGCTTCCTTCATCCATCCAGGTAGTTGTTTTATCATACAATCAGGTTGGTTAAGCATGATTTCCCTTTGGTGAATCCATGCTGACTAACCCTGATCACCTTCTTGTCATCCATATGCTTAGAGATGACTTCCAGGATGAGTCATTCCCATCACCTTTCTAGAGACCAAGGTGAGACTGACTGTCCTGTAGTTCCCTGGGGTCCTCCTTCTTGCCCTTTAGGAAAGACTGGGGTGATATTTGCTTTCTTGCTTATTTAAAAATGTTCAAAGCAAACACTAAATACAGAGCTATCTTCCTGAATATTCCAACTACCACTCCTTTCTTACCAGAAATCAACCTACACAAACCTTCTCTTCACATATATCTTCCCCTTTCTCCATTCAGTTCCCATTTACAGCTACATTTAACTCCACTTCTTCCTGCTGCTTGGGCCACAAATCCAAAGCTTTCTGAATCGCTTCTTTTGCTAACTCAAAGGCAACTTGCTGTTCACTCCCCATTCAAACTCATATTTCTTCCCTGTTACTTTGTATACCGGGGTGAAAATCTGTCCTAGATGCAGAATGTATTGTCTCCAAAATCCAGACAATCCGATAAACCTCTGCATCTCATTCTTATTACAAGGTACTGCAAAATCTAAAATTTTCTGTGGGTTTGTAGGTAATGTTTCCCAATGTCCACAATGCCACTGAATTCCCAGAAATTTCACTGCTTGAGATAGTCCTTGAATTTTAGTAGGATTTATTTCACAGCCTTTTTGTTTCATGTGATCCACAGCCAATTCCAGCATCTGTTGTATTTCTTCCTCACTGTTTCCCTTAATTAAAATGTCATCTACGTAATGCGTTATTTGCATATGAGGAGGCAGCTTTATTTCATCCAAATTTTCAGCCACTGTTCAGTAGCAGATTGTTGTACTATGTACCCACCCCTGGGGCAACGAGGTAAACGTATACTGATGTCCCTGCCACGTTAAGAAAAAATCAGTCCCACTGTTCTTCTACAATACGTATAGTAAAATATGCATTAGCTAAATCAATTCCAGCATACCTACTTCCGGAATGTTTCTGAATTTTTTTTCTGTTAAAGTCGCAGTATCTGGTATAGCCATCGTGAGAGGCAGCATATGCTTATTTAACTCTGTAAAATCTGCAGTCATTCTCCATGACCCATCACTCTTTTTTATGGGCCATACCAGATTATTCCAAACTGTGGCAGTTAATTTTTAAACTCCAGCATCCAGCAAATCTTTAATTGTGATATTTTTTCATGCCCTCCTGGTTTTCGGTATTGTTTCATTGTTACTAATTCATTTGCAGCAGAAATCTGCACAGGAGATTTTTTTTTTCCTGCTGGAAGATTGACCAGGCACTAATATAAGTCTTTATTCCAAATTGGTACTGACCATCAGGAAGATTCACGGTTAATCCTTTTAGAATATCTATCCTTATTATATATTCAGGGATAGGAACAACCATGACCAAGTAAGATCGTTTCAGGAAGTTCCCTATTTTCACTTGTATTTAGGTTTGTACGGCATCAATTTGTTTCCCTTCCGGACTGGTAATAGTTACAGGCTGCCCTTTAAATTTCTTGGGATTCCCATATATCAAAGAGGCGTCCACTCCAGTATCAATTAACAGTAATGTTTGTGAAGACCAGTTTTTCCAAGATATTTGAAGCTCCACATGGGGCTGCTGGTCCCCCTGTATCAATTGCACTGGAGTTTGGATGTCACTTCAGTGTCGTTTACCACACTGATTAATTTCCCTGGTCTGTTTCCAAGGATAAAAGTCAGAATATCATTTCCAGTCCTCCTCCTCCCCTGGAATAACAGATCTACTCTTGGAGGGCCCACTGTGAACAGATGCGGAATCCCGTTGAGGCTCTGGAGGGGGTTCTGTATGCTGAGTTGTTCCTGGATTATTTACTTTTGAGTTTTGCATTTTTTTACCAGTTTTACTCAGGCCTCTCCGCTTATAAATCTGCCATAGTTCATGAGTCGGAACCCCATCAATTTCCTCACGAGACATACCATCTTTCAATAAAGCTGAAAACATTTCCCTATGACAAATTCTGTTTTCATTCCCTTTAGAGCTATCTCTGGTATCTCGGTTTCCTGCACTGCCTTGCAGCCCCCATTCTCCAAGGTCACTTAGCTGCTGTATTTTTTCAATTCCTTCACAGAGGGGATTTCCTCTCTTGTTAATCAAAAGTTTTTGTATGCTGCTGGGGAAGTCTTGATCACCTTATTTCTCATAGTAACAGACAAAACTTGCTGCATCATACTGTCAGCATCTCCTATGAAAATCACTGATTTCATCCCTTCTTCCTTTAATCGTTGTACACAATCCTACAAAGTATACCATGCACGCTCAGTTCCAGTTGGTCAGTCATTTTCTTCAGGATATTTATTACTTCATCCCAAAGCAGTCAAAGCTAACAGATTAGCATCATGAACATTATTCCAAAATGCATCCTGCACATATGAGTCTGAACTCAAGATTAAAAACTTCCTGGAATCCCCCAAATCGAGGGTGACCCCTGACGCTTCCTGATCATACAAACGCACCGTCCAAGTCAGTAGAGATTCTTCCAGTCTCTGTTTAAACCATTCAATTATATAATTTACTTCATTCTGAGTACAATCCTCCACCACATGCCTTCCTATCAGCTGCCCGTCAGCCTCTAATTCCATTTTCAGTCTCCATGCCGGTCTCACATCTATGAATTCATCTGTGGAACCATCCTCATCAGTTGGAAGTAGATTCATAGAATAGTTGTTTGTTATCACCTAAGAATAATTTGCCCAGTGTTGTGTTGCCTGTGGTTATCTGATTTTCCATATTTCTTTATACACTGCCTTTATCATGCACACGTATGTACACAAGTGTGGATACACAAATATATTTCTACCTATAACTGCGTATACCAAATATATGCTCATACTAAATCAAACCACAATATGTAATTATATTAAAAAAGGGCAACATAGGTCTTGAATTTGCAATATACAAATTAGTCACAATGATGTCACAATATTAGTGACATCAAATATGCCAGAACAAGAGTACCAGAGAGCTCAGAAGTATCTCCAGTGCTTTAGTTCTCAGTGGAAAAACCAACTATTTGTTAAATAATGATCCTACAAAGCAGACAAATTATGTCTGTTAAGGAGCATCTACATTGCAGAAGAGAAGGAAAAAATGAAAACAAATCACATGTGACAGTCTTTTCCCAGTGTGACCTAAAGGGAGAATTACCCAGTGTTTACTTAGCTTTTATCATGACCAGGATGAACCAGTTAGATTCACATGACAGTTCAGTATCTCAAGGATCAATCAATCCTGTACCATCCTACCCCTCAGGCTATAGGTAATTGCATAAGGTATGAGAAAAAAAGTTCCCAGAAATCAAGTTATATTTCAAAAGGGAGGAGATTTCTTTCTGAACACCAAAGGCAAGTGACACAAGCCTTGAAGCTTGTTATCCATCTCTTATAATACAAATGCAGATAAGAAGTCATTCTTTCATGAACTCTTCAGTTGGGAAACCCAACAGTTACCTCATGAATTCCATGACAATCTTAATGTTCTGTTCCTAAAAATCCTCTATTTAGTTATATATTAATTTTTACAAGGCTGTCAAATTCTGTCTTGAAATGGTTAGATTCCTGATTACCAGTTTTCTGTTTAGATGCCCATTCTACATCTGCATTTTTCACATTGCTTACAAACCTCCTGTGTTTCTTCATGTTGAGGCCATTTGGTAACAGTGAGCCCTGCTACATGAGGCTGTAGTTGTTTCACAGAATCACAGAATGTTTGAACTTGGTAGGATCCTCTGGATATCATCTTGGAAAACCCACTCTGTTCAAGCAGAGCCATCTAGAGCCAGTTGCCCATGACAATGTCTAGATAGCTTGTGAGTATCTTCAGGGATGGAGAGGCCACAAGCTCCCAAGGCAACCTGTGCCAGTACTGTTATTCTCATAGTAAAAAGCATGTTTCCTGATGTTCAGAGGGAACCTTCTTTATCTTAGTTTTTGCCCATGACCTCTTGTCCTGTCACAAGGCTTCATGGAAACAAGCCTGGCTCTGTTTTCTTTACACTCTCCCTTCAGGTGTTTATAGACACTGATGATATCAGCCCTGAGACCTCTGTTCTCCAGGCTTAGCAGTCCCAGTTCTCTGTGTTCTTGTCAGTGCAGAGAATGTTCCCATGCCTTAATCACCTTCATGGTCCTTCACTGAACTCATGTCCATGTCTCTCTTGTACTGAGGAGACCAGAACTGAACGGTTCAGTACTGCAGAGCCCAGTACTTCAGGGATGGCCTCACCAGTGCTGAGCAGAGCAGCACCTCCCTCAGCCTGCTGGCAAAACTTTGCTTTTCGCAGACCAGGATACTGGTAACCTTCTTTGCCACAAAGTGTGTATCACTGGCTCATGTCCGACTTGGTGTCCAGCAGCATCCCAAGCTGCTCTCCATCTGAGTGGCTCTCAGCATGTACTGGTGTGTGGGGTTGTTCCTTAGCAGGTGCAGGACTTTGCATATCTCCTTGCTGAACTTCCCAAGGTTTCTGTCAGCTCATTTCTTCAGCTTGTCAAGCTCATGCTGGATGGCAGCACGCCCCTCTGGTCCATCAGCCACTCCTCCCAACTTTGTATCATTGACAAACTCACTGAGGGTATGTTTTGCCCCATCATGCAGATCATTAACAAAGATGTTAAACTTTGCCCTGTTCATCACCACCCTTAGGGCCCAGCTGTTCAGCCAGTTTTCCATCCACCTCCCTGTCTGCCCATCCAACCCCTACAGCAACAGCCTGTTTTTGAGGGCTTTGAGGCTGTTATGGGAGACAGTGTCAGAGATCTTACTGACAGCCTGGTAGACACTAGCCACTGCTCTCCCTTCATCTACCAGACACATCAGTCCATCACAGAAGTTTATTGAGTTGGTAAAACCATACTATGTACTCCCAAGGAATTTCTTGTGTCTGGAATTGAGTTTAAGGATGAGCTGCTCTGTCACTTTCTCAGGGATTGAGATGAGGCTGACCAGCCTGTAGCTCCACGTGTCTTCCTTACCTGTCTTGAAGATAAAAGGAACAGCATGTATGGAGACCACGCTCTTTCTTTTCCTTAAAAATTGCGGCATGTACGGTATAGAAGGGAATATTTCCCACGCACTGTAAAGTTAACTTTCTCTGCTACTCAGTTCTTCTCGCATAACTTTTTATTTTTGTGAAAGTCTCAGAGGCTTTCTTTTCTCTCTTGTGAGAGTCATGTTTCATCTTGCAACCCACAAGTTTATGGAACTAAAGATTGGATTAATATGTGTGATATGGCATTATGTAGGGAGACTGGTTTTAATTGTTCTGTCATGATTGTCAAGTCCTCTTTATGCTTGAGTCTGTGTTTGGTTGTTTGTTTATTACGATTCCTAAATATTCTCTTAACTAAAGATGTGACTTGCTTTCTTTGTTTCTAGATGTAGAACTTTACTTGTATTAAAAGTATTTTGCATGCTAATCTATCAAGCGTTCATGTAGCTCTGCCTGTATCAGTACTGTGTTTTTCAAACTGATTACTGTTACTTACGCTTACACATTTTACTGTTAGTTTTTAATTTTTTTACATTGTGCCTTTGGAGATACCCAGTTCAGCGTAACTGGATAAATGAGTAATAAAAAGGATTTTGTTACTTAAAAGTTTTAGTATGGTTCAGTTCTATCTATCACATATGACTTTGCTTGCCTCACAAATATCTGATGCCCTACACTCATCAGTATGTACTCATCTAGCATAGCAGAATTGTTGTGATTGATATGTGTAAGCAGAACAGACAGGAAGCATGTATAGCCAGCTCTGTCTGTGTATGGCCAGGAATTCCGATGTTTTTCAGAGCATTGAACCATCACCACTTTTTTAAAGTAAGCATACTCATTTTCATAAATAGGTACAGAATCTATAGAGTTCTTCATTAAAATGCTTGTTCGTATGCTGCAAGTGTGGTAACAGCTGGGAGGTTTATTACTGTTTATTTCAAAGTAAAGATTATATCCTGTCAGCATGTGATTACCCAAAGACCTAATGGAAATGGTTGAGCAGTTTCAGATCCAGTTACTGTTTGTAACTTAGCGATTTTACAAACTAAGAGGAGACAAATATTAGCCCTCTATTTTCAGAATAGCTGCAGTGTACCCCTGATGGCTTGCTCTATTACATGTGGTAGTCCTTACACTAATTTAGGTGGTTGACCTTTTGTAAATCCACATTAATTATTCCCAGGGGCCTTCTTCACGTACCTGAAAATGGATTTGAATTTTAGCTGATCAGTCAATAGTTCTTGGGCTTTGTTTCGCATTTTTTTTAATATAGTTGCAACAATTACCTTTCTCTAGTCACTGAGTTCCTACCCTGTTCTTTACAATCTTTCAGAGATGATGGAGAATAGGACATCATCCTGGTCTCTCAGTGCCCTGGAGACTCAGGAACTTACATAGATTGGGATTTCTCTAGAAATCCCTGACTCAAACTTATTCTACTACTGGTTGTTTTTCTTCCCCTTGAACCTTCTTTGTAGACCCAAAGACCTAGAAGACCTTGTTGGTGATAACCAAGGTAAAAGCTGAAGCAGTGTCCTGAATCCCTGAAAGCAGTCTGAAGCACTGAGTGACTTATCCTCATATGCATTTGTCATTACAAAGATCTATCCCATTAAGGATGGGGTGACTGGCTTTTTGTGTGGGGTCCTGCAGAGAGCCCTGCTTTTTTTGTTTGTTCTTTTACTATTTGTATAGTAATCAGGTTCGAATCAAGTATTATCAGTCTTTGTTAACTGAAATTAAAAGTAGAACTTTTTTTTTTTATTTAATAAAAATCTATTGATGCCATTATATCAGGGATTTTGCAGATAAATAGCTTCTGTGGTAGAGGGAGATGATTGATAAATTTGACACCTTTGTAGCTATCTGCAATATGTGCACTGCAAAGCCAGTCTGAAAAATAAAATTAGATCTCATGCAAATTGGCAGCTCATTCTGAAAAATAAAAATTCAGATAAAAATAATTTTGTATTGCTTCTTTGGGGTATAAGTAGAATGACTATAATCAGGATTTGTATTTCAAACTTAAAAGATGCCCCTGCTTGGGTGTGTGTATACTTTGAGGTGATGGAAACAATAGAGAACATATAATTTAATTTTTGTTAATTAAACAGACATTTTCAGATGAGCTTTCTGTAAATACTGAGGTCTTAGCAATTTGGGGTACTAATTATGTCACAGCAGCAAAATTTTAAAGGTAGAAACACTTGTTTCTTCTTGTTTTCTTTCCCCGGCTTCCCTGAAGGAAAACTTCACCTTTTTTTTTTTTTTTTCCTTAACCTTTTCTCTTGAATTCAGGGCAAGCATACAAAGAAGAGTCATTGTTACCCACCAATGAACAGAGATCACCGCAGAATCATCCACGAATTAGCTCAGGTTTATGGTATTGAAAGTGTGAGCTATGACAACGAACCAAAACGCAATGTTGTTATTACTGCAGTGAAGTATGTAATTTGTTCTTGTTTTCAAATCTTTTAAGCATAGTTTAAGTAATTGGATGTTTTTATCACTTACCAGAATGAGTTTATTTACAATGCAATTTGAAAAATGTACTAATTTCTAGTAGAATTTTTTTTAAAGCAGTTTTTGAATTGATAGTTTAATGGGCTTCTATTTCTACTACTCAAGTATATCTTCAGGGAAGAAAACACAATTAGAAATAATAAAACTAAGAAAATATTTTGCCAGGTTGTTTTCCATTCATCTTTGCAGTAACTTTTTGTCATCAGCTAAATTTGATAGAGGTATCAAAGATAATATTTAATAACATTTTATAAAAACTGATGGGTTGAGAAATCATACATTAAATTTGCATCACCTTTGATAAAATCTGGTTATTGTGACATATTTGTTCTCCATCTATCTGAACCTACCACAGAGGATACTCCCTCTAGTTAATGGACAAAGAGGGAGCTGGAATTACTGCAAATTGAAGAGATTTCTAAGCAAAAATGAAAATATTTGGAGAAGACTCACAGAAGGCAGTTCATATTAGAAAAGAAAATGAAGGAAATACAGCTAGGGGGAAAGCAGGGTGACTGTACTGGAGACATAGTATGGGATGGTTTCCAGTATCAACAGCATATTTAGTTTAGCATTGTCAAATTGTGATTCTTTGACAAACAGTTGTTTTTAACTGTAGTCATAAGAAAGCTGTCACCTTCTGTGCTACTAGAGTGCCATGAGCTGTTCCTGAACTTATTCATTCATTGGTAGCTTAGCTACAATCTTGATTTCTTGCAAGAAATTGTATTCTTCCAAGAGAGATGGAGCATCACTTTGATCTTACAATGTAAGATACTTTTTGTTTCAAGTAAAGGAAGATGAAAAAAGAGATCATATTTGAAAGCACTTACATAAGAAAAATAAATGGATGGGGGTAGCGGGATCAGAAATTAATGAAGAGGAAAAAGTGCTGGAAAAAGGAGCAGGACAGATGACTATCCTTTAAAAGCAAAAGCAACTTGAGAATGGGAGGCCCTCCTCTATGATTTTAGCAGAGTTTGCACACTTGCTCCTTCCCTTGTGTTGTTCAGGGAATAGCATACTGCGCAGAATGCACATGCTTCTATTTCATCACTACCACTCTTATAGACACTTGGTGGTCTACTAAGGATATTCTTCAGCTGCATAGCAATATTTCTTCATGCAGTGGATTCATCCAAAGCTTCTTTTCAATTGTCTTTTTATTTGCCACGTCTTCTGAGGCTAAAAAACATTGTAGCCTCACACAAGTGATAGGCCCAAGTTCCATGCTGATATTTTTGAGTATTTCACAATGGCTTCTTCAATTCCAGGAATTCAAATCACCGGAAAGTCATGTTTCATTCTGTTCTCAGCATTCCCTGTGGATTTCTATCATGAGCTCCTTCATGTATAGATAATTCAAAAGAAATCAGGCAAAAAGACCATTCCTCCTCTTCACACTCCACCACTGTGGCATTGAATTGGTAACATCACCATACAGGTAGGGCAGAGGAGTGAGAAAGTCTCCTTGGTGCTAAGAAAACTTCCTCCATCCAGGCTTCTTTCTCTTCTGGATATCTAGGAGCAAATGCCATAAAACCTGCTTTGCCCTTAGCCCCTGCCCCCATTACCATTAGAATCACTGCATTAGGATCACTGATGTGTAACCACAGAGAAGATTATTCCCAGTATTGATTGTTAAGCTTGATCTGAATTACAGTTTGGTGTCATTCGAAGTATAAGACCCCTAGTGAATCCTTTCAAGTGCCCTTCTCTGTAATTCCCTGTTGGTCATCTTTGCAGTCTCCATCTTTTTAGCCGTTGCAATACCAGATTCTTTCTGAACTAGGTTCAGAGGTAATGTCCAGACTACTATAGTGAAAAGAGTAACGCTTTCCTCTCCAAGCACACACATTTGTTTCACTGTTACTGTCAGTGGTTTTTTGAAGTCTTTTACTCATATGAATTTCCTCTTTCTCCAAATAGCTCTGATTCCAGAGCCTGTTAAAGGAGTGTCTGCTTGTTGTTATGTACTGACCACTGTTTAAGCAGCTTGTATGGATGTGAGATATCCTGGAAGTGTTTTTGAGAGCAGTCATCCCTGTAAGACCCATCCTTGTCCTGTTCTTTCCAGGAAGATAGTTACAGTCAGTTTATCCTCATGAACAAGGGGACTTTTCAATTAGGTGGCAGGGTCCCACATGGTTCTCACTAAGAAAGCCACATTCTGCCACAATCTCATTTGAGAGCCATTGGCTTCATTATTCCACCCAAACTGTATCAGTTTTTGGAGACATTTTCCACAAAAATCTGCTCTGTCTGAAAGCTGATGGATCAGTATTGCACGACTACATGGAGTAAGTCTGGACAAATTAGTGGCAAAGAATTTTGTAGTAGTTTGTACCAAAACAGATCAATGCTGATCCATCCGTTATGAAAATTGAGCTTCTAGGCTTGAAGGAGAAGATAAATTTAATCCTGATTTCCACAGTTCAGTTTTATACAACAGGCCATCCTGTCAGCACTAGCACTGTCTTAAAATCAGCAGATAGTTTATGTTATTACTTTCCCTGTACTGCTGTTAAAAATTTTTCATCTCAACTTTGTTGCTTGAGGCAAGCAGTTTTTTTATTTTCCTTACTTTGAGAATAGTTTAAGGAAATGAAGAATGGCAACTTTCATATCAAAATGTCCAAAGTACTTGCAGAGCCTTTTGGTTTCATATCCACTGTTCTGTTATAACTGAAGCTAGATAACCATGACAGGTTAGGAAGAGTCTGCTTTCTTTCTTATTTCTGGTAATTAATTAGACAAAGTGGGTTTTTTCCCATTGTACATCTCTTTAATTGAATTCAGTTTGGTTTTTTTCCACATGAGCTAAATGTGGGTGACTGTTTAATCTTTTTTTTTTTTTAACCAATCAGTTCACAGAATTTTAGGGAAATTGGAGTCAAGTCTAATTTTGTCCCATGTATCACCAAGGTATACAGGAAGTGGTGTACATTTTGCTGGAGTGTGAGTTGATAGATTTTTGTCTCTAAAACCTCTGTTGTTTCATGGCCAAACAGTCTGTTGTATATCTCTTCTGCTTTTTATTGGAAGATTGCTAAATTTTGTCAAAGCTAAACCAGGTCTAGGCCTTAATGTGACCAAAGCAAATTTGGTTCCAAGCTCATTTCTAACTGTCCACAAGGCTTTGATCCCTCCTAATTTTTAAAGGTTTGTTATATTAACCCTCTACATCCTGGGAAAACAACTTTAGGGCAAAGCTGCTGATTTACTTTCTTGAAATGCAGGAACATTCTCTTTTTTCGGTAAGATTTTTTATTTTTTTTTAGCTAATTGTAGAAATTAGTGCACATGTATTCTTCCAAGTGTTCTGTTTTCCTGCATTCCAGAGCCCTCATTTATTTTCTTTTTTTTTTTTTTACTATACAAGAGAGATTTAACCTGACATTTTAGAGTAAGGACAGGCACCTTACATTACTTGGAGAAGGGCTTTCTAGCTTTTCTTTTTTTTGCTTATTTACCGCCAGGCAATTTGGTTTCCATGGTTTTGCACATCACAGTTTATAAAAATGAAAGAAGACAGCAAAATAGTCTCCCATCTACCTTTGTCCTCTTTTATTTTTTTCAGGTAGAACTCTGCTGTTGAGATGTAACTGAAATGATAGTGTGAGCATTTGACTTTATATGACACGCTTGGAGCTAAAGGAGAGGAGGAGTTTTTAACTGTTTTACACAAGGGGAAAATTAGCTATTCTCAACTGATAGGACTGTAATATACTCGTCGTTAGAATGTACATGTACACATAATATAACGTTGAAAAAATTATAGTCACTGGCAAGTAACTTTTTTCCCAAATAATGAACACTTTCACTGTTCAGGAGATAGGGACACTTTTTAAATTGGTGACCTATGTTTGTAATATTTTTTTAGTTCATTTGAATAGACTGACAGTACTCAGTTTAAAAGAATACTGAAATGGATTCAGGGATCACTACTTCATATTTTAGTGGACTTCTAACTTACCTTGAAAATGTTGTGGCATTTTTCATCTGTGTTGCCTCAATATCACAGAAATGGGCCATTGTATTTTCAGACTGATAGAAATGAGACAGGAACAAAAAGACAAATATGATGGAAATAAGACAAAGACTTCATTTTTGTAAGCTCTGAAGTAGAACTAGTGTTCATCTATGTACTAATGTGAGATTTCAGCTGCTTAGAGCTCTGAGGGAGGTGGGGAAAAAGTATGAATTACCAAGTATGTGCGAAGCATGGAATTCAACATGTGCACATTTCTGGAATTATAACAATATACAACCCATTGCTTTGCAGCATTTTTGCTATTCAGTATGTAACTTTGAAAGGAACAAGATGAACTTGTTAATCTTGTAGGAATTCATTGAGTAAGAATGTAATGTAATTAGTAAGGATGTAATGTAATTGCTAATGTAATTAGTAAGAATGTAATGGAATTAGTAAACACAAAGAATCTCATGGTCTGGAGGAGTTTATTTAAAAATGCATTAATGAAGTAAATAAGGAGGAAACATTATTTAGTGCTTGACACAGAATCATAGAATCACTGAGGTTGGGAAAAGACCCTTAAGATCATTGGGTCCAATTTTACTACCACTAGACCATGTCCCTAAATAGCATGTCTACACATCTTCTAAATACTTCCAGGGATGGTGACTCAACCACTTCCCTGGGCAGCCTGTTCCAGTGCTTGGCAACTCTTTTGGGGAAGAAATTTTTCCTAATACCAAATATAAACCATTCAGATAGAAATAGGAAAGCAGTTCAGTTTAGTGTACCAAGAAGTAGTTTGGTCTGAAAATGTCAGTAGCATGGGTTTAGAGGAAAATGCAAAAAGCGTAAGAAATGGACCTTTACAATGTTTAGGAATTTTGATTTATTCAGTTTATCTGCCCCCAGAAAAGATGAAGAAGAAACTGTGAGTGGGAAAGATGCTGATAGTGGATGCTCTTTCAGTCTTGCAGTAAATCATAACAGTGAAATAAAGCAAGTTCACTCTTGAAAGTCGCTCATGAATTTAGTGGAAATTTTAAGACATCTCCACAACCTAATAGAGATATACTGTGTTTGGTAATTACTTTTTTTAATTAGATGCCTTTTTGAAACAATCTTTTTAGGACTTCTTTTTTTTCCCGGGTGTTGGGGGTTGTTTGTTTTCAGATTTTTTTTATATCCTTTCTCTTTCTCCAGTCAGTTCAAGTCTTTGGCACAGACTGCCAACTAAAGCTGACTGTGATTCACAGCCAGTATATGTCTAAAGCATATAACTGCTAAAGTACACTGTCCTCCTATACTGGAGAAAATAATGCCCTGCAACTATAGCCATACGGTGACCTTTGCATTGCAGACAGGACAAGCACAAGCAGGATGCTTCATTGCTTGGTGGCAATCACAATCATAATAGATTGTAACTAGTGTGGAGGGTAGAAAGAGTTGATTTTTTTTTCCCCCTCTCTAATGCATAATGGTTTTTTTTCTTATCTGGTTCACCTGGACTAGCTGACAAGGAAGAGGCAGTGTTGCTGGACTGTTCCTGGGAGAGTGCTGCTTAGCAGGGCTTTGCAGTGATCAGCAGGTTTAACATGACTTACTGCCAGAGTCTGACAAGGTGCTTCCCAAACATGAGATAACATGTTGTGAAGATTCAGTGAACTGTGTTCTCATGATGCTGAGTTAAGCTATTAAGTTGTTCCTTCTGAATTTTTATCTTTTTCCCTGAAAGAACAGATATATGTTGCCCTAGAGTTTTAAGTATTGCATTTTTGATATTTTAACAGTTAATCATTTTGTGCACTTCATAGTAGAAAGGAGTTGTACACTTCATATGCAGAAAAGGAGTCTTGAGTATCAATGCTCAGATCTAATAAGCTGCTTCTGCATCTTGTGAGAGGAGGAGGAGGGGCAGGCACTGCTCTCTTCTCTTTGGTGACCAGTGACAGGACCCGAGGGTTGTGTCAGGGGAGGTTAAGGTTAGATATTAGAAAAAGGTTCTTCACCCAGAGTGTGGTTGGGCACTGGAACAGGCTCCTCAGGGAAGGGGTCACAGCACCAAGCCCGACAGTGTTCAAGAAGTGTTTGGGCAATAATCTCAGGCACATGGTGTGACTCTTGGGGATGGTCCTGTGCAGGGCTAAGAGTTGGATCCTTGTAGGTCCCTTCCAACTCAGTATATTCTGTGATTCTGTGAAGAGACATTTAGAGTACTGGATATCTTCTTCTTGGTAATGAAAATGTATTTTGTGCACTGCTAGTCTCCATGGCTGGAAAATTAAATATTTAAATAGATGATTAAAGTATATAGGTATGAACTCTGACAGCAAAACTGCTGCTTACAAATATTACTCTTTCCCAGCTTCTTAATGAACGTAATTTCCTATTGAATTAAATAACCTTTCTTTTATTTCTTTAGAGGGAAATCCATTTGTCCAAGCAATACCTTAACTTCTGTGCTAGATAAAGAAATGCAGAGCAGGCCTCCACCTCCTATTCCTCATTACAAACAAACAGATAAGTAAGGAATTCGTTTCAAAACAGTGTTTTTCAATTTTGTGCTGAGTTACTTGAGGAACATCTTCCTGAGCTTCAACTGTATATACCCTATTTCTTTTTTTTTCCCAACCCACACACAGCTCTGGAGCTTTCAGCATGCACTACGATGTTCTTTCCAGAGAAGTAAGCCTGAAATGAAGTGAGAAGAAAATGTAGGAGTGGCTATGTGATACAGGGATAGTGATATAACAAATATTATGGAGTTTTAAAATTATTTTATAATAAATATCAGATAGTTGGGAAGAGAGTGCCATTTGGGAGAGTTGGCAATTTTTTTTTTTTTACCTTTAACCATTCTCTGTACAAGAGTTAATATCTTACTGGCATGGTTTGTTTGGACACGTAGTAAATGTATTTTTCTTGCGTAGATATGACTACACAGTTGATTGAAGGTGAACTACCATTTTTATCAGATAGTGAAAACTACTGAAGGTGGGATATATAAGGCTTCCTGTTGAATAGTCTTAATAGAACAGTCTTTGCTTCGTATGACCTGCCAGCTTCAGATACCTGTAGTTATTTTCATTTCCACTTCTGTGGAATTGCTGTCTTCAGTGGCCCTAATTCATGTAAAGGAGTTATGTGGCAAAATTAAATAAAGGGCTTTAGCCATTTATTTTAATTACTATAAGTGAAATTTCTTCAGAGTGCTTAATTCTAAAAAATCTTTTGGAAGATCTCATACTCTTTTATTGAAAAAAATTTTTACAGTGTTTGGATTTGGTATTACCATGTATTTTTTGTTACTCTTGCTTTTAAAAGCAAGCACATTTGATCATCAGCTCACTTTAAAAGTATTTCTTTTGCTGTTTTTTTTAAAAAGACATTTTGAACATTTAGTCTTCAGTACAGTATAATTTTTGTAATAAATATTACAAAATTACTGTAAATTATATTTTCTGGTAAAACTCTGAAACAAATTTTATCGATTCAGACATGTTGATGTACATTAATTTAATAAAGTATATGTTTTTTCCAAAAATCAGTCAACAAAGGCTTTTTGGAGCGTTAAGGTACTTCTGTTAAAACGTAATTTAGAAGAACATGCCATATACCAAAGCAGTGTACATGTGCACACTGAGACATTATGTGAGTTTGTGATTTCAGTTTACTTTGTATCTTGTTCTTCATGCATGTGAGTAACATCTAATATTCTTATAATTTCAGGAGTAGTGGAAACATTGGCTTATCCAAACCATTAAAAGAAGAGCCAGTAATTGACTACTTTGATGTCCAAGACTGAAGTGATTGATGTAGAATCATTCAGATGTATCAGAATTATGTTGATTATGAATGATACAGAAGTTTAGAGGTGAAGATACTAAGTTATTGTGTGAGGTGCTTTTTGATTATCTGTCAAATGATCAGTTGTTCAGCATATTCATGATTTAACATCTAAAGTTAGATAGATTGTGACAATTTAAAAAGTTATGCATTTCAACAGTTTACGTGACTGCATAATACCTAATAGTAGTATAGCTTTTTAAACCTGGGTTTGGTGCAATTTTTTATCTAATGTGCTGTCAGAATGATGTATATTTTCGTTGATGCCTGTAAAGCAAGAAAACTGGTGGTAATTAAATGTATTTTTGGGATATTAAGAACAACAATAAATCACAAAGATTTATTTTGTCAGATCTCACACAAATTAAAATAGACTAGAAATGATCTGTGATAAAAACACTGGTCAAGAAATTCTCAAAGTATTTTCATGTTTTATTGATCCACATTTGTGTTAATGTGGTAAATTTGGGAATTTGAGTTACTCTTTTGCATGGAAGGAAATATAAAATTTAAGTATAAATATATACATAAATGCATATTAAGAGCACAGACTTCCTTTGGTATCTGAAGAGCCAGCATTTGGGGAAAGTGGGGATTAAGACTTATTTTACTTTATTTCAAATTTGATGCGTTAAAACAGAAAGAAACAAACAAGCAAAAACAAAGGAAAAAACCCAAGCCAAACAACAACAAAACCAACCCCACAACACAAGATTACTACTATAACTTGGTTTAGTAGTACTTAATAACTTGGTCTTTGTTCAAGACCTTGAACAAAATCAAAAATCAGACTTTATATATATTTTGGTGTTTTATGCATGGTTTTATTGGGGTTTACATTTTTTCTGTACTGTGCAAGCTTAAGATGAATGTGTGAAGTTTGGTTTAAGTATGTTATGGATTTGGAATAATATTTGTACAATTTATAAGACCATCTAAACTGTTTGATAATGGAAGATCTTTGTTTTATGGGAAATGCCATTAAAAAAATGGGATGACAGTTTCCAGAATTGTTTCCAGATCTTGATTTAAGATAGGTGAGTAGCTCTCTGGGAGAGGAAACGGTAGGTCTGATCGGAAGAGGTGGTACAGCTCTGAATTTGAGTTATATCTGTTCTCTTGAGGAGAAGGTTTTTTATATTAATAACTTCAGGAACTCTGACACTGACGCACTCTTTTTCTTGATCCTTGTGGTTGCTATAATTAGCACTAGAGGCGAGTCCCCTGCACAGCATCAGAGGCTGCTGCTAAAAGGGCCTTAGCATGAAGAAGAAACAGATCTAGCAGAAGACTTAGTCATCTGTTGATTTAATTTTCAGCCAGCATGTTGTAGTGTGAGATTTGTTGCCAAGAAAATGGAAGGCAGTTCTGCATGCTTAGATTCACTTAGAGTTATCATATGACCCTGAGCCTTAACTATGAAGCATTCGGTGGCTACATTTCAATTGAACAGTTCATGAAACATTAAAGAATTAGCAGCAAACTCACAGACTGTATCTGTCCCCCAAATGTTTTGAAAATGAAAATGCATGCATGCTATTATCATTTATTTTTGTAGGAATTTATTATTTCACATTTTTAAAAATGCAGTCTTAAACTTTTTGAAGTGCTTCAGGTAGAAAGGTACCCTCAAGAGTGTTCAGGCTTCTAATTTGTATGTAGGAATTTAAATTGGTTTTATGGTTTTTTTGTCTAATACTCTGTGATCAGAAATGAAAAATGTATCAATATAGCTTATATTGCCATTAATTTCATAAGCAAATTATGGTTTGATTCTACAAGGTGCAATGCTGCTAAGTTCAGCTGAAGAAGTAAGTTACTCTACATCTTTCCAGGAATGTATTTCTTCAATCCCTTCATTGCGAGGAGTGTGTATGTGTATGAAAAGCTTGCAGACAAATGCCAGCTCAATATGACCAAACAAAGGCTATTTCTGGTTTTGAAACTTAGAGCTATAGCACTGAGTTAATACAGCACCGATTTCAATCTAGTTAAGACCTTTAGGGAGAATGTATATAGTTATACTGCAGAGGTAGGGTTCTGGACAGGAGCTGGTACACATTTCCAGTGAACTGAGTTAGATGCATGTATACTGGAGCACACATAGACTTAACACTGCAGAAAACCAAGGTGATTTAGTTTATAATAAATAAAGCTGAAGCGTACTAACTTTTCAGAGTTTCACATGAATATAGCCAAAACATCACATTTACACCTCTGATTTGAAATTTAAAACTTAAAAGATTTTCATAGCATTATTTTTAGCTCTGCTTTTTGGAATTTTCATCAGATTATGGCTTTAACGTAAAAATGTGAGCCTTGGTGAGATGCACTTCAGCAGTCAAATATCTGCCACTGCTTGTAATAAGAAAACAGAGCTAATCTTCAGCTTCTCAAACTGAGATTGATAATTATTATTGAATCTTTTAATACTGAGAAGTCATCCTTCCCATCACTAACCTCTTAACTACATGAATGTTAAAATATTTTTATAGATCCATATGTCACATACCTGTAAATCATGGCTGTTGGAGCATACCTGTAGTTATGAAGCAAGTCACATGTGCCAAATCTTTTTTTTAATGCATTTTAATAACTTGGTTAAAAACATGATACTATACGTTTACCCATGAAAGTAATACCAAAAAGAAAGTATTGATATTTTTCTCCCCAGAACAGTTACATTAGCCTTAAGGAATTCAGCAAAGGTTAACAGTGGTGCTGTTCTCTCTGTTTTTGTTTGCTTTTGCTGCAATGTATCAGTGACTTTCATATGGAATAGTAATAAAGGCTGTAGTTTTGATATATGTGATAACTCATCTTTATATTGCACGTGTGCCTCGTGGAAATATTTTCCAAATAGCTATTTTGTAAATCTGAGCTGGCCTTTACACCTTTATCTAATAGAAAAATGAGTGGATAAAAGACATGCATCAATGAAGTCAGTGGCAAAAATCCTATTGACATTACTGGAACTATGACTTCAGCTTTGATGTGCTGAGTAATTTTCCAGAGCCCTAAGAATAATATTGGTCCCTGTAAATTTATTTGAAAAAAGTACTTTGCAATAAACATCTTTTGTAATAAGTTCTGTGATGTCAATTGGAATTATGCAACTTAATGAAGTGCTTTTAAAATTGTGTATAAAATAGGCAGATACTATGGCATTTGGGCTCTGCTATTGCCTATCTGTATTGTTTAATATGTTTAGAGTGCTCTGACTATTCAGTGCATGGGTTTAACCTAAAATTGTATAAGATGCATAAGTAGACTTCAGTACCACTGTTTCTGTGGCAGTTTTGTACAGTATCTGCCTCATACCTAAATGAGCAAAGTAAAATTGTTTTACAACACTTCAGTTATTTGTTGATAGATTTATATTTTACTGGATTTTTTCAAGTTACTGATATAAAATTACTTCTTTATAAACCTAAAATAAATCTAAATTGAAAGTTCAGTGCTTTGGAGTTGTTTGCAAACTTTGTCTTGGTATTCCGAAGTTGGAACACTGAGACATCACAGAGAAACAGTAAAGATTTAAATGGAAATCTGGGGAGTCCTTTTCCTCAAATTTTGAAAGAAAAGTGTGATTTCCTGGATTTGAAGTGGTTTTTAAATGAGTGCTCTATGGAGAATGAAGCAAGTAAAGAGGGCTGCCCAGGAAATCGAGACTGTGCTATCTTCTTGGAATTCAGAAGTACAGAAGAGATGATTCTGAATAGAAATGTACATTTTGGTTATCTGAAAAACCCTTTATTATGTCAGCCTACATGCTACTTGGCAATAAAATGTATGATTTTAAGTGATGGTTTCTTCATTGTTGTTTGTCCACCATTCAGTTGTAACTGTGACTGTAAAGGAGGGGGGAGGGGAGTGGGTACTGATGTAACTTTAAAGTCCCTTAGGCCATTAGATGTAACAAACACAGAATGATAAATGGGGGTGGAAAGATGATGTAAAAACTTTATCATCAGAGTTCAGTAAGTGGCAAGAAGACTCAAAAAGCAAGCAGTCTGAAAATTAGAAGTTTGAAATAATTTGAACTTGCCTCCTCTGGAAAGTTTTATACTAGGTCACGCATTTCCAACAGCAAAAGCCTGACCTGATATTTCAGGTGAAGTGCAAGATGGCTTCAGAAATTCAGTAAGTGATCTGAGATTGAAGAATTCTTGAAAGACAGCTGGAAACCTTTTGTCTTGCTACCTCAGCTGCCAGTAAGTTTGGACTTTCTTTTCTGGATATTTTTGGAGGATGAAGATGGCATGCTGCAGGTGTATAAACATTGGGAAACAGATCTTAACTGGAAATCTTTGCCTGAAAAAAACACTTGCATTTCAGTTCAGGACTGTCATTGACTAGAAGGTGACCAAATATCCTTACCAGTGTGTGCAAATGGCACCAGAAGAGACACATCAATTTTGTTTTCTGTTCACTTGTCCATGTTGGAAATATGATTAGATAGAATAATATTGTTCAAATAATGTTGGGTTTATAGTATTTTAGTCTTTGCAGATGCTGAGTTCCCAGTAGAAGTCTTGCTATTTAACAAATGCTGTTCTCATGCTTTACTAAGATGCTGAATTCCAAAGATGGTTGATGTGCAAATTTTTGTCTATATACTTGTTACTTAACCATGAATAAGAATATCAGAGCCATTAGAAAGGGTATATTTAGAGAGGCTGTATTTTGGATGCTCCTGACCAGGTTTCTTAGTCTTTGTTATCTCAGGATTTTTGAAGGAAGTAGTGCAGCATCTTGAGCAGAAGGAGAGACCATGTTGATGCTGTCCTTTGGTGTTATCCCATGAGGTATTGTTTCTAGCACTGTGGGATTCTTGTTGTTTTGGGGTTTTTTTAACCAGGTTGTCCAGTTTTACACCTCTATGGAAAATACAGGTCTCTTTCACAATAGAAAATGGTTTTTACCACTGAAAGAATCTTTTTCAGAGCATAGATGAAGGTATAGCACCTTTCTGGTATTTCAGGCAATCCTCTTTAATATTTTGGGCTCCATTATGACCTATTGTTGCCTTCTCCGGAGCTTTTTCCAGTTAAAGGAAGGAGGGGCAAAATGTGTCTGTTGTGTAGAGATGTGTTTTGCTTGCCCTTCACAACTTTACTTTCTGTGTAATGCCCAGGAACTGCCCCTAGTAAACGATTCAGCTTTCTGATGTATCTAACATGTGCTTACTCCACTGTCCAATCATCTTGCTACATCCATATTTATTCCCTTAAAGTGCAGAAAATGTATTCCAGTCAGAGGACTAGAGGGCTTCATTTGTAAGGAGATGTAAGAAACTAAACTTAAAATCATTATCACTATAAAGAAAAGTTTATCTTAATAGAACACTTTTTATATAGGAGGTAGGAACCAAAAGGCTGTCCCTTTCAAAATGTGTATGCTGGGTAAGCTAACATGTTTTATAAGGGGGCATTATTTATTATTATTTATATCTGAGTTCTAGGAAGTAAAAACTGTGTTGAAAGCTGTTGGATGTGTTGGATAGTTGCCTATCAAACAGTACAGTCAGGAAAGTAAATTCTGTCCAAGGCACCTAGACAGCTTATCTTTTTTTTTTAACAAGCGGTAAGGAATTTTCATAATTTACTGCTTACCCAGTAAGTTAGATACCTCTTATTAACAAATGCTGTGTCAGGAAATGTTAATTAAAATCTTCAATCAGTGCAGTAAATCCTGGTGTTTAAATTCAGTATGTTGGCATCAAATAAGTGCCAAAGTTTCTAATTAAGTATGTGTCTGTGTGATTGCTTAGGAAGGACAGTTCAGCAGCTTAAATCAAAGCCTTATGCAATTCTAATTATATTCTATTGAAGTAGGCAGTGATTAAACAGGTATTGGATTGATGCAACTGAAATATCAATGAAATAAGTGATGAATTTTTATATAAGGTGTTTATATAAGGTATTTTTGGTAACTTCATTAGACATTTAAGGAGCACTACATCTTGCCTATCAGCTGATATCTAAGTACTTACAAAGCAAGTAATGCACTAAGTAACTGAGAAAGCCTCATACAAAATCAATTAAATTTTCTGATTCTCCTGTTTTTTCCATTCCCCACCATGAGAAATTATTTTAATCTTCAGCCCGAATGTGCACAAAGCTGTGCACTTGGAATAAAATAACCTGATGAAATTTTACAGGCTGGAGCTCATTGGCTAGATATAGCACCTGTGTAAAAAGACCTGGGTGCCAGGGGATCCTGGTGGACAGCTAGTTAACTGTGAGTTAGCAGTGCACCCTCGTGGCAAAGGCAGCCAGCGATGCACTGTGATGGATTAGTAAGCACAAAGACAGCAGGTCGAGGGAAGTCATTACTCCCCTCTTCAGCACTTGTGAGATGACTCGAGTCATACTGGGTCCAGCTGTGGGCTCCCCAGTACAAGAAAGACCTTGACTGAACCAAGTCAAACAGAAAACCACAAATTGGTCAGGAAGCAGGAGTACATGACGTGACATACATGGAGAGGCTGAAATCACTGGATTTGTTCAGCTTCAAAAGAGAGAATATTAAGAGATCTTACTGCTGTGCATAACTACCAAATGGGAGGGTATAAGAAGACGGAGCCAGAGTGCACTAGAAGGATGAGAGGAAATAGACAGAAGTTGAAACATGAGAAATTATGACTTGATACACACAAAATAACTTTTACAATGAAGGTGTTAAAATACAGGATGAGTTCGTTCAGAAATGTTACAGAATTTTCTACTATGAAGACATTAAGAACATATGAGGTCCTGAGCAACCTTCTCTAATTGGACGTGCTTGTAGCAGGAAATCGAACTACATCACCTCCCTAAAGTCCCTTCCCACCAATATGGTCCTACAATTCATGGCCAACTTAAACAAGCTCTGCTTCTGGGTCAGTATTGTCCTTGAGCTTTAGCAGTTCCTTTTCTACATACAGTGTTAGCTGACAAAGGTGTTCATAGAGATGAATTAATTCTCTCCATGTCTTTGCTTTGCTGGGCTGTCTTGATGTCCCTGAGTTTCCTTTTTTTTTGAACAGGCTATTGATTCTGATTATCATCTTAGTCTGTTTTATTCATCTTTCTGAATGTTGCATACTGTCTCCAGAAATCACTAGCAATTCTATTAATATGCTAATATCTGTGCTATGTTTTTTCTTTCTTTTTCAAAAGGATCATGATTGGTTAATTGATAAAAGAGGAAATTCTGCAGTCACATTGAAGTGTTCAATGCTAATGACTTTTTGATGGTTGTTTTGTTCTAAATTGGATAGTTCTTAATCTTTGGTGTTGTTGTTTATTCTGATACAGCTTTTGCACTCTTCTAATGTGTAACTTTCAGTGGTTTTCACACATTCATGGGTAAAATATCTTCTGGTAGAACAAAATGGATTGAATGAAAGGAAGTAAAATTTTCCATGTTTTCCTGGGGCCTTATAAGCTGTATATGCAATGTAACTCATGATGAGACTGTAATCCTTCACTTACTACAGTGTTTGCAGATTCAAAGACTGTTAAATTCAAATATTAATTTTGGGGATAACAATGATAAAAGCAACAGATTTTTAACATTTATTTATTCTAAGTGAATGAAAAGATTATTTCAGTGCTTCATAACAGATTTCTTTTGCATCAAAGAATGTATAAAATTGAAATAATTTAGAGAGACATTGGCTTGAAGAGAGATCTCTTGTTATTCTGAGATTAGTAAAGCATTCTCCCAGTGTTACCTGATATTTAATTCCTTAATGATGCAAATACTTTTAATGGCCAAACAGATTCTGTCATCAAAAACTGATTGAAGCAGGATGAGTTGATTCTGTGGAATGAACATCTTACAATATATATCAAGAAGTTATAAAAAGGCTTGTTTCCGAAGCAAAAGGATTTGCAAAATAGTGTAGTGGCAGATGTGCTCCTCTTCATGTGGATATAAACTAAAAACAGTTACCCTGTAATATAGTTTTCAAAACATTATCCATTATCCAGGTCTTCAAATTGGAAATATAATCATGTGAAAGAAATTAATATCAATAAAAACTACTTTACAATTATGCACATCTATAGCTAAGACTTTCCCTTTTTTCTACCAGTGTCACAGTTGAAGAGTGCAATTTTGGAATTACTCCATAGCATACAAGCTCTAATCAGTTACTGACTGATTCCTGTTTGGTTGTTCTGTTCAAATTCAGTCTACCAGTAATGGCAGTAATGTTCTTTCCTCACTCTAGGTACAAGACCCCTTGATTGTTACTAGATGGGAAGTTTGGCCATTCCAGGTACAGAGTGGGAATGTGGGCCCATATGAATCCGTGACAGGAGGAATTTTAGGAAAACAGATTGGGCAAAAGAGAGAAAAAGGCATGGACTCAGGTCATGGCTGGTGTTTTTAATTCCAGAGTTCCTTGAAGATTGTATTACACCTAGCAGCCTTTTGTCATAAGGGTGCCAAAAAGATGGAGAACATTGGAAGGGTATGGGTATGATTAATTTCTTTATGCTTGACAATACAAAGGTAGTAAGGAAGGCAGCATACGTCTCTACTACTGTAGCTGAATGACACTGGAAACGGGGCTGGCGCCATATGCATGGTTCTGTCAATCTTGGCTTCCTCAGCATAGGTCTCATGGCATAAGATAGCCAGGAAACAGCAGTTTTGGCTAAGATGGGGAAGTAAGAAAGCAGGAGGGCTAGCATATGTGCCCAGGAACAAAGGCGTTGTCACTCCAGCAGCCCAGGAGTCATGAAGTATTCAGAGAAGGAATGAAGAAAATGTTGCATTACAATCTCCACCTCTGGTCCTTTTGGGCCAGGTT